AGTTTTTGCAGTTTTTCTATCGGTTTTTGTGACAGTTTTGCAGTTTTTCTAGCAGTTTTTGCAGTTTTTCTATCGGTTTTTGTAGTTTTTCTATCGGTTTTTGTAATAGTTTTGCAGTTTTTTATCAGTTCTTGCGACAGTTTTGCAGTATTTATAGCAGTTTCTACAGTTTTTCTATCGGTTTTTGTGACAGTATTTTTAGCGGTTCTACCAAGATTATAAGGTTACTTAGCAAAAAATATTAATAACAGCTTAAAGTCTATTACTGTTACTCAACTCAAAAAAAATATTAGCTACATATTTATATATTTATCAAATCCCTTTCGATAACGTCCATTGTTTAAACGAAAATCTTTTATAATAGCTAAACAACCATAATTTTCATTCCAACATTCTGAGCATATTTTCTTAAACTGATTATAAGGCATATCAGGTGAGACATGTTCATCAAATACATGTTTTAAATTCATATCATCCTGTCTAAATAGCACAATAATATTACAATTATCACGTATTAATTGTTTTGGTATTTTTGAATATGTTTGACATAAGTATGCAGCGTCTATGTTTTTATGTCTACCCATTGAATAGTATTCGCGTATTTTATTTTGTTTATCACAAGCTACATCATCAAATATGAAAATTGAATTGTTTCGAGCTTCCATAGGTTCAATTATTTCATCATTATCTTTATATGAAAAATACCCCACACCTTTTACTTTGCTTAAAACATTTTGTAATAATTGATATTTTGGTTGGAAAAGAGATTTTGAATAAACGTAAATATTTTCAAATTTAGCTCCATTAGGATTAAATATTAAACTTAATAAAGCATTTGTTTTACCACACCCACTAGGACCACAAAAAATTGCTCTAAAGGAATTTGGTAGTAAATTACCATGTTTACTAGCATCAGAACTGGTTTCAAATAAATCTAAATTATTTATAGGTAGTTTTTCGGGTTGTTGAACGCAACGCATTTTAGGTACTACTGAACTCAAATAGTTTTGTTAAGGAATATATATTAAAGTTTATTCAATTAATTTTACAACAGCATGTTATTTTTGGCAACTTATTTAACACCTCGTTAGCTTCTTTCGTATAAATTGAAACCATACAGCATGGGCATGTATCAGGACCTTCATCTGAATTTGACCAGGGGCACGACTCAAAATGTTTACCATATTGGGTTTTTACAACATTAGCATTAAGATGTTGCTCCAAAAATTCTTTTTGACTGATCCATTTTTTAATTTTTTCCTTTTCCAAAAATTCTCGATATATTTCCTGTCGAGTAGGATATTTATTTTCAAATTTTTCTTTATTCTTTTTTTTACTACATTCTTCCAAAAATTTATCAATATTTTGGATTGCCTTTTCAATTTCCTTTACACTAATCATTTTACCCACCATATTATATGTTCTCCTGTTTAAAATGTTGTTATTATAAGGTCGGACGGGAGACTGATCGTCTAAAAATAAAAATTTACAACAAAATAATAATAAATCCTTATCTCCCCCGGATATCAAACCACTGCAGCAAATGCATATCGCTTATCTTTTACATCTCCAGTAATACCAAACTAATACGCTAACCACAAACAACCAATATGCATATCGCTTATCTTTTGCATCTCCAGTAATGCCAACTAAACACCTAAGCCCCGCCCACTTTAAACCACAACACCAATAGCTAATATCTATCAAACATGGCCGCCATCCGCCAGCCGCCATCCGCCAACAACCCACCAATAGGCTCACTTACGCTTATCAGTTGAGGGCGTTGCCCAAATGCCTGCCCACCAATAGCTAATATGATCACCCCCCACCACCCACCAGGGGGGGCGCCCCCTTTAGGAACGCCCATCCACCTGTCTGGCTCACTTCCGTTCCCGTATTGGTATAGTATATCTACTTTCCATCTCTTCTTAAAGTTCATAATTTAAGAGATATTTAACAATTTATAAAAATTTAAATATTATTTTGTGACTGGTGAATTGACGGTATCTATCGTAATCTGTCATTGTTCAAAATTTATTGGCGTCAATTTTTTATGTTGTTTTAACTTTAACAATCTAATATATATAATAATAATAAACTAACAATATTTTAGTCAAAAAGAGCAACGTCTAATGTAGAAGTAAAAATTAAAATAATCCTGAATGTAAATGGAGGACACTAAACATTTAGTAATAAATTAGTAATAAAATTTGTTAATTAAAATATTGTTGGTTTATTTAATTGTTGAAGTTATGCATTCTTTTTGTTATTAAAATATTTTATAAAATAAATGTTATATTTTATTGTCTCCAATTAGCTAGTACTTCATCTAGTTGACATCCTACAGCTTTGTTGAGTTTTTTTCAAAATTAGCAAATAGTGTTTGTACAGGGTTTCCCATAATAGACTACCCATTTTATTTTATTAATAAATTCCCTACGAGATAACTAAATAAGTTGTTCTCTATGGAAATATCTTCTATAGTCTTTGGGATTTAAGTTAATTATTAATCAAGCCTGTCACAAATAAGTTTTAAATTAATAATTTCCTGGAACGTCATTTTTTCTACGAGAAGTTTGTTAGTTTTCATCAATAATTATTTAAATTATTTATTTTTTTTGCTTTGAGACATTATTTCAACATCCGTTTGAACTTTCATGGATTACTCAGTCCAACAACGTGGGTTTTGTGTAGAAACTTACATAAGAGCAATTCGATAGAAGAAGTTAGGCGTGAATTCCGGCGTCAGTTTAATAACAACAATAGGGGTCACGCACCAAATCGTAAAACTAGTTATGGGTTCGTCATTGGCGTGAAAATGGCTCTGTACAAAATTTGAAGAAGCCTGGGCGTCGAAAAACAGTTCGTACACCAGAAAATATTGAACGAGTTAGAATTGCGTTTACGACTTTACCACTTTTTATCTAATATTGAAAAATGTGTTGAAGTTGGTGGAGGTCATTTAGAAGACGTGATTTTTTAAAGTTATAATTAAATTAGCCAAATATTTATAAGTCATCATAAATCCCAAAGAGTTAGCTGTAATTTAGTATAATAAAAAGTTTGTTTTGTTAACTAATAAATTTTTAATTCAAATGTTAAAATGGGTAGCCTATTATGGGGAACCCTGTATAACTTTTCATTTTTTGAATTTATTAGTAATATTGTTCACAAAACACTTAATTAGTCAACAAATTGTTTATAATACCCTGAAAAATTGAATCCATTAAATTTTGAACAATGACAAATTAATTACGTGGTAACCATAGATACCGTCAACTTACCCGTCACAGGTTTCTTGATACAAAATATTATTTAAAATTTTATAAATCGTTAAATATCTCTAAACTTATTATCTTTGGGTATAGGGAATAATAACATTAATCGAAAGGTTTTTAATTAACCATTTGATTATGTAAAAACATACCGGGTGTTACATTTAAAATGAAAAAGTTATTAACCTGTCAAGTTAGCCTAATTTGCCCTTGGTTTTCTCAGGTAATTTGTTGAAAAATCTTAAATAATTGAAATGAAATCTTTTCAACAATATTTTAAGATTCCAAAAACTCCACCGCAAACCTAATAACAAAAATTGTGTAGGCTATTTATGATTAACCGGCATTTGTTAAATTTGTCAAATTAAATTTCGTACATCAATAATGGGACCCTCTATATTTTCATTACAAGCTTACATGAATTTTGAGAGAGGAAAGCGGAATTTAGAATATTTAATAAATTAAAAACTGAAAAACTATTTTTCTAAAGCTGTGTTATTAAATTGTAGCAAACAATGTATGTGATAGGAAAGAGATGTAAGAATATTAATTTAAAACACAAACGTACAACTTTGTACAATTTCAGCCCTTTGGGTCCATCGTTTTCCACATGGTTTCTAGGCCCCTAAAAAACTCTCTACGTATTTATCCGCTAAAAAGCTTTTAATTAGTCTTTGAAAAAAATCTTACAAATAAATATATGTATAATCAAGCCCAAGAAACTAAAAAAAAATATTTTTGTAGTAGTTATTATCAAAATTTGTAGTGCTCATTTTAAAATATCAACTTTTATGCGTTTTTAAAATTTTTTGTCTTTTGGTTCCTATTTTTGATCTATGAAGATAATTTTGAATTTTATTTGGTATCTGTAAAAAATACATAAAAGTGAATTACGACAAAGATTTTTTGGGTTTTAAAATGCATTTTTAAAATATTAAACTAATTTTATGTATTTTCAAGGCACTCTGAATACTGGGTTTAAAAAATATTGCTCTGTAGCATAATAAATTAATTTATCGATATGCCTTTTTATATATTTTTCCAATTTTTAATAGACTTTCCGCGAAATCTCCGACTTTTAATAACAGTAACTTAGAATGCTTTGTCAATATTTTCCCCTAGTCACTCGATAATGCTGTAAAATTAAAAAATTAATTAAATTTTAAAATTTCTTCTGTCCGCTTATACGGCATTGACATAGTTAAAAATAATTAGAATTTCTTTGTCCAAAGTGCATAAGATATACGGGGTTTTACATTTGTGGTCCATAAACGCATTTAAAATTTCAAATCGGCATCTTTTTTGGTCCCCCAGAAACTTCTAAAGGACCACGAATGTGGTAATTAAAATTGTAAATCCCTGCATACATTTCCTTAGTTTTCCCGTCCTAAATCCTTCATTGATCTCAACAAGATTCAAAGAACTTTAGTAATTTCGAATTGAAAGGCTTTAAATTTAAAGAAGGAACGGAAAGTCATCGTGAAATTGCTTTTCTGGTCTGAACTCTGAATGCAATATTTTGTTGCCCCTATTTTAGTAACCAGGAAAAATAACATTATTAAGTTTGTTGTGTATTTACCGAAATAAGCCATTTTTATGATTTGATTACTCTATACATTAAAAAAATTATAATATAGAAAAACATATCTTTTTCTTACGGCAACAAGGATAAATTACGGTCAAATAAATATTCAGCGTTTTCATTAATTGAATACTTATTTGTAGATTGCAAAAGTAACGAGAAGCTTGGAGATGATTGGGCTGTCAGTTTCTCTAATATCATTGACGGTTGGCCTCTACATTTTTTCCCAATACAGGTGAGAAATCAAATATATATATATATATATATATATAAGGTTGTCCCAAAACAATTTGTTTTATACAAGCCCGTATTACTACCTCTAGAGCTGAATCAGATGTAGTGGCAAATTTTCGGGGCACCCTGTATTTAAAGCTGGTAGATTGTTAGATAGGTGTAAAGGGACTGATAGACAGAGGTTTGCTCATGTAATTATATTAATGGAACAATTATTTAAAGGAAACACTATATTAATCACTTGGACCATCAGACAGGTCAATACTAACTATATTAAGGCTTTTGTGATCAAAGTAATGACTCTTTAAAATTGATCACTAATGTTTAAATTTAGCAGAGCCATAGTTTTTTCATGATTTGGTTTTTATAATATTATTTTTAGTCTTTGTATTATTATTCTTATGTTCAAAATTTTTTTCCTTAACCGCTGTTGGGGTTATAGCCTCGAATGCAAGCATTAAAATAATATTAATAATAATAATTATCATAATAATAATAATAATAATTCAGTCGCCACATTTGCTTTATCACAATGGCCAGATCCGCATATTTGGCTTTTTTCTCCATCTATCAAATATTTTCTCCATCTATCAAATATGCTGTATTAATGAATTCATTATCGGTATCATGTGGAAGAGAAAGATATTGAAACAATTTAAAAAGGATTTTAAAGAGTAGTACTTTTAGAGTTAGTGAGAAACAATTATTTTGTAATGTAACAAACCGCGTTTTCTTAACCTTTGGGTCAGAATTTCTCAAAATACTTACGGGATGAAGCTATTCTGGGATCGAATTCCAATTTAGAAAAAACCTCCGAAAGGTAAAGTCTGATTTCAACAATTAATAAGATCTAAAAACCTGAATTTAAACCAACATTAAATATAATCTATTCTTTTAGGGTGCTGAGAAATAACAGAACAAAAATACATATAAATTTATTCATATCAACTTTAATGCAAGTTTTGTTCAGGCTTATCAAGTATACGGACCAGTTTTTTAGTGATTCAGGACTTTTACAACGAGTGGTAAGTTTGCAAAATTACATTTTCTATTACGGTATCTCTTTATATATACAGGATGGCCCATCGAAAATAGTCCACCAAGGTTTAAGGCTTTGTATGCGAAAATAAAAAAATCTTCGGACCCGTATACACTGTAAAAAAATTAGTAAAATTTCACTCAAAAATCACTCAATTATGTATAAAAAAGGTCCACTTCAGGTTGAGTTCATTTTTTCATCATTCAATATACGTGTGTGAAATCTGAATGAGTAAAAAAACAAAACTGAGTTATTTTGTTCAATTTAGATTCTGGTAAATGTGAATATTGGGTTTGTCTTGGGTAAATATTAACTCATTATGGATTATTTAGAACATTATTTGAGCATTTACTCAAATATCAAAATCACTCAATTAAGAGAAATATGTATATATTTCTCTTAATTGAGTGATTTTGTTCGCGTTTGAGTAAAGCTGATAAGGAAATACATGAATAAAAATGACAATATTTTTGTATCATTAACTGTAATTTAAAAATAAATAATAACTATTCCGTTTTATAAAATTATATTAAATAAGAAAACATAGACCAAGATTACACTCATTATGGAAAGAATATGCTCTCTGAGAAATTCTGAAAAACAAACCTTAAAATAATGAAACCCTTTATGTTTCCTGAAATGGAAGGCACCAAAAAAAATTTCCAGAGAAATCCCTGTGGAAAGTTATTTTGTAAAGGATAAATTAATACCAATAGCTGTTTTTTTCTTTTTAATATAATTAAGTAATAACTTGGGTTTTGTTTTGACATTTTAACATGTACAAACGAGAATGTTTTGAATTGTCCTCACAAAATGAAAACGAATTTGATATATTGAAATTATAAAATAATACCATTTATAAGCGTTTTGTTGATTCAAATTATATTTTGGATTAAATCATAATATTAATTTGCAAGAGAAAGTTTTGTTTACTGGAATTTCAAACTTTGCAAATGACACCAGATTAATTTTCTCATTAATATTCGCATTAATGCAAAAAATCGTTTAATTAAAATAGTTTAAAGTTCATGGAGGGCAAGAAAAACTAAAAATAAATAAACATTTATTTTGTGATATATTTAACCAAAGTGTGTCCCAAAAATAACGCACATTTTAAATTAAAAAAAAAACCGTTCTTTAAAAAAATCTGTAGGTGTTAAATCGCAAGTTTTAGCGGCCATTTTAAGATTTTTATGACATTTTAGCCATTTCTGGACAAAACATGCATAGCTTTATTGGAATACACCAGAACCGCTATGTTTATGTGGATGTTTATCGAGGGTCTATATTTGCACAACATGATTGCAGTGACAGTGTTTCAAGAATATACATACATAAAATTATATTTTTACTTGGGGTGGAGTGGAGCGGCACTTATGACCTTAATATGGCTCGTGACCATGATTGTAAAAGTAAATACGTAAGTATTTTATATTGTTTATTACTTAGAAATATGTAGTCTAATACAGACTTGGGTTTTTGTATTGTTTTGTGAAGGATAAACATAGTATAAACTAACTGTCTGTCAGTTGTCATAATATATATTATATACCATATTGATACAAGCTTAATGCATATGCTATATAAACAGAAGATAATTTATGAATCTCTTGGCTTATAAATTTATCTAGTATACGAAAGTTTGATGTTGTTTTATGTAGTTTTACATTAAATATTATAATACTCGAATGGAGAGGTTATTCGATGCAGAAAATTCGAAGAAAATCAGGAAAGCTTTATTACACTGACAAAAATATACAGGGTATTGCTGATGATATACGAGGTGTGTTCAGAAAATATCGGGAATTTTCGTTTTTTGAAACAAATATTTATTTATTCGTCTACATTAATGTTGTCGCCTTCAAAATAGTCCCCATTGGATATTATGCACATGTGCCAGCTCTTCTTCCAATACTCGAAACACTTCTAAAACTCGATCTTTGGAATAGCCTTTAGTTCTTTCAGCGATGCGCTTTTAATGTCATCTATGCTTGCAAAACGACGGCCCTTTAAGGTTCTCTTTATTTTTGGGAATAGGAAAAAGTCTGACAGAGGCATGTCTGGCGAATATGGAGGCTGGGGCATCATTACAGTAGTGTTTTTGGCCAAAAATTTTGTTCAAAATTTAACAATTTTAGAACAAATTTTGCTGCCACGCGTTTCATACCCAAAACATTTGAAAAAATTTCGATATACCAACATCATCAGCGACTTCTCTGATGGTTTATAACCATTTCTTCCACTTTTTCCATGTTTTTATCGGTTGTTAATGTGCTTGTGCGTTCGGGGCGTTCGTCATCTTCAACGTCTTCACTGCCATCTTGGAAACTCTTATACCACTTGTAAACTCTTGTTTTACTTATAGCAGACTCACTATAGGCCTTTGTTAACATTTCACAGAATTTATTTCATTTTTTAAGCAAAATTGTATACAAATTCTTTGATCCATTTCTTTTAACGAACGAAAAATCTCCGAGCTCATAAAACACGTCTAACCTTAGCGGCTGCCACAGACAAAGTAAACAATGAAAACAGCTAAAGTTTTTATCATACTTCGGGGGCATGTATAGGTACCAACATAATAAAGAAAATTTTATGACAACCGGACCCTCCGAACCCGCGTAATTTAACAATTCCCGTTATTTTCTGAACACACCTCTAACGAAATTATATGTGCTCCTCAACGTATTAGAACGGCGGAAAATAAAGAAGCAATTGTTAATGCCTTTGATGCAAATAGTAGGAAGAGCATAAGGAAAGTTGCACGCACAGTTCAGCTGGTTATGAAGGACTTTCATTTTACGCGAGAATTCTGTAGTGGTTGCTAGAGATTTTGGATCTTGGGTACAGAACTAGTTGTTTATTTTTTGATACCGCTTTTTTGCCCTCATTTAATTACACTGTTACCTTAAAAAAATATTTTTAAATTTGGCATATCCATTGCTATCAGCCTGACACCTGTATGTTATTTTGAAAGTGTTGAAAAGTGTCCAAAAGATATAATTATTTAAAATTGGCCCTTTTAGAAAAATACCCATATATATACACATAAAAGGAGATTTGGTGCACCCTGTATAGAAAATATACGTACGTATAAAAAACTCTCTTAACATTTTTCCTGGCGGCTCCAGTGCTTGAATTTCTTTTTAAAAAATATATAACAAAAATTAGAAAAAACTTTTTAACAATTAATATTATACACATTAATTTTTTGTTGTAATATAATTAATTTTTAATATGATATAATATATTTCCTTACTATAATACTATAAGGAAAATTGTATTAAAAATTTCCTTCTAAACAAAACATGTTACAACTTTTAAGACCGAAAAACTAAACTCTGGCAAATTTCATAAATGAATGAATTAGGGCTAGCATTAAAAATAAAGTACCTAATAAAAAGCAGCAAAATATGAAATATGTAGAATGTAGCAGGCAGGAACAATGCGACATGCCCGCGCGCGCCATACGAATGTACTGGTAATCTCGACCCTGTTGTTAAACAAAAGGTTCTTTGCATTTTTGCCCCTTGAAAAATTGAATTGCTGATACTTGCTAGCAGATTTAAAAGCCTGTTAATAAACGATTTTATCAACATGCTTTTATTTCTGCTACTATAGTATACACACCATACTACAAAATTTTGTATATAGGTACATACTACTACTATAATAATACATGTAGAATGAATATTTTCATATATTATATCACGAGAACTATGAATTTAATCGGTTAAACTAGGCTCAGTAGTTTTTTGTTTGGTTTTTCTTGGAAAATGTTGAATGCAAAATAATTTAATAAAATCACGAGACCGCGTAGCGGTCGAGGGGTTTTATTTTTAATTATTTTGCATGAAACTATTTTCCAAAAAGAAAAATCAAATAAAAAACTTACTGAGCATAGTTTGACAGATTAAATTTATAGGTTGAGTGATATACGTCTAGATTATTTCTCGAATTAAAGGAAACTATTTGACAATTTATAAAATCTGACGTATGTGTCAAAATTTATAAATATTTTTTTAAAGAAAATTCCATTAATTTAAGGTATGTAATAAGAATTAATTGATATTTCGTAAACTAGATAACTTATTTTTTATTATTTTTTAAAAAATGTTTGTTAAAACTTGTAAATAACACCATAAAATCGTAAACAAAAATCCAATATGGAGGCTAAAATTGAATCGCTGTTAAATAGTTCTAGTGATTTAATCGCTTATTTAAACGAAATTTATTCGAAAATTCAAGGCTTTTGATTGGTTCATATTATAATGAGGGAAATAATCATTGAAAACCTGAAAATTTTGGGCAAAAAATTATTGTTTGTTTTTTTATTAATAATAATTCTCCACCAAAAAAAACTTAACATCACAATTTGAAATTTTTAAAAAATTATGAAAGTTTAATAAATTTTAGAGAAATTAAAATTTTTAAGAAATAATTGAGTTTATTCGTACGTTTAATATCGCATGCGTCTTTGTTTTCAAGCGGATTAATTAATTAATGTATAAGGCTCTTGGCAGCGTGCTTTCGAGTGTGTTTACAGACTACGGATATCCGGCACTGATGAGGTCTAATAAGACCGAACAGGCTGTCTGTCGGTGTTTGTGAAGCAAGCTTAAAACAAAAGCACGGTGACGAGGTATTTGGCTAGTTCTCACAATATGGGCATTACACCTTGAGTAGAAAACCATTTTTTAAGTAACTTTAACCACAAAGCAAACTATCCTGGATTTGATATAGAGACCCCAAATTTTCAGGGATTTTCTTTATCGATTTAAAAGTGTAAACCATAGGAGCATAACAATTTATAATCCAAATAAGGACCACCCCAATATATATTAGTAATATTACATAACTTGTGTTCAGATTTAATTGTTAAAAAAACATCAAAATTGAAAGTCGCGTTTCCGAAATTTTCACAAAAATAATATTTTTTTAAATGATACACTCCCCGTATACTTTTAAAAGACAATTTAATTTAGAATGGTGTTTGTTGAAATTATTACTTTATCTACTTCTATTGCATGATATTGGGTTTTTTTGTGAATAATGATAAACTCTATAAATTCCCTGCCTAACCACGGGAATAATAAACTATTCACGTTGTTCAGCAACAGTGATTGACCTATTTCAATATTCACTGTTATTTGAATCAATCGGGCTTTAAATTGGAAGAAGGCGACTACAATAACATTTAAAATGGGTAACAATTTTGAAAATTATTTAATTATCTACTTACTGGAGTATATAAAGTATAGTCTTATACTCGAGATTATGTGCATAATTTACACTTTGGAAACCCGACGTTTAATTGTATATCCGTTTTCACCATTTTAAGCATAAGAAAAAATCCCACCAATTTTGCTAATTTAAACGACTTTGTAGTTCCAATTAGGTGAGCAGATAACTTTGGGTATTCACATGAATAGTTTTTTCGAAGTATAAACGAAAAAAAGACCCTTATTTTTTTCATCTGGTTCAAGAATAATGATTGGAATTTTTTTTACATCTCGCCTCTGTCCTGGTCACTTATTTCTTTATAAGTGAAAAGTGCCGAGCTTGATGCGTGTCTCCCGTCACCGACTGCCTGACACTGATGAGACCCAACATTGGACCATACCATTCGGTGGCGAGATGGAAGGCATTTCAGTCTTGTAACATTGGTTGCCTACTACTGGCGTAAAGTAGTAAGTAAACCAATTACATTGATATTTCAAATTACCATATCTTCGAAACTATTCATGTAAGAATGATAAATGAGAAGGGATTTTGTTTAGCTTTTTAAATATTTTTATATAAATATTACCAATATTTTGAACCTTTGCAAAATATTTTTTCTGGTCGTTTTGAAGATAAAAATTGTTTTTTTTTTCACATGTTTTTCCTTATAAAATTAAGAACATTTTGATATGTAAAAAGTGGGCCGGAATGTGTTATGCTTTATTTTAGCTTCACTTGTATGTAAACAGATCTAGGAAGTCGATTAAAATTAAATTTCGCATATACTTTTGGTGCAAGCAGGGCCGTATTAAGGGGAACCGAGTCTGCTAAAGTTCCTTGCCTTTACATCATAGCCCCCTAGGGACCTCAAGAACTAGTTGCTACCAATGCCAATATATATATATATACATATTTATATTTTATTTTATTCTACTTCCTTTAACAGAAACTTCAATTTCCTTTCATTTAATTCTTAATTTCCTACATCCTTTAATGCATGGATTTCTTATGAGTGGGCAGTGATGCAAATACGTATTAATAAAGTTCAGCACGTGATTTCTATAATCTTTTACTGGGAAGCTAATTGGGCGAAGTGTACCCGAATGTAGCTATCGCTTCTCGTATGTTTCTTCAATGCCAATGCGAACTGCGAAGTTTTTCAAAGCTAACAATGGGACAAGAATTTTATGAGGATTAAAAAAAATCATAACATATAGGTTTTATGAAAAAACAATATTTAGTCATTTTAATAAAGAATTTACAAAAACGTTCAACATTTTTATACCAAATACTTTTCGCCAAGCATAAAAAGAAATTAACTGTTTCGTGTAATTTTCGCTGCGCAATCCCTTTAATAAACTGCAAAGTATTCGTAAAATCGCAAGGAATTAAAACCGTAAACGCTTTTGTCAGCGACATCCTTTCAATAATCCAGATATCCTGAATAACAAAAGAACTACAGTGACACCTTTACCATACCATGGCAAAGGTGATTTATAATTTAAAAGTGACTTATTTTTTATTTCAACTTTAGAAGGGGTCGAGTAAATTTTTAATCAGGTAATTCCGATAGTCCTTAGAGAATAAATCGATTTTGTAAGATGATTAATTAGTAAATCGGGACCGATGTTATTTATGAGGTGCTATGCGAAATCTTGTTAACATTCGAGGCTTCTGATTTCATTTCATCAAGAGAAAGAATATTTATATTCTCCCAATATCAAATAACAAAACAAAATTAATTTTCTTTCGTAATACCTACACAATTATATCGATATCACTAAAGATTATTATTTAATTTCACTTGAAATGACCAATTTGGTTTGACAGGTCATTAAATATTATAGTCTTGGTTTTAGAAATAACATTTTTCTCGGGTTGTATTAGTTAAATTCGCGCCATTTTTTTGTTGTTGTGTTGGTAAAAATCATGTTTACCAACACAAAACAACAACAAAATCATGTCTGGAAAGTATATGCTCTCTAAAAATGAATTAGTCAAAAATTACTAATTTAATAGTTATTAGTGGCTGCTTTTTCACTTGTACCATGGTTAACCATGGAATACCATGGTATCCCAATATTTAACAGCCAATTCTTATTTAAAATTGTGCCCTGAATCCGAAAATACCGTCAAAAATTATGAAAGTGGAGCAGTTTTTGAGATATAGTCAATTCCATATTAAATGGAAAATTGATTATATCTCAAAAACTGTTCTACTTTTTTAACTTTTGACGACATTAAAACTATTAAATTAGTCATTTTTGACTAATTCATTTTTAGAGAGTGAACAATTGTAAACACAAGGCCGTCAAAAATGTTACATTATATTAGCCTTATTTGATCCCATATGACTTTTTTGTTCCTAAAAAATAAAAAATAGAACCTTAATTGATTGCTTAATTTTAAATGGATAATATTGATGTTGATAAATAAGTTATAAATTCTGAAATTCTGGTTATTTTTTGAGCTCACCTCATATGATTTGGTAAATAATAAAAAGAGTTGTAAAGTAAATAAAAAAGTTTTTAAAGCGCTATATTGCTAAACTTAGGTACTTGTACTTTTTTCAGCACTTGGAAAATTTATTACTTTTTTGATTATTACTGGATACTGGAGGGTCCCAGATGTACTATTATATTGGTAAGTAGTCCACTCGAATGTCTAACAAAAATTTACACATACATACATACTAAGGTGGTTCACAATTGTATAGAGAAAAAAAACATTGTTAAATCTTGCCTTCTTTCTTAAAATGAAATAGTCGTTTTCACTTTTAAATAGTTATTTTTTACTATTTAAATAGATAAAGTTTGACTAATTTAAGATTAGTCATAATTTTTGACTATTTCTGAGAGTTAAAAGTAACTGCTTTCTTTAATCGTTTGCGGCCAACAACATATTATTGTTTGAGTTAAATGGTTGAATGGCCCATAAAAACAAACAAAGATGCAAAAAGTTTAGCTCAAAACAGCAACACAAAAAATATATTCAACTTTAAAATATTATGAGCAATATTGATTGACAAATAAAATTGATTTATATAAAAGTGACTGATGGCTCATTGGTTATAACATACGTTTGACAAGCGACAGACCCGAGTTCAAACCCCGGCTGGGTCAGAATTTTTTTTAAATTTAAATCTACTAATTTGAATATTTCATTCAGTAGAATTTGACTAATTATTAGTGACTGCTTTTTCGCTATGACAATCTCTAAAAATGAATGAGTCAAAAATGACTAATTGTCATATCGAAAAAGCAGCCATTAATTATTCTTGTTAACAGCAATTTGTATCCCAGACATTTAGCAGTCAATTCCTACGTAAAATTGACAGCTGAATCCAAAAATGTCGTCAAAAGTTATAAAAGTAGAACCGTTTTTGGGATTCTTTCATAATTTTTGACTGTCTCTTCGGATTCAAGGGACAATTTTACTTAAGAATTGGCTGTTAAATGACTGCTTTTACACTTTTAAAACTAGTCAATTTTGACTATTTCATTTTTAGAGAGTATACCAACAAAACATGTGTCATAATTGGATGTTTTTCATATTCCTTCATCACCATTTTTATAGTCTCTATTATCTGAGTAAAAATTTTGTATCTTCAAATTTGTCTCCTAGACACCCCATTGAGAAATTTTACTGCACGTATTGTATGTGTATGGAAATAAATAAATGAATTAATGAATGAATTAATGAATAAATTTATAATAAATATATATAATTGAAGAAAAAATATATTTTAATATATTATTTTTGGACCACCCTAATACATGCAAACATAAATGATGAAGGTGAATTTTTTATTTCTTCTGTACATAATCTAAGGAAATTGAATGATAACTCGAAAAAAACATATATGTGGTGTCCTAAAAATAGTGTGCAATACTCTACTTTAGAGCCAAATATAAAAAGAAAACTTTATATGAAGATGGGTCGGAAAATTAATCCACAGACTCTTAAAGGCGACCCCGAACATGTTTTATTATTATCATTTTTTTGTATATTTTAGGGGAACATATTTATTTTCTTTATTAATTTTTCCTGTTTAGTATATAAAATTGAAAACAATTGAAAAAAATTTTTGCTCATTTAATTTTTATTCGAAAATGATGTATTTTATCGATGTTCAAAAGGACGTAGAAAACTCTAAATTTTTATATTTTGCAGCCGCCTTGCAAAAACAATTGCACACTTTATAAGACAATTATTTCTATTTCTGTCTTCAAATACCACGTGTAGAGCATTGCACGATATTTCAGGACACCCTGTACAGTTTGTTTTAAAAATATTAGGTATACTACATTAAACATTTTTTAGGTGAATTTTTTATTTCTTCTGAACATAATAAGAGTTTTGGTTCTAAAATTAAGGGAAAGTCGAACTAGTGAAATAGAACAAGTAAGGTAAGATATCTTATCTAAAAATAGTTTTTCTATTAGCCTATATTCTCGTATTTTCGAGTTTATATTTGATGAAAGTGGGAAATATTTCTTGTTTCGTTTTCAATGGAAATTTAAGGAAATGGCAAAATCACTTGGGAATAAAAATTGATGGAATTGCGTTTGCATTTTTTATATTAAAAAACTATTTGCGCCTTTGAATTTTAGTCAGTGTCATATTTGCTTTTATATGTGTTTTTCGTCAATGTTCAAACTTAAAAAGATATTATATTTAAAAAATATCCATTTTTCAATTAACAAAACCATAACTAAACTTAATACCTAACTTAAATACAAAAAGCCATACCGGCAAATGCTGCAATTTCGCAGCTCAGTATATTTTAGTAAACACGGTCTAATCTCATTTGCATTGCAATGCAAATGAGATTAGATGGTAGGCTAAAAATTATACCCAAATAAAATTATTCAGTGTATTTTCTAAGCCAAAAGCACAAAGTAGTCTATTTTATTGTTAATTGCTTTGTACAACATACAAACGTAACATTGCCTAATTAATATTTTTTTAACATTATTTTTATTTCATTGTTTTTGCAAAGGCTTTGTAATCAACTAAATAAACTAATTATCATTTTAAACATAAATTAGGTTATTTAATTACATGAAAACATAATTTAATATTTTCCTTTATTCAGAAAATATAAATGTCAAGTAAGGTCTTGTGTTTATGAAATATTTTCAACTTGTAGAAAAGCAGTGCGCGCCGCAATTTTTCTGCTACCTTTGCTTGGCACTCCAAACATCCTCTTCCAGATTGATTATATTTATGACGAAGCCTGGAAATTTTCACTATGGTCCTACGTTACGTATTTTTTAAACTCCTTTCAAGGTTTTTTCGTGGCTGTACTTTACTGCTTTTTAAATGGAGAGGTAGGTATAATTTAAAAAATAAAAATAAACATTTATTTTCTTTCTGTTATTTTAGGTCCAAACTGCTATTAAAAACAGTTTTTACCTGAGACAGTCGCTGAAAAATTACGAATATACTCCGTGCAAAAATTTTACTTTAATTTCTATAGGCACTGAGCACAAGCCTTCACCACAAAGGTAAGACCAGATAAACAAAAGTAGATAAATACTAGAAAAAGGTAACTTTTTAGTGGTAAAAAGTCGGCTTTGATTCGTTGCTGCAAAAAGATCGAGCTTTCTCCGGAGGCCGAGGATTTGGAGTAAGTTGAGTCACCAAAACAAAAAAGTGTCCGTTCATAATTGTTTGTGTTTCTTGTCTAATTGTTTGTGTTTTTTGTTGTTGAAGCCTTTATGATATGTGTCAGCGTAGAGACACGACTGTTTTAACCGATCTCACGCTGGAAAATCATTCAGTTAAAAGGTTTGTGGGATAAACTTAGTGGATTCTTAGAATCCTTTTAGAAAACAACAATGATGAGAAGTTTAATTTATGGTTTGTGTGTTTAATAAATTTGTAATAATATTTAAATGAACTTACATAGAATTAGTTGTGCAAGTCTTGGAAGAGTTCAAAGTTAATGTTAGCAAACTAAATACATATGTTTAAATGCAAAGTTTAATTTAAAAATATGTGTAGGCTAAAAGTGGGATAGGTAATTTAGATTAGGATTTGCAAATATACAAATTTAAAGCAAAGTTGCTTTTTTGCGCTCCTTTTCTAATATTCCGCTTCGCGTCTTACTCTCTAAAAATGAATTAGTCAAAAATGACTAATTTAATAGTTATTAGTGGCTGCTTTTTCACTTGTACCATGGTTAACCAAGGAATACCGTGGTATCCCATTTTCTCTATTTTATAAAATATTATTTGTGTTTATTTTATTTAATGTATAGACTTATAAAAGAAGAATATTTTTGACAATATTGAAGCAAAATAATGTACAAGGTGTGTTCAGAAAATATCGGGAATTTTCGTTTTCTGAAACAAATATTCGTCTACATTAATGTTGTCGCCTTCAAAATAGTCCCCATTGGATATTATGCACATGTGTCAGCTCTTCTTCTAATACTCGAAACACTTCTAAAACTCGATCTTTGGGATAGCCTTTAGTTCTTTCAGCGATGGGCTTATAATGTATAATTTTTGGGAATAGGAAAAAGTCAGACAGAGGCATGTCTGGCGAATATGGAAGCTGGGGCATCATTACAGTATTGTTTTTGGCCAAAAATGTTGTTCAAAATTTAACAATTTTAGAAAAAAATTTTGCTGCCACGCGTTTCATACCCAAAACATTCGAAAAAATTTCATGGGATGAGCCAATCTTGGAAACTCTTATACCACTTGTAAACTCTTGTTTTACTTATAGCAGACTCAATATAGGCCTTTGTTAACATTTCACAGAATTTATTTCATTTTTTAAGCAAAATTGGATACAAATTCTTTGATCCATTTTTTTTAACGAACGAAAAATCGCCGAGCTCATAAAACACGTCTAACCACAGTGCGTCTAACATTAGCGGCTGCCACAGACAAAGTTAACAATGAAAACAGTTAAAGTTTTTATCATACTTCGGGGGCATGTATACCAACATAATAAAGAAAATTTTATGACAACCGGACCCTCCGAACCCGCGAAATTAAACAATTCCCCTTATTTTCTGAACACACCTCGTATAATAAATTACCTACCATTTTTTTTATATAAAAACGAGTTATGTGAAAAAGTGTTAGTCTCGATAAGATCTACACCCTGTATAATAAATAAATAAATTGTAAGCAAATACCATAGAAAATGAAGGCAATTTAAAGTTCATTTAAGAATGAGGATCAATGAAATTTAAAAAAAAATAAAAAATTAATTTTGTTTAAATTTTAGCTTTTAATATTATTAGAGGTCCCTCATCGCGATTTTCTTTTTCCTATTTAAATAACATAACTTTAAAATTAGGTATATAACTCTATAACAGATCAATGGACTAAAATAATAAGGACAGATATATATGTTCTGGTCATTTATAAACGCTCTACAAAAATTGTTTTTTTATAATTTTATGGTAAATCTACTCGTTCAAAAGTTATTTAAGCTTAAATAGACTTTATGGTTATTTCAAGTTTTTCTTACTTTTTAGGCAAAACTATTTATTACAAAATTATTTTTAAAATATAAAAATATGTTATTTTATAATTTTTATATCATATTGCTATTTTTTTGAAATTTATTAATTTTAAAATAATAATTTGTAAAATTGGTAACATATGTTAATGATTTTACAAATTAATATTTTAAAATTCATAAATTTCAAAAAAATAGCAATTTTATTGCAAAAAATTAATTTATACAAACAAATTTTAAAATTTTCTGAATGACATATTTCTGTATAAAACACAATGATTTACAAAAAAGGTCTTATGATTCTTACAATTTACTATAAATTTAACTTTTAGCTTGAATAACTTTTGAACCAGTATATTTATCATTAAATAATAGAAGACCTTATTTGCAAAACGTTGATTTTCCATTAAAATATGTTTTGTTAAATTAAGCCCATTGATCCGTTTACGAGTTATATAATTAAAATTAAAAAAATCCCCTGCGACTATTGAATTAAAAAATTAGAAGATTTAAAGGCCTCTGGGTAAGTTGGGTTGAATCGACTTATTTTGAACCAGATTAGGTATGTGCACATACCTATAGGGCCATGGCCCTAAATTGTACAGGATTTTTTAGGACACCTTGTATAAACCCTAGAATATTTTATTTATTATATTTATATATTTTAAAAATAAGTGTTATTTTATTCTTGGTTTTTGTTTTTGACCTCAAAAAGTTTTTTGGTTTTTATTTGTTAATAAAAGTAATGCCTTTTATATTTATTTTTTATTTATGTTTATTAAAAAAAATTAAATCATTTTGTTGTAATAACTGTACTGTACTGTATTGTATATAAATGCATTAATTTAACAAGTTATTTAATATCTATAAATATAAGATATCTTTTTGACAAAACCCGAACTTGTATATTCCCCCAAACAGCATTAGCCCAGGGCCCCCAAAGGTAACGGTCCGCCCCTGTTAAGAAATATATATTTTGTTCTACTAAAATAATGAATAATAGGTTTTATGTTTTTAACAGAATGCATGTATTTAACGATATCTTATATTAATAAAATCTAAAATAAAAATAATCTGATATTTTGTAGGGTGAAAGATGAATGGTCTAGAATCTCCCGCGAAGAAACCAATTCTTCAATTGTAGACTCAAAAAATATTGAGTAAGTAATTTTTATTAAGAATATTGTGTCCAAAATGATGTCGAAAATTAGTGTGAAACTACTTCTTTTATATAATCTTGCGGTTTTTAAAACGCTATGGCGTTCTTAAAAATTGAAGGAAAAAAATGTAACTACAAACTCGTATGCGTAGATTCCAAATCTGCAATATAAAACTCGAATGTACCAACCCCTTTGGAACAAGAAATAATAAAAACTGCCTTTTTTCCATGAAATTAAAGTAACCAAAAGCGACTTAAATTTATCTGCAATTCATGTCAAAAACTGCACACAGTTCAAACTTAAGACTTTAAGGGTAAATCCACAGAGTAGAACTTTGTGGGTAAATCTAAATCTGCTAGAACACGCAATTTAAAGCCAAAATTTAAGCGAATATATTCTACATATATCCTACACGGAAAACCTTGTTTGAATACAATAGTTAGCGAACTTATTTCACTGAACTAAATTTACGAATTTTCATGTAAAGGAATCTAGTTATTTAGAAAATATTCGATGCAGTAAAATCGAGATTAAATTTGATATGAGAAGTCACTACGGGGGGCGCACAAAAAGTTGAAAAAGATACACACAATGGCTATATTTCCAAATTACAAATTTCGACAAATTTCCCGTTTGAAAGACCCCCGATAAAATGACAATCAGAAAAAGTTAAATTGTTTTTTTATAAAAATACATTTTACACTTTTAATGATTTTTGTGGAAACTTTTTTTTATTTTTTAGGTTGCAAACTTGACACCACGAAATCGCAATTCAACAGCACGAATTTGATATGAAAACATCGAACTGTTAAAAATGAAATTCATAAAAAATTATATCCAAATTATCATCAATATGGAGTATATCTAAAACTTATAACATTTTAATATTTAAAAGCATATGCTTTAATCAAATGTCTATTTTAAAATGAATCATCGTTATCATACATTAAGATATTTAATTAATTAGTATAGGGTTTCTCCAAATATTTTTAAATAAATAATTCCTAGATGGTATATAGTTTGGTATGTTGATGCTACACAGTAAAAAAAGTTTGTTAATTTTAACCAAATATTAACCAGATTTTATGTTAATCCAGGTCCACAAAACTTTATGTTAAGTTTACAACCAACTGTAATCTGTAATCCTATATCAATAATTCAATTAAAATTCTTGTAATTTTCAAAAGGGACCTTATTTTTACAAACCTGTTTGTAGACCCATTAACAAAAGTATTTGTTGGAAATTGGGAACTTAAATGAAAAGAATTTTGATAAGTAATGTTGCTTTATTAATCAATTTCCTAAACAAAAAAATTAACACATACCTACATAAATGAACACAAAAATAACATACAAACAATTAAATAACACACCATTCTGAAATCATCAAATTATAGAGAAATTTGGTACAATATAATTATCACTACTACTACAACACTTACTGATGTATTTCGTAACTTTAACCCACTTTCAGTTTGAAAACCAGTGATGGTTCTTTCGGATACTTCGCACACTAATTAAATAGGTATAAGGAATCAGAATAACAATAATAACAGATTTCTGGTAATATATTAAAATTATGTTAAATTTTTACAAAATAAAATTAACAAACTACAAACTCATGTTATCACAGTTTAGATTGCGAAATGCCACTTTTGCATTCAAGAATTAAAGTTATTTTATGAGCGATAGCGAGCAAAAAAAATCATTCGAGGATGCAAAAGAATTTCGCAATTGCGTATCAAACAAATTTTTTCCGAAAACTGTATCACACAGTTTATAAATTTATAAATTACTATAAATGTGAAGAGAAAATTTTGAAACGAATTTAAAAGTATTTTGCGTCAACTTTTAATGACAGTTTTCGAAAAAAAATGTTTTAGATGTTATATCAATTTTTAATGGAGGACCCTAAATAAATTACTACATATTTAATTGTAATATAAAATTTAAATATTTTGTTTGTTTTATTTCTAAATATTTCCCAATGTTATAACTTATTTGTCATCTTTTTTTAGTTTATTCATATTTTTTAATTATATTAAATTATTAATATTTAAGTGCTCCCTCTAGTCCAAGATAATTCAGTTTTTAATTAAGAAAAAAGTAATCTTTACGTTTTCATCCCCTTTTAGCTAAGGGTGGGTTTACTCACCAATAGAGGGCGCAACAAATATCGCATCCCATTTAAATTTTCAAGTTAAATAATTTATTTTACAAAATACTAAATAATACCTACTTTTGATGCCCCTATAGAAGCCAAAGGTACCTTTTGTTTAGTTTTAATGTTTAATAATGTTTAAAGCCCTCTCAAAATTGTTTTGGTTTTTTGAAAATGTCATTCCTTGAACCCTTGGCTAGGGGCCACATTTGTTTTATTATGTCCATTATTAAAAGAATAATTTATCAATAAAGCAAAATTTCAACTTTCCTCATCCAAAATCACCGTGTATTTATTGTTTTTAATTAAACATTATTTCACGTGAACGCACAGAATAATTACACGTGATTGGCATTGTGATTAATCATGTGGATACGCCAATATACAGTGTTTTATTTTGATTGGCGACAATTCAGTATTTATTTAAAAATAGACTGATTAAAAAAAATTGTTCGTAGTGCTCTATCTTTAGAATAAAAAAAAACATTGTCATTTGTCATTTCCATGCCCCCTATGATTAATAGAAGGTCTAGAATAACGTCAAAAGGTACTGGGCATTTTTTAAATTTAAAAACTGATGAATTTGTCATACCCAAAAACCCCTAAAACGATAATTTTGTAATAATTGTACATAGTATGGTCAAAAAGTAAGGTCAAACTTGGACCAAAATCAATTTTTTTATCAGCAGCCTGTATAGCAAATATTTTGCAAAAACATTCTGTCATTTATTTTATTTTTTTTTATTTTTACATTTTTACTGCACCAACCCTTTTTTTAATTTTAGTTAAATAGGAAACATATTGCCTTTTTAGTACCTTGATAATGATTTTATCGAGTAAATGACATAATTAAAAAAAAGAAAATGACAAAAAATAATTGTTTGCTACTTTTATGATATGAATAAAAACCAACAGAAAGATTAAAAATGCATAATTGTTTAATTAAATATTTTTTTTATAAATTGAAAATATTTATAATATATATACTGTATCAAAACTATTTATTTATTTATTTTTTGTCTTTTTTGGGTGCCCTTTAGGGAGCTTTTTAATTTTTAAGTGCCTAAAAGTCTGGTCTTTACTAATTAATTATAAACGATTTTTTATTACCTAACGACACATATCTTATATTTGTTTATGCAAGTTCTTAAGTCAGATAATTAAAATCAAGTAAAAAAATAAAATAACAAAAACAATATTCGGGTCAAATGTTATATTTTTGATTTGTTTCTCAAATCTTTTTAATAACATTTTTACCGTCCAATCAATCGTTGATAAATTGGTATTTTGTATATAAACTCGAGTTTTTAAAACCAAAGTCAGTTCCTACCAAAATGGGATCCACTACAGGTTTATTCGGTAAGTCAACCTATATTAATTATTTTTAAATATAACATTAAATTGAATATTATATTTATTATTATTTAAAATAGTTTTTTTCAATAATACATTTTTGGTCTTAGATTTAATGTTAATAAACTTTAAACTTCAATTAAAATTTCTCTGGACAGATTCTAAAAACATATAATTTTATTTGTTAATGTCGTTTTTAAAACTGTATACGTTAAAATATGACATAATTTTTTAAACTTTGCGACTTCACTTTTTATAGAAAATGATCTGTATAGAAAGCAAAGGGCACGGTAATCTTCAAAGCACCTTAGGTGCTCCGATTGGTTTATTGCTTTCTATAGATCATTTTCTATAGAATAAAAAGTCGCAAATTTGTAATATCCATATAAAATTTTAAAATTATTTGTTTTTCTAGTTCTAGCACTATTGGCGTGCTCCAGCGCCTTCTTCGTCCCAGCTGGTAAACAGCTGGTCTACGAGTATGAAGCCATCGTGAAAGCTGGCACTCTGATCCCAACCAACCATGCTTCCCAATTTATGCTTAGAGGAAAACTTAACCTCAACTGCGCCGACAAGGTCTGCCACGTCTTTTTGGCCGACCTCAAATACCAACTCTACAATGGAGTAATGAACCATCATGATGAGTTATTGGCTAAAGAGTTGGACGCTCCAAGTGAGGTTGCTGACTTGATGAAGCCTTTCGCTATTAAGTACGATGCTGATGGTAAGGTTGTTGAAATTATGGTCGAGGAGTCCGAACATTTGTGGGCTGTGAACATCAAGAAGTCCATTGCCACCATTTTGCAATTGGAAGGTGATAAGATCATGTCCGAAAAGAAACCACATGGTTTTACATCATTCGAACAATCTATCTATGGTGTTAGTAGAGTATTGTACAACGTGTTGCCTAAATCCGATGACGTAATGGAGGTACAAAAGATGCTCGTCATCCCAACCAACCAAAAAATCATGAGGCACTCAATCAAAGAAGTCGACCCCGAAGAGTGTGACGCTCCTCACCAAGCCCCTTACAGCAGAGACAGTCAAAGAAAATACTTATTGGTAGCAGATGAAGGACACAAAATTGTTAAGCGTGTAGAGGCTAATGGTGGAATCTACTATCACCCATTCGAGGGTAAATCCGAAGCCCAATACTTGTTCGTTAACCAAACCATGGAGTTCATCAGCAAAGTCGATGCTAAACCCATCGCAACCCCGTCTAAAGTCATCAAAGATTTGAGTTATACTATTTTCGATGAAACCGCGGAATCCGAGGGCGTACCATCTTTGGCTTTGGGACGTAGAGTATATGACTCCAAGAAGTTAATCGCAAAGGTTATGCTTGAATTGGAAGGTGTAATGAGCTACATGAAAGCTAATCACATCCACATGAACATTCCCAACTTTAAGGAAGGTCAAAAAATCAACAAACTTAAGGAAATGATGATGCACTTGGATATTAAAGGCATGGAAGAGTTATATACTTTAGTCTTAACCAAACCCACACACATTCAAGAAATCTACCACCAACTTTTGCCTATTGTTGGAACCAGAGCTTCCCTCCACTGTATCATGAAGTGCATGGAAAACGACAAAATCGATGATAATACTTTGACCGACATGTTACAAGATATGCCCAAACACATTGTAGCCCCTAATCAAGTTGTTTTAACCGAGATGGAAAAATTAATGACTTTAAACAAAGACTGGGAAGTCCAGAAGAGCGCTATCTTGGCTTTCTCTAACATTGTTAGCTCGTCTCACAAATTCCAACAAAAAATGTACAAATACCGCCACTTCAACGAGTTCTTTGACGAAAAAGAATTCGAAACTGAAGTTCCATCCAGCAAAGATATCGAAAAGAAGTTTGAAAAATACGTTACCATGTTTGTCGAAAAAGTAAAATCAGCCAAAACCTACAAAGAACGTCTTGTCTATTTCAGCGCTCTTTCAAACATGGGGCTTGATTCCATGATCCCACACTTGATCCCAATAATTAGAGGAGAAGTTTTCCCAGACCATCACATCAGACTTTGGGCTATGTGGACCCTTAGTTCTGTAGCCGAGGGAAACCACGAAGAAACCTATGACTTATTATGGCCAATCCTATCAAACACCAAGGAACACACCGAACTAAGAATCGTCGCTTACTGGATCATCATGGAGACCATCCCTTACAAAACCACCTTCATGAACATGTACTGGACCCTTAAGAACGACCCCTGCATGGAACTTTACCACTTCCACTACACTTACTTGCAATCTTTAAGCAACAGGGCTGATAGATGTTACGGCGACATGAAGATTTGGGCCAGACAATTGTTGAGGTACATGAACCCACCAACCCACGGTGTTTCAGAATACGACCTGATTGATTTCGAGGATATCAAATACGGGTTTGGCATGGGATTACACGGAGTCTTCATCCGTTCCAATGACAGCATCATAATTAACGGAATTCAGACCTCTCAAATCTTCAATCTTTTCCACACTGACTACGTAGTTAACATCAAGATCAACGGTATTAAGAGGAGCTGGGATTTGTTCACCCTTAACACCAAATCCAACGACCGTCTCATGACTTTCAATGAAAACGTATTAAACATAATAAATCTGTCTCCGGAGTTGGAAAAAGACATGCACATTGAAGTCGTTTTAATGAAAGACAACCAAATTGTCGACACTATGTTTATCGACTTCGAACAACTTGCCATGCTTAAGAAGATGCCCGTAATGAAATGGTGGAAGGAGGGATCTGGTTTCAGCAAGAAACAAATGTCCATTTCATATGATATGTACGCTAAAACTTTGATTCCCACCGATATGGGTATGCCAGCTCTTCTCATCGTTTCCGTACCAGAGGTTCACTTAATTGACATGAAATTCAATAAAGAAACTGTCGACAAAGTAATGAAATTGCACATTGATGGCAGCGTTAAAACCTGGGCTCACGCCAAACATGGTCTTACAGTTTACAATCCCATTGCCGATGCTATGCAAGGAATCAACAAGTACCACTCGTACGACTCAATGATTCCATTGTTAATGGATGTTTCCGTTAATACCCAACAAGGAACGATCAAATTTTCCGTTGGAAAACATAATGATGCCACCAAAGATTTGATGGGTTTGAGAAGCCATGTCGCATCTATTGTTTTTATGAATGAGCAGGGCAAAGCCACCTCTGAATTACAATTGTCTAGTCCTAGTTCCAAGCACCACGTCATGGTAACCAGGGGAGAGAAGCATAGACACAATGTAAGGCAAAATTTTACAAAATTATTAACATTTTTATAATTTTATTTATAAATTTCAGTACCCTCTATCATACCACGAAGACTCAATCTCCGGAAGAAACTGGGAAATCCAAGTCTACGACTCCGAGATAGCCGTTTCCAATGGAACCTTTAACCACGCCAGACATATGTTCTACCAACCTTACACTAAACACTTTAAAACTCCTTTCCAACACATGTTCTTGTCCGCATTGAATATGGATGCTTATATCGACATGATGCCAATGCCCAAGACTCATGGTCTTTTCGTAAGAGTATGGCCCAAAAACGATGTTTCCAACGTTGACCTAACTATTCGTTTCGACCGTACAATTTTGTCCAGGGAGTTCATCTACGCTCCAGCTATGAAAGTTAACGCTAAGGTTACTTACGCTGTTAAGAACGCTGAAAAGAGTTTAAAGACTTGGGATATGAATGCTGTTTGGGAGAGAAACGATGGCCACAGTGTCAACGCATTGAAAATGGTTATTACTAGGATTATTCCAGGTCAAAAAGACTACAAAGTATGCGTTGATGGTACCAGGAAATGGAACTTAAAGGGAGTTACTGGCCACCTTAATATTGGTATGGGTCAATCCGCCGATGACAAATGCGTTTTAGATGATACTACCATTGAGATTACCATGACTGGAGAAAAATCAGAAGAACAGTTAGCTCCATCAGAACATTCTTACCATTCATGCGAATACCCCATGCCCTACAGCGTATCTTCATACAAAACAATGAACTGTTTATATGCTATGACTTCCATCCGTAAATACGTCTACGATATTAAAACCAACAAGGTACCAAATGAATTTAAAAAGAATTTAATCAAGGTATTGGATGTGGTTAAATCCGAACACATGCCATTCTTCCAATGGGTAGATGAACACCACGAAAAAATTGGCGAGCAAAACCTCAAAATCGAAGTCACCTATCCAATGTCGCGTTCCGTGGTAGACATCGAAGTCTTCACCAACCAACACTTATTCTCCATGACTGGATTGCCAATATCTACATGGGCTTTCTACGGTTTCCACCCAGATTCCCTTCAGTACCCAAAAATGATGCATGTATTCCACAACATGGGCAAGCTTCACTTTTCAAAAATCGACATGGATTCCCAAGTTTGGAACAAGATCTCCAACAAGAAAGACTGGAGCATGATCATTGGAAATGATGCCACCAAACCTACTCAAGCTTTGTTCGTACAGGAAGTCTCTGAAAATGTTATGGTAAGTTTTTTAAATAAGGCGCATTTTAAGCATTTATTCATTTAAACTTTTAGGGAATTAAAATCCAAGATGCCGCCCACACTATGATCCTTACTCCAGACCACGTCAAAATCGACGGACAAGACGGCAAATGGATGGAATCTCTTGACTGGGTATTCTGGAACAACCTGGAACACGAAGACACCCACAAAGTCGCCTTGATGCTCCCACATTCCGGATTATTTATCATCTACGACGGCCGTTCCATGATGGTTTTGCGCCCACCTGTAGACTTTGAATGGCACGGACTCGCTATGCACTAAGTTGTTATAATTTTGTTTAATAAAATATCTTTAAGTTACAAATTACTTTTTTTAAATACCACGATGTTAATATTTATATCGTTCAGGTAAAATAGAAAATACAAAATAAAAACATTTGACCACCCTGTATAACAGCCTTCAAGATCAATCGTTACATCAAAAATCTGCTAATCCTTGGAGCAAGCTATGACGCATCATCTTAGCCTTCTATCTGGCTCATTGGGGCACTGTGTTTATGACTGCAAAAGCAAAACTTACCCTCGGCTTTACGGTTACGTGGGAGGGTTGATATTCGGGTAGCAAAAGTGGGGGAGGCGACGCTTGTAGCACGCCGCGACGAGCCAGTGACGTATCGAACATCGTAGAGCTCTGTGCACGAATGCTAGATCGAAAAAAAACGCGCAAAAGTCGTATTTTTCGTGTGACATGTCTTGAATTTGAGGATTTATGATGTGATTAGGTGTTTAAATGAGGTATTTTGAGTTTTTATTGCTATTATCACTTATTTTAAGAGTTAAAAGGTCAAATATGTCAATAGGCAAATAAAAATATTAAGTCACTATTTATCATTATATTTTGTAAGCAAAATATTTAATTTTAAAAAGTCAAATCTTAAATTAAAATATAAATTTAAGGACTAAAGTTGGCTTTATTATAAATTGTTAAGTGAGGTTAAATTCGTTTGATAGATATCTTTTAATTATTCTTCGTAGATAATAGTTTATCAGTGGCGGCTGGTGGATTTTATGTATACCAATATCTCAGTTATTAGACATGTATAGTTTATAATGACATTAAATAAACAAGTTCAGCGCAAACAGAATTTAAATTGAAGTTTGCACAAAAAAGTTAGTTTTTCCTGTTGCCTAACCCGCCTCCATGCCCCCCTATTTAATATAATTAAAATTAAAGTATTGCAATTTATTATCTACTATAATTTATCGACAAATTTAAAATTTTATTTAAAAAATCCAAAAATTACAGATTTTATTCGATTTTAAATTTTTATTATTTATTTTATTAAAATAAAAAAATATTTAAAATGGTATATTACCTGTTATATTTGGATTTTTTAAATAAAATTTTAAATTTGTCGATAAATTATAGTAGATAATAAATTGCACCACTTTAATTATAATTATCTTAAATAGGGGGGGCTGGAGGCGGGTGAGGCGACAGGAAAAACTAACTTTTTTTCGCAAACTTCAATTTAAATTCTGTTTGCGCCGAACTTGTCTATTTAATTCATTATAAACTATTATAAATTTGGTGAGGGTCCCATGTCTAATAACTGAAATACTGTTATACCCAAAATCCACCAGCCGCCACTGTACTACAGTGACTGTAGTTTATTATTATTTACGAAATGGTTTATTATTATATACGAAAGATAATGCACATAATTTCTACTATTTCCATTAGTAGATATTAAAAAAAAATTCAAAAATAAATAAAACCTTACATCTGTATGATGGTTAACCTTACTTTCTACCAATTTTAAAAAAGATTATAGTCGCCATCTCACAATTTAAAACCCGATTGGTTCACACCACAGTGAAAATTGAAATGGACCAATTACTGATGCCTAACAACGTGAATAATGAGTTCATTATTCCCGCTGTTAGGTGGGGCTGTTATAATGGTTATCATTATAAAATTTTCTAGACACTCATTTTTATTAAACATTCGCTCGCATGCATCGCTCGTGCCCAATTAAAACTCGTGACTAAAATGCAGTTTATTAACATTAATACATAATTAAAATTTCAAAAGAATACAGCAATTTATTTAAAGAACTTTTAAAATAGCAAGAATGAAAAAAATTTCAAATATTATTATTAATATCTTATTTTAGAATGGCAAAAACACATTTAAAAATGTTTATATAATAAAACTAAAAGTAAAACTTACTATAAGTATGTATGCTTATTTTTAAATTCATATTTATAAATTTCTCCAGACATTCGTTTTTATTAAACACCCGCTCGCAAGCTTCGTAACTAAAATGGCGTTTATAAAACTTAATACATAATATACTATTAAATATACTATTAAATATACTATTAAATATACAAAATTAAAAGTATAATGTCAAGAAATTTGTAACATAATACATATTTAGGAAACCTTAATAAAACAGGATAAATGCAAGAAACGTGGTAATACAATAGTAAAAGTAATACCTGTTTCAATGTAAGGTTGGATATTTTTCCCACAAACAAAAAGTTATTGAAAATTGAATTACCCAATTGCTCCCCTTGCATACAGAATTATTTATGAATTCACTAGGGTTAGAAGTCGTAAAAGGAAAACAGGTTAAATGGAGTTTGTATTGAGCGAAATTTAGGGCAAGGTACCTTTGTTCTTTTGCCAAATAAAATAAAACAATAATAGATGTATGTGTTTACAAGACGTTTTAAATATTTATATTAATATTTCCACATTTCTATAAATTTAGCACTTAACGTTTTATTTTTTGTTTTTAGGTGAAATCAAAAAATAGGTATGTTACAAAATAAAAAATGTAACGTCGAAAAGAGATGTTTTCCTTCACCAAATTACTTATTATGGTTCTGCAATTCTGGACTATCAAATCAAAGTATATAGGTGAGATTTTTGCTGATTTATTAAGATATTTATCATACAAATTTTATTGCATGCCCATTTTTGTTATTGAATTGAATTGTTCGAGATACCACTTTGCGTTTTCGGAGGGTGGGAAATAATGGACCCTTTTCAATTTTCTATTTAGAGAAATAGTAAGGGGGGACCAAACTTCCGCACAAGAGTATTATACTCATAAAAACTATCTCAATTGCTGCTTTGATATCTTTATGGGCGATTTTATCATGGTGTCCTAAGATTGTTATTTATTAAAAAATAATTAATAATTTTTTCTTAAATGTTTATTTACGATTGAAACGTTTTTATACCTTTTAAGAATATTGAAAAAAAAAATTACATATTTATTTTTTATAGTTATTCATTTTAATTAAGGTTTTTATTTATTTATTTTAATTCAAGTTTTTGAATTTTTTTATGCAAGGTGTCTTGAAAAGGGCGTACCAACGCATCACAATTTTTATGTGTCTGGTTTTTAAAATTGAATAATAATAATAATAATAATAATAAGGTTTTTGAACATAAATGATTAATATCTCGAAAACTACTTGTACAATTTTTTGTATATTTAAAATAATCCGTTTATGCGCCATCCTCGGGACACCTTTATGCAACAGGTAAAAGAGAGACGAATGTAATGTGATTGATTGTGTGATCGCTTTATCCATTTCTCTCTTGTTTGTTGAGCACACTGTATATTATATATATAGAAATATATACCGTATTTACACGCGTCTACAGCAATGTTTCATATAATTTTGCTTAATTGGCTCTTGTTTTCAAGATATTGCGAAAACTTGTTCGTATATATGTCTATTTTGTTAATCAAATACCAAGGATCATTGTAATGTCCTAAAAAAACTAAAGAAAAATAAAGCACATCCATAGTTTTTTCTTAAAAATCAAATTTTTAACAAAATTAGCTAAATCGTTTTTAGCCAAAATTTGACAATTGACAAAAAAAAATAATAGACATCCATAGTTTTTTCTTAAAAATCCAGTTTTTAACAAAATTAGCTCAATCGTTTTTAGCCAAAATTTGACAATTTTTAAAATTTAAAGTGCTTTAACCAAGGATCATTGTTAGGTCCTAAAAAAACTAAAAAAAAAATAAAAGACATCCATAGTTTTTTCTTAAAAATCCAGTTTTTAACAAAATTAGCTCAATCGTTTTTAGCCAAAATTTGACAATTTTTTAAATTTAAAGTGCTTTAACCAAGGATCATTGTAATGTCCTAAAAAAACTAAAAAAAAAATAAAAGAAATCCATAGTTTTTTCTTAAAAATCCAGTTTTTAACAAAATTAGCTAAATCGTTTTTAGCCAAAATTTGACAATTTTTAAAATTCAGTGCTGTAACACGAACACTTTTTGTTCGATTTAAATAAAATTTAGTTTTGTAGCTTTTTTTATTGTGTTAAAATTTATATATACGGTCATTTTTGCGCCATGGCGCTTGTACGACTCCTTAAATAAATTCTGTGAGCAGTACTGAATTAAAATATTTCAAATAAAAAAACAATGACACTGTTTAACAAAATGTTAATAAATATACAAAACCTTCTTGCCTGATTCACTATTAAAATAAGGGCAAAAAAAATGACAAGCATGATTTTTTTTAAGAAATATTAGATTATTAAGCATTTATCAATTAATATTTTTCACTGAACTTTTTTTTAAAGGAGCGAAAATGATGGTAAATATAGTTTTACGCCATACCACGTGGTTGTTTGTGCGCCATTTTTGAGACACCCTGTATATCACCCAAAAAAGATTTTCCCGAAAAATAACTTTAATATAATTAAAAAAAAAATATTATAGTTTTTTTGTTATAATATTTTTTAGTATAAATTTCTTTCCCCATTTTTACAATACTTTCCTATGCTATATAAAAAATCTTTTTTATAAAATCTCCCAAAAAACTACTTTTAGGACAGTTGGTAATATTGAAACCAATGCTCCCTAGGCGGACATAAATTCACCCTTAACTTTTATAGAGTATATCTACGAAAATAACGAAAATAAATTATTGATACGGACTCAAAAACACATAAAAATGATAAATATATTTGCTAAAAGCTTTTCACATAAGTTCTAATTATATCTCATGCTTTATAAATATATATTTTTATTAAATTTCAGAAACAGTAACCATAAGCGATTGCGAATCCTGCAGACTTCTATTAACTTGTCGAGGTCTTAGTGCTGTTATCGCGATTTTGGAAGTCAATTTTACACCATACAACATTGAAAAACAAACGGAATTGACCACTTTTTGGAGTAAAGAAGATGATTACCCTCTTCGTCCAATACATCCTAGGGACGTTTTAAATTATCGGTAAGCATATTAGTTTATTATTATTATTATTATTATTATTATTATTATTATTATTATTATTATTAGCGTAAAACAGTTTTTAAGTTAAAATCTACTATTTATAAAATCCTAATTTTAACAATCTATGATTTCTTCTACTTGCAAATTTGTTTTTATTCACAACGCGCCGTTGTACATGTACAGTGCACTCTTTAATGTATACAGTATTGATTGTAAAGCTTTAACAATTTGCCTGCAAAAATGTAATCAAAATCGGAAATGAACGGTTTGTATTTTAAATAATTAGGAAGGTAAATTAATGGCTTTTGGGGGACATTTAAAATCTATAAATATTTAATGAAGGAATGTTAGTAGCTACCACACATCTGCGCTTTTAACCCTTGCCGTTTTTAATGAATAATTAGGATTAGATAATGGGCAGATAATGTGCTATAAATATTTTAATTATGGAATTCATTAAAAATTTTAGTGAGAAATTTCAACGGCAAACCAAATATTATTATTAATTAGAACTTTGTAAAGTTTTTATTTTGTTTTGTTATATAATGTAGGTACTCAGGGTTCTCAGCATTGTTTTGTACTTTTTTATGATTTTTTTACTAATTTTTCAAATTTTATGACACTTATTATGACAAGAAGCATTGTTTTGTACTTTTTTATGATTTTATGACAAATTTTTCAAATTTTATGACCCTTTTTATGACAAGAATTTATTTTTTCTAAAGTTATTTTAATAAAAAATATGTAATTTTTTAACTGTTTATTATATAAAAATAAATATTATTTCTCGCACCAAAATAAATATTTCTTCTCAGTTTTAGCCGAATGTTGAATATTTTTTTATAATAATAATAATAATAATTTATTTATCAATCAAACCAGGTACATTTAAGGAGCAAAACATATGGTTTATTTGACTAGTCAAGAAAATATATATAGGTATAAAAAATAAAAGTTGAAATTTAATCATTTATCTAATAAAATCATACAAATAATAAAATAACCAAACATCGACATTTGGGGAAAAGTTGCTTCGGAATTCAAAAACTTTTCAAAAGGGAAATTGGGCCAACAAAAAACACGAATTAAAGAGTAAAAGAATAATCGTATATAATACCACTAGTGGTAAAATTTTACCGATAAAATTTTTGATTTTTATACGAATGTTTTTTTCTTGTAAATTTCGCAAATTGCCACGAGCCGCCAGGCGAGTGGTTTTAAATTAATGCCACGAGCGAAATTTACAAGTAAAAATCTTAAGTAAATCAAAATCAAAAAAATTTTTTTAATTAGAAATAACTGCCGAATCAATTTCTGTATGATTTTTTATTTTAAAATTAGGAACGTCAACATTGACAATTATTTTTCGCATAGCAACAAATTGGTTGCTATGCGAAATATAAAAAAGTGTTTTTTTACCTAAATGGTAGTTTTATCGCTGCAAAACTGAAAAAACCACTTGTTTTCTGAAATCTGATTGGTCCATAAAGTAATGAGTGGAATAGTCGAATTTAAACAAAGTGGCAACAAAACACTTAATTGGTTTAAATTCGTTTAATTAAATAAAGCTTGAATTTTTACTCTAAATGGTTAAAAAGCTGATTTAAAATCGATCCGTCAAAAAAATATTATTTTCTGGGATTTATTTTAGAAAAACGTTAATTACTCCCAAACCGTAACTGCTAGAAATTTATATATAAATCCGACAATAAGTGACCTGGTATTAAAAATTAAATTAAATTTTTCGAGGTACAAGGGTTGAGATGTATCCATGTTTTATATACTCCAAGGTAATGGATCTTAGAGCATAAAACACATATTTTTTTTTAAATGCGCTGTGTATAAAATGTAAATCAATAAATTGTAAACAAAACAAAACAAAACAGCATGATAAAAATTGGATCAATACACAAATTGCCTCGACCCTCCGAAACATATAACCTTACAAAAAACCTTGTCCTCTAACATGGGCGCCGGAAGGAATTCGTCTAAGGGGGGGCCCTTAAAGTTTTTTAGAATTTTGATAGATGTTATTTATAATCAAGTTGTACTGTAGAAGTTCACATTAAACTTAAGTCAAATAAAATATCATCTTTATACAGGGTGTCCCAAAAGTCAACGAGATCCTTTGGAGGACTGATAGACCAACTCATGACAAAGCAGAAAATCAAAATATGACCTTAGTAAAAAATCGTTAGTTTTTGACATTTTATGAATTTTGTAAAACTTGACACCTTAGATTAGTTTTTCGAGTGCCACAGCTACAAAATCTGCTATTAATTTAATTTTGAATTGTAATTAATAGCAGTCCTATTCAGGGTTTTTGTGTAAAGTTTCACAAAATTCATAAAAATGCCAATATCTTAAAAACTAATGATTTTTTACCAAGGTCATGTTTTGATATTCTGATTAGTCATGAGGGACACCCTGTATGTATATTTGTAAATTTTACACAATTATTAGCACCATCTGTTTATCAATTCACTAGGCTTATGAAGAAATCTCTTCTATAGTCGACTTTTTCAACATATATAGTTCGTATATAGAAATATGTCAGCCAAGAACGTGTCTTACTCAGGGATGGGCAAGATCCGGCAAAAAGGATTTAAATCTAAATCCATAAATCCACACCATAAACCATAAACTGGATCTAAATCCTCAATCATAAATCCATTACGTTATCTGGATTTAAATCATAAATCCCAAATCCACTTGCAAAAAAGGATTTAAATTCTGAATCCATAAATAAATCCTCTATTTTTTTAATATTTATTTCATTAATTTTCCAAGAACAGTTTCCGGATTATTTCAATTTTTAGGTTTATTTAAGCTAAAACCCCTTGGATTCCAAATTAAAATTGATATGAACCTTACTGCACGTATATAAGATTCCATCGAAGATCTTTGGAATATGAACATAATGATCTGTGGCTTCTGGTTTCTTCGCCATAGGATTATGAACGGAATCAGTAAACTGTGCTTCTGATTTCTTTGAACATCCAGCCATTTCATTCATTTTACAACTGTAACAACACTAGTATTCATTAAGACGGCACAAATCTTAAATTATAAGATAACAAATCTAATTTATCTAAAAAATAATGAACAAATGATAACGATCAGCACTTACCGTCAAATTATGAAGTACCGGAATTTCTGGGTATGAATTTCCAGGGGGGGGCCCGGGCCCCCCCCTGCCCCTATGTAGCGGCGCCCATGTCCTCTAACTTTTGCGAATTGGATGATTCGCTGCTATACGTTCCGTTTGCGGTAGAGAGCGAGGGTGGCCTTGCTTCAAGTGCGTGGCCTCGCCTCCTATTTTTTTCCATTGGTTTTTGCGAAATCCGTGACCTAGACTCCGCACATGTGCACGGACGAATTTCATATTTCGGCTATCAGGAGCTCAGACGTGAATGCTGGTATAGGAATTCATATTGTTTCGTCGATGGGATGCACGTCACCTCAATTAACTGGCAAAATTTATCATTTAGTTAATTAGTAACTTTTTTATTTATCTAAGGAGAAAATAAGGATGACTTCTGTTATTTATCTACAGGGGGTATCTAATAAATGTGTTTTATTTGGCTTTGATGTACTTACTAAATGTACTCCTAAGTATCTTAATAAATAAAGAACAAACCAAACTTGGCTCCTTATCATAATGTTTGGATGCACTTAGTGCTATAACTAAACATATGTAGTAACAACTTGAGAAAATATTTTTAGGTCTATATTTCATGTTATGATATTAGGAAATTAGTTTTTCGTCCTCATTTATAAATAATTTGCAAAAATAAATCTAAAACGTTCGTTTGCGATTTAAAATATTTTTAAACGATTTTGCAAAAAAATGTATCATGTTCTAGGATTTCAGTTTTAATAAAACGCCGCAATTATTTTTTGGAAAAATTTTAAGCAAATTACTTAAGTGATTAAAAAGTTGCTAAACCTATTATTTTTTATGACACAAATTTTAACGTTTGGTCCTATAAACATTTATCGAGAGTTTAAAAGTTTTTATTGAAATAATTTTTAAACAAATAATTTAAGTACAATTTTTAGTACAACTTTTTCTAAAAAAAATCCAATTTTGTAAAAAAATAAACTGGGTGATCATTTTTTATAATTACAACTTTTATATATGGAATATTATAAAATAATATAATAATAATTAGGTACTTTTGTTATAAAACTTTAAAAATGTATGATAATATAGTACCTACCTATAGTATAAATAAAGTTTATATAATATTTTTAAACAGGAAGCAGGAATTTTGACATATCGTATTATTGGTCCCTTATATATTGACCAAAATTTGAATGGTCAAATTTATTTTGAAATGTTAGATGAAACAATACATTCACATAATTATTATTATAATAAATGAACTAGAAATTCACAGAGGAGGGGATGATGAACTAGCTTTGGATGATGATGATGATTACATTTTTAACAAGATGAGGCACCCAATTATGGGGTGTTAGGGATTTATTATTATCATCCTTGTTAATAAAGGGGTGTGTCATATTTTGACTTGCGGATGACAAAATTTTGGTGTTATCTTAATTTTAATGTTTTTTTTATTTATATTTTATCAAAATTTTTAGTCTTGTACAAAAATGTACAATGTTTAGCAGTTCATTAAGCAATGCAATTTGCCGTATATGTAATAAAAAATGTGTTTCCAACTTTTTTAATGCAACAAAAATCATTAAAAAACGTGTTATTTTTTAGGGTTGTTTAATGAATACGTCATAAACAATGTTCCTGACGTAAACTATAATATACGATTTGACAGATATTAATAAAAAATGCCACAATAATTTTTGTAAATTTTACTTTCCTTTAGCTTATAAATTCTTAAGATAAAATTTAAATTTGAACAATGTATAAGTTATACATTATAACTTTCCTTATATATTTAATTTTTAACATGGCTTGTAAAAATGTTGATTATTTTTTTATTAGGTGCATTTAAAAATCCGATTATATTTTTATTATGACCAAAAAATTTGTAATCAAGAGATCAAATTCGACTTGGGGACACAGTGCGCCGGGTTAAACCTACACTTCACAAGTAGTAATTGACACAAAAGGGAGAGTCTCCCTTAAGGGACAATTGTCTCTGGTAATTGCTGCCCTCATTTGGTAATTTCACCTAAAATATAGCAAATATATTTTTATCCGAATTTGGTAGTAAAGTAGTCAACAATACGAGTATTGTATGCAACCCATTATACATTTTAAGATGTGTCTACTGCTCCTCAGCAGCAACTAGATAATATTTAAAAAAAAGCACCGTCGCGGAGGTCGATTGGACCCTTTCATAAAATGTTTTTTAATAAAAATAATAAGTTAATTTTATTAATTAGATTAAAAAATCGCCGCGGCGGGCAAATATGTAACAAACACTATACGTAGACACTTCCTACATTCAAATGACATTTGATTTGATCATCAAATGACATTTGATTTAATCATCAGTATTAATTATTAGAATTATTAAATGTGATTTCGGATAAAATTTAATATGCACCTCGGCATTAAAGTCATTTTTTATCACTCACGTGGTAATAATGTCCACATTCGTGATAAAAAATACGACTTTACTGCCTTGATACATAAATAACTATTAACGTAAATTTCAGTATTTTTACTTCATCTTTTATTAATCCAGGTCAAACGTAATGAAAACAAACATCTCAAACAAAAGATCGTCAAGAACAGGATTTAGAAAATTTTGTTGACATTGCATCGATTCTCTCAATCTCTGTTCTGGGTTACCTATAACTTTTCCAATTCGATTAGTAAATTGTCTTGTTTGTCTTCCCAATTTTACCAGCTTTAAAAGCTCAAAACTATACATTTCAAACAAAATATCTAACATCTGGTAATTCAGTTGCGCCCTTGCGCCAATTTTGAATACAATGTTCTCCCCTTCATTAGCAAATTGCAATTTACCCATTTTATTGGCAATAAATGTAATTACCACCGAATTTTCGCAGATATTTCAAAATGATTAGAAATGTCGTTAATTTACTGCCTACATAAACCATGGCCGTGGTAAATATATGTGGACACATGCCATGTGCTTAGAAAAGGAAGTGTCTAAATCCAAAAATGCAATTTAACGATGTTTGGGGGAGATAGGTATCACAGTACAGACTATTCTATAGAATGTATACATATTTAACAATGCTTATATTGTCCATTGGATATTATGTCTCCATAGACAATTTTTATATTCAAATAAGGTCGTTTTAACGTAGGTATTTAAAAATCAATATAATCCATATAAAAACGATTTATTAGATTAACAAATTACCACCTATAGACACTTTGTATACAAAGTGTCGTTTTAAAGAATTCATTAATTCACCCAATTAACGTAAACCAATTTTGACTAGGTGTTTAGAAAATAATCCAATATAGTGTTCATTGAACTTCCTAAGTAAATGATTGGTAGAGCAACTTAACCGAAACTGACATATATATTTTTAAATACACAATTAAATTCTAAGAGGAGATTTAAAGAATCACTTCGTGGTGAGGAATAAAGAAGCTTAATTTATTTTTAGATGTTCTGGAATGAACCATTGCAGTTTTGAGCTAACCCATGATTGTCCAGATTCAAAAAACTGGGGTCCAGGGAATTTAACAGTAAAATATGCTTGTATATCAGGTAAGCCCTTTTTTATAACATAAATACATATTCTACAAAACCATAACAAATTATAAAAAAATAAACACAACAGATGCAGAGAAGCCTTTACAATAGAGAACTGCAATATCATAGTGGACAAAATTAATATTAATAAATACACAACCCAGATAAGGTACTTCCACGTCTCATTGTGAGAGGGATTACCCGTAACAAAAGGAACGTGTGTGCAAGTCGCAATATCTCTCAGATTTTCCAATTTTCACGCTTTACCCTAAATTTCTAAAAGTTGACGCCATTCAATGGGGAACTGTGTCACACCAAATGATAAATAGGATCACTGTCTATTGTGGCGTAACACGGCCCTTACACGAGTATTTTAATACCGAGGCTTAACACAAAATATCTACATACAGGGTGATATTTTTAAAAATCAATATAATCCATATAAAAACGATTTATTAGATTAACAAATTACCACCTACAAAGTGTCCATAATATTGTAATGTTATATGGACTCTACAACAACCATTACCTACTATAGTTTATAAACATTTGAATTTCAAATTTTGAAATCGTCATAACCTTGAGGAATACTTTGCTCTAGTGAATACCGTTTTAAAAAAATTAATGGAAAAATATCTGGGCGTTTCTCTGTAAACTGGGCAACTTGAAGTAAGAAATTGTCTAGGCAAGTTTTTTTGTTATATTTTTGTTGTATTTAATAAATGTTATTCGAGGTCTAAATATCGGTCTATTTATTAGTATACGGCAGATGAACCAAAAATATTCCTATTACTTTGGAAAACATTGAGCATTTTCTGAAAAATCTATACAGGGGACTGTTTATAAAATCCGGAGACAAAGTTTAGATGACTTTTTTAGAATTACAAACTAATAATTATAAAAAATAAATAAGTCACAGTAACAAGCAAACAATATTGGTTGAATAATTAAACAATTAGGTTGATTCCAATAGTTACTGTCTTTAATTAATTTAGTCTGAAGTGACCATTTTGCTTTGGTGACACGTCAGGGGACTGGTTTTTAAGGACTATAAAAACGATTTTGATACATTAAAGTTTATTTTATTGGATTTTGAACGTCGAGCATAGGTAGATTAGGTTATTATCTTTTGAAGTTATCTACGAAATATTTATGATCTGTTATATTTCTAAACAATATTAGCTTGAGACAATGAGTTGCCCAGTTTACAGAGAAACGCCCATCTATATTGTGCTAACAATATTGAAAAATATGTAAGGTTTATATTCTAAGGATATCCATCTCTGGCTCATTACATAAACACAACACTTGTTCATCATATTCTTGACATTCAACATCTTGTGCAACATATTTACCATTTAATATAATATGTATACAATATATAATATGTATACATTATGCATATATGCATATACCTATAGGTATATATAATATATATTATACCTATAGGTATATATAATATATATTATGCTTTTTAACAATACCTTTGTGATTTTGTCGAAAAATGACATTCAAATAAAAATGGAAATACGGCCTTTTGAAAGATCACTCCTCAGTTGCCAAAACATACTTGATAAGTAACCATAATGGAATTGAATTGGCATGCATGCAATTGAATGCATTCAAAGATATAGGTATATTGTAATTTTGTATTTTCTGTGAAAATTATTGAATAATAAGTATTTAAGATTAGATTGCAAAATATTTAATAGGAACGAATTGCACCTACAATTTTATTTAGTATCTATTTCTTTAATATGAACCTACTTCACACATCATTACAATTTTTTTTTCGTTTAATATTGTTTCCCCCATCAGGTACATATCATAATCATTTCTCATTTTTTGACATGGATATGTTTAATTAAATAAAGCCACTGACTTATCTATTTGCTTTTTAGAACGGGTGATAACAAAATACTGCAACAGTGTCATCAATTTGCCAAGCCCAAACAGTAGCGGGATATCGCAAGGATTCATCCATAATCCTGGATATCCGCTGTATTACTCTGGAAAGGAGTGCCAATGGAAGATAAAAGCCCCGCCTAGTCAAAAGATACAACTGTCTATCATCGATTTATCGCTTCACTGTGAGTATTAAAAACAATTTTATTTTTTTTACTGTTTTGCATAATATAAACATTCTTAAGACAGTTATATCCCAAGCAACAATTTAAGTATTTGTTATGTATATGGGACTATTGAAGAAACTTTAAAGTGTTTTGCCACAGTCGCCGGTCTCTTTATATTACCCTTTTATTACTAAGTTACGACTAAAGTGGGGAACAATTATTAAGTTCCAAAAAGGTAACAAATACCTATGTCACTAGCTATAAACCGTGCTACTATTTGGAACGTAGCTGCTACGTTACTAGAACGTTTCAATATCGTTGCTAGAGCGTTATAATTACTTTTATTTATTTGTTTTTACTTCTGTATTAACTGTCTTTGTCAAACTTATATAAGATTATACTATCCCTCATTTTTTAAATGGAACCACTACGGACTTGGCTTTTCAATGTCGTCGTTTATTAAATATGTAATGGTAGTTTATAACTTCCAGAATAACAATATAATGTTTAATTAGGCAGGTAAATTTAAAAACCCTTTAAATTTTACTGTGGAACTTATGAATTTAGTTTTTGTATATTTAAGTGTAAACAAATTATTTATTTAATAATGTTTATAAATAAAAAGATCCTAATATTTATTATTAATGTTTTATTTAATTATCAATACCGTCTATTACCAACAAAATTACTATTTATTAAAAAGTAAACAACCCAGTACAGTAAAAAATGGCCGATAAGAAGCATTTTCCTTTGAAGTAGTTTTCGCTACTTTAAAGTTTTTTTCCACCTTAATTTACTTTACGGTGGTTTTGGATAGTACCATAAACGTTCCAAATACTAAAATAATATCTTTTAAGTTATTAACTTTGTAGTTTTTAACTCATGTTCCAGTTTCGAGATTTTAACTTACAAAGTAAAAATAATTATAATGTAATCTTTAGGTAGCAACCGAAAGTAACTGCTACAAATTAAATTTGCTTGAAAGTTTTTTTTACTTATAAAACCTTTTTTAAAGTTGCAAAGTCTTCTTGGGGGCAACCAAGTTTTACTTTACAGTAACCATTTAAGGAACGAATGAAGTTTATGTTACAAAATATTGCTATTTAAAAGTTAGAATTACTTTTAAGTAAAAATTAAAGTAATCACCACTTTGGTAATGGTTTTTGGAACCAAAATTGCTGCTTGGGATCCAGCTCTAGTTGACTTTCTTCAGAGTCTTCTATATCCAATCCATACCTAAATAATCTTTTTAGCCAACCCTACCGACAGTGACTGTTCGGATTACCTCGAAATCCAAGACGATACCCAAGTGGTATACACCTCGTGCGTACAAGAGCACCCACCCATAGTATTAACTTCATTTACAGAAGACTTTACCATAGTGCTAAAATCGCAAAATGACTTCAACCCTCGCAGAGGTAGATATCGTCATAGTTTTTGGAAACCTTGTAATCTAAAGACTTTTTTTAGGATTTTTCATACACTACAGTGCCTTGGGGTGCCCCATGCCGGAACTGCCCGAAGACGGTTACCTTGTTTACAGAAACGACACCGCTGCGGTGTTCCACTGCTGCGTGGGGTTTCATTTTCCTGATACAGGTGCTCGCAGGAAGGTGATTTCCTGCGAAGGCGACCGCTGGAACGAGACACTGCCTTTGATGAATTGCGAAAGTAAGTTTTACTTTAGCTTAAGATGTTTTTATTGTCCTATAAACTGTCTAAACAAACTAAAAATTGCCCTAAAACTTTTTAAAATGTCTAGACTCTTGGTTAAGTTTGTTTTTCACTCTTTAGTTTTAATTACGTTAACCTTCAAATATTATTTATCGGCTCAAATTATATTATAGCTACATAATATCTTATAAAGCAAAATATTTACAAAATAATAATTCATTAATAAATTTAGTTTTTTTAATAAGAACTTATCAGGAAAATTATTTATAAACAAATAAATAGGTTTTATTATCATGAATTGAAACTGTTCTCAAAATTTGATTTTTATTCGTTGTTTTTTTTAACTTTTCATTACAAATAAAAAAATAATAATAGCGTCTTTCCATCTCAAATCGACCAGGCAAACATTTTTTTTACAGTTTCTCTACCTAAATCAAGGAGACCCGTACGAATATGTATCGTTACAATTTTTTTTTAATTGTAGGTACATAAATGTTTACTAAAAGAATTAAGTAAGTTTACTCAATTTTTTTTTCTAAAGAAGGCAAAAAAAAATGAAGTAAAAATGTTGACATTTCCACATTTTATTTTACTTTATATTTTTGCCATTTGAACTGATAATACATATAAACTACTTTTTCCATCATTAAATTAAATTTACAGAGTCAAGGTTGCTAAACACACAAAACTTGAGTTAAATTTTTTTAAAGATGCAGTAAATAATAATGTACTTTTTGATCTACTTTTACAACATTTTTATATTTAAACCAGTATAAAATCGCCGCTACTGACCCAATTAATTTAAAATTTGTACAGATTCAAGGTAATTAATATCAAAAATTTTAAAATAATCTTTTTATAAGGTTTTTAAAATAATTTAAATTTTAACTGCCTTTTGAGCTTCCTTAAAAAAGATTTAAATCATTTAAACCCTTATAAAATCTACGCCACTGAACCAATTGAATTAAAATTTATACAGGATCAAGATTAATACAACATAAATATGGCGTTTAAATTTCACAATGAGATCTTTATTAGTTTTATTTTTAATGAATTTTTGCCACTTTTTCGTCATTCTAGTCCAACGTGCGCCAAACAATATCATTTAGTTATTTATGAAACGGCGCGCCGCGGCGTGGAATTTTAAGCGTTTATCAATTTTTATAAATAGTTTACGAGATAATGATTTTTTAATCAAATTGTGCAGAAAGGTTCATTCAAACATTAATTAATAAACAAATGAATTTTTCTGAAAAACTTTATAGCGGGAGATTATTTTCAAATAATTACATAGGTATATGTAATTATAAAAATTGAAACTATAGTTTAAATTTTTCAGTTATATGATATAATAACAGCTCCCAGGGAATTTTCAAGTGCTATTTTTAGGATTTTATGACGAATCTTAGTAGAATTTAAGGACATTTCAGATAAATTTTAGGAAAAATTTACAAACTTTCAAACGTTTTATTAGATAAAAATAAATTATTCATTGGATAACAAAAATATCTACTTTTTATCCCAAGGTATACATATATAATATAAAATGTCTTATAGGGTAGTTTTGTGTCACTGTTTTGTATTTATTAATAGGACGTCGTTTTTTTCTTTTTTTAAAGCTTCACATAGCTGTTCCTTTTCTTTAGTGCTTAGTTCTACTGCAGTAAAGGAACTGTGTAGGTCCGATTTTTTAATTGTGTTCTTTACAGTATTAAATAGTTTTTTAATTGTTAATTTTGTTTTGATATATCCTATAGGATCCAATTCGCTAATTTTGATCACACAACCATAGAGTAGGCAACCAATATTACAAACTGATGTTTTTATCATGGTGGTGGTTTATGGGGCAAATTTAAATATCCTTTTAGGAATTTGAGAACCCTGTAATAATTGCTAACTTTTTGTAACGTTTTTAAAATAATCAAATAATAATTATTTAATTAGTCAATATAATTTGAAATAATATTATTCTTTCAAATTATATTGACTTATTATAAAATTATTTTCAGATTCAGATTTTTCTTAAATGATGTTTTGTAGACTAAACAAGCATCAAATTATATTTACAAATAAATAAATTGACAATAATTGAGTTCCCCACTCGCAGACTCCGAATAAATTAAGAACTAGCAAACAATAACCGACCAGTAACTAAACAACAATAGTTCTTATCGCAACTGTTTGTTAAACTGGTTTACATTTATTCATTGCTTATCCTAATGCAAAATAAGCAGTTTTGCTTTATTCCTCTTCAATTTGTATGTTAGTGACAATTGTTCATTGGTAAGTTTTTTAATTAAAAAAATTATTAATGCGTAAATAAAATAATACATTTTTGCAAAGCACAAAGACTTGTATGCATATCAGTATGAAACATATGATTATTGATTAGCAAAGTCAAGCAAATCTAAACCTTAAGAATAAAGAATTCTATTTATAAAGCAAATAAATGAACGCAACGCCCATGTGTAGAAAATATCGCATGACAACTTTTCATTCATAAATTCGGTTCTAACCTTTAAAACGTCGAAAACACGTGGAAAAACAGTCTGATATTTACGCATTTCTGCTAAAATAATAAGGTAACATATAGTCCAGTCATCTAGGCATTTCACCTCGGAATCTAACGGAATAAGCTGAATTTTGGTACAAACCTTTATTTTAGCATTACAAATGTTGTCTCAAAAGTCACATATGCCAACGTGTGAGCGGCCTTAGATATTCAAGGTCAAAGGTCGTAAAAATCAATTTTTTGAGAATATCTCGTTTTATCTGCCTCCTATCGTATTTGCATTGATTTTGAAAGTTGTAGAGAATAAAATTCTCTACAAATTTTGTTTAAAACATTTTTTTAAATTTCTAATCGTTTTTGAGATAGAGGGCGCAGAGTGTGGTGCGCTCAGCCATACGTACCTTAGCGCAAGGTAAGGGTGAATCCCAATCTATTATACCGTTTTTTTAATTAATTATTTATTATATATTACTTAAATAATAATTTAATACCTTATATTAATTTTTATATTTCTTTTAAATCAAATAGTCATTAAATATTACTTACCTTTGAAATACAAATAATTAAATAATGAAGTGAATCATTCTAAATATATTCTATTGTTATTCTAATTAATGATAAAAGCATTTTAAGAAGAGAAGGCATTAAATCTCTTAGATCCAGATATTACTTTTAAAATAACAGACCTGAAAATACTATACTGCCCTACTATGGAAAAAGGCAGTAACTACAAAAAACTGCAAAATGCGTTTTCTTGTTTTATGGTAGAGCTATTGACATTTTGTTTTCAAAATCAACACAGAAATGTGCTTTTTATAAAAATGTTGTTTATGCTAATTTCCCACAAATTTCTTGTTTAGCAGTTACTGCTTTTCTACATAGTAGGGCAGTATAGTATTTTCAGCTCTGTTATTTTAAAAGTAATATCTGGATCTAAGAGATGACCAGAGATTACATATTCAAGGCCATTTCATTTAATGCCTTTTCTTCTTAAAATGCTTTTATCATTAATTAGAATAACATTAGAATATATTTAGAATGATTCACTTCATTATTTAATTATTTGTATGTCAAAGGTAAGTAATATTTAATGACTATTTGATTTAAAAGAAATATAAAAATTAATATAAGGTATTAAATTATTATTTAAGTAATATATAATAAATAATTAATTAAAAAAACGGTATAATAGATTGGGATTCACCCTTACCTTGCGCTAAGGTACGTATGGCTGAGCGCTACACACTCTGCGCCCTCTATCTCAAAAACGATTAGACGTATAAAAAAATGTTTTTTACAAAACTTTTAGAGAATTTTATGATCTACAACTTTTATAATATATACAAATACGCTAGGAGGCAGATAAAACGAGATATTCTCAAAAAACAGATTTTTACGACCTTTGACCTTGAATATCTAAGGCCGCTCACACGTTGGCATATGTGACTTTTGAGACAACATTTGTAATGCTAAAATAAAGGTTTGTACAAAAATTCAGCTTATTCCGTTAGATTCCGAGATTGATCCCTTTTTTTGACTAAGATGACTGTACTAATATCCTGTTATATTTATTTAAAATGACATACCTTTTATCGTTTTTGTTTATCAGCGCAGTGGCGTAACATTTATTAATTATTTTTTTTATTTTCTAGGAGATATTCTTTCTAATATTCCTACCAAAAGTGTTACATATAAGGAAGAAATGGCCTCAGGTAAAATTTTATTAAAAAAAATTATTGTTTTTCTAATATATTTTTTTATAGATTTAATTGCCCCAACTTTGCTTATATTGGCTTTATTCATTGTGAATGGAATAGTGCTTTTTTACATATACACAGTGAAAAAAAGGTATTTATATTTTTTATACTTTATAATTATAAGAGTACTATTTTTTTATTTATAGAAGTGCCATAGAAGTTAAGGAGGAAGAACTAGGAACTTTAACATTGAGCACCAGTACCCATTCAAATAGATGATTATTAAAAGTAATAATATTTAAACTAAAAAGTATTTAAAGATGTTTATTGCATAATATTTATTGCCATAGGAACCCATAGTCATTAACCAAATACTTTTATATTGAAATGTTTTATTATTTAAATAAAAATAATTTATAAATTGTGTTTTAAAATATTAACCCAGTGTTCATAAATAAAAAACAATACAATTAAAACATAATTTACTCTCAACATAACATCTTTAAAAATATTTCTGCAAAGGTTCACCCAAAACCTTCTCCATTTCCTGCACAGCCTTCTTGCAAGACTTCTCCACAATTTCATCCTCATCCTCCAGCAACTCGGCCAAAAACGGTATGGTTTCCGGCAAAAGCGGAAGAAAGTCTTCCCCTAATTTCTTCACCAACTCCGTTAAACAATGCAGGGCAACTAAGCGAACATCCGAGTCGGTATGTCGCATCTTCAGCAGAACTTGATAATTCATTTGTTTCCACAATGAATCATCGGCGGTAGCCAACGCGAAGTTAACAATACAGGGTGTTAAGATTTCTTTGTTACGTTTTATCAAACTTTGCATTCCTCCTAAGGTATTCTCCAATTGGTTCACTATAGGTTGCATTAACACTTCAAATCGGTCTTTGTTGATGAATTTTTGGTTATCATATAAAAATACAGAATGCAAAGTTTGCAGTACGTTCGTCAATAAAAGCATATTTTTATCGTCATCATCATAGTATAAATCGTCATTTTTAATCTTATTGCAAGCTTCCAAAATTTGTGCGGAGTTATTTAAGAAATGACCAGCAAATAGGACGAATAAACCCTTTAAAGATTGCGATATCCCACTGGATAAACCATAGAAAGTTATAACCCTTTCAGACTTAACTTCTGCCCTGGTAGCCCAATCAAAAAGTTTGTAATACAGTGGTCTGAAGTTACCTTCTGATAATTTCAATATTAAAATAGTAAAAGACTTGATAATGTGCCCCTCTATCTCATTGGCCTCACTCAAGCTGCAATTACCATTGGATCTAAACTGTAATGCGTTGAGGAAAAACGCGGTTAACTCCTGTAGGTTGGAATTTATCTCTGGTCCTTTCAAATTCGTCATATTTTCCCCCAAAATATCCATAAGAGAGCTTATGGCCTTAAACTGCCTTTTCTCAATCAAATTATCGTAACATTTCTCTATAGCAGGTATCAAAACTCTCGACGGTATAACACTACCAATTTTTTGTCGAATCGAAAGCAACTTGGGCTGCAACTTTTGCTCTTCAGTGCTAGAACCCCAATGACACATCAAAATTGATAACTCGAATAATAATTTTTCCAAATAAGGGCTCAAAAATAATGGGAGGCTGTCCAAAACTTTATCCACTGCCGTTATAACGCTTAGCAGCAATAAGGTGGGCGTTTCTTGTGATTTTTGATGCTTCAAAATCTTGATTAACGCCGGCATGAAGCTATGCAAGTTTGATATAGCGTGGGCCCTCAAATTTGCTATTAATTCTGCCAGACACAAAACTATTGAAGCTTGCACATTCGGGGAGGCTTTCACAGACTTCACCAAAACCGTTATGTAATCCAAGATGGTTACAAAACGTTCTGGATCTTGGGTTGCAAGTGATTTTGATATCAATTTAAGCGACAATAGAGCTGTTTGTACTATCAACTCTTGCTCAGGTTCTATATTACTTTCCAGTGATTCTAAAATCGCCAGTATGGCCGGAATTAAAGCATATATTTCATTGACATCACACTCAGTGAAGTAAGAGGTGTTATATTGCAGCTTAGTGTTCAATAACTCCAAAGCGCGTCTCCGTACTGTAGAAATGTTATGTACCATCAACCCCTTGAAGACCAATAGGAACATTTGGGGGGTTAGAAGGGCGTTTATGCTGTCCAAAATATCGTAGCTGTGATGTAACACAACTTTCCAGTATTGGGCTTGAGGAGTGTTGATGTTTTTATCAGCCACCTTCGAAATTCTCTGGACGTAAGTTAAGATATGTATGATGGATTCTTTGTATAGCGATTCCAAGTTCAATAAATCCTTATCGCTTAGTAGTGCAATTTTGTTCACGAATTCGTTTGATGCTAACAGGTTCGAAGTAAAAGTTAAGAGAGTGTACTTATAGTGCCTAAACTGTTTTGGCGTGTGAGTGGATATATCGAAAGTTGCGCAGACTTCATCTGAATCCATTTTGTCGTCTTTCTCTTCCGGTAATTCCTTCAAATATTTTATTAATTTAATGCAAGATAGAATAACAATTTCCGGTGGAAATTCTCTGGCTAAATTGGCAGCTATATCCAATCTACGCGGTGTTGTATCAATCCCTTTGATGCTAAAACCTTGCTTTTCTGGACAGTTATGGCAAACATGAGACTCGAATATCAGCAGTAGGAATAAATACAAATTCTCCTTCGCGTTTATCCTCTCCAGCAATTGTTTGTATAACGGCAATCGTCTATGTTCCGGAACATCCAATATGGCATCCACAAACACTCTAAGAACCTTACTTATGTTCACCTCATCTGAATCCTTCACCAAGATAGGTATAATCGTGTCTATAATCTTCGTGATAATCTGGAAACTATAGGCGTCATCATGACGCAACACCGACGAACCCATGAAGGTAAATATGGCCATAATATGGTGCAGAACTTGTGTAGGTATTAACTGTGCTGTGCACGCCAAAACAAGAAGAGCATGGTGGTGAGTTTGTGGGTTTTGTGATGCTCTTATGCACTGCACTATCAACTCCATGTTGAAGACGTTTTCTGGGAGGGTTTCTTCGATTTTTGTGCAGCAATGTAATATCAGGGAAAGTAAAAGTTGTTTGGGGTATTCCACTGAAGATTGCTCATCAAAGTCAAGGCATTTTTTGAGGATGTCAAAGAGAATTGGTAGTAGCATGTTGGAGTTTCTGATCTTCTTTTTGTCCTGTAGGAATTCTAGTACTGTTGTGCCTTTTTTCCACTCTGGTGTATCCAATATATCGATTGTTGGTACCACGCTCAACCGTCGTTTCTTTTTGGATTCATCTAGTTTTGGTGATTGGACTTCCTTCATGCTCACCAATAAATCTAGAATATGTTTTACATCCAAATCAATGTGTTTGAAGATTCTACTCGACGCTGGTAGTATTTCTGGGTTTTGCCCAAACGTGGAAATCTCAGTAAGCAGTTTAAGCAAGTTTTTGGTAACATCTTCCTTTAAGTGAGAGAATATCTCCTTCTCTAGCTGGTTTAAGACCAACAAAGTAGGACATAAATTCTTCTCCTTGCACGTAACGACAGTTTTTTCGTCTTTCAAAGCGACCTCTATCAACTCCCATATCTTAGTACCACAAGTGATTTTATCCGCGATGTTCTGCTCGATTTTCAACAGCGAATTTTCAACAATAATCGATTCGTGTTTGTTCAGCACAATCAATTCCTTCTTCAGTATAACTATGGCTTTATTAGCGATTTCCTCGAACATTTCGATGCCGTTGATGTGCGATAAAACAGTCAGAAGACCGGATTGCAGATATAGAGGATACTTGGCATCGTCGCATACAATCGCGATGAGTTTTTTGCGGATGATGTTCAACTCTCGGACTAGCTTTTTGCCTTTTGTGTTTTCGGGCGCCAAAATTTTGAAGACTATGAGCGGTAGTTGCTCGTTATCGAGCTCTATTTCTTCGATTTGTCTGTGAAGACCTTCGAGTAGCGGCAGAAATGATTCGGATTTCTTTTGCTGCGGTTGATGAAGAATGTTAACTATGGTGCATGATAATTTCCTGATGTCGTTTTCAGGACTGCTTAGGAGGGTTAGCAGGAAGGGTACTATAAGTACGTTGATGTTGTTGAATGATTGCATGTTTTCTCCTGCATCTTTTTCTAATAAGGATATGATTACTTTAAGTCCTGTTATTAGAGATTCGTCACTTAAGAGGCTGTGGTCAGACGAGCAAACATTCAGAATAAACTCCAACTTTTCCTGCAACGTTTTGCAAAAATGCTCTAAAATCCTCATGGCAATACTCTGATCCTTCTCATTTGCCATGATAATTTTAAAGAGGAATATAAAATACTCATTTGCCTCGACATTGAAGAAGTTTAGAGCGCCTAAATTCGGCGGTACCGCCGTTTTATACGCTATATTTTCCACACAATCTATGAAACCATCTATGGGTAGTTTATTTTGGAAACAAACCAATATGTTATCAGCTATTGAAGTGTTTTTGTTGCATACTTTATCCGTACTTTTAAAGTAGGTGTACAGAATCTCAAGAATTAGCTTGCAAGTATCAATTGAGGATTGTTTCGATAATATGTTCGTTATTATCACAGATGCGATGTATTTGTGTAAAGTGTCGCGTTTTTCCGTTGGTACGCCTGACAGGGTGTTGATTAGTTTCCACGTGTAGTGCATATCATTTGAGTTCTGCAACGTTTTGATGACGATTTTGGCGAACTCATTCGGATCTTTCGATGACAATAAAAGATTCTGCGTTCTTTTAAGAATTTCGTGATTTTTAATATACTCTGATAGAATGGGTAGATACTTATCAAACTCTTCTTGAGAATTCGTTATCAGATATGGGAATAACGCCATGAATGTCAACCAATCTTTCGACGACTCCGGTAGAGATATCAACATGGTTAAAACCGTTTCCGTAATTTTTTCCAGCTTCCCTGTCTTGCATTTCTTAACCAACGTAAAAAGAACATCCCTCAATACAACCTCATCAAAAATGCTCCGCTTTATAGCAATAACATCCAGCGTCTTTTTAATTACCTTAGGATTATCAGCGTTAAGCCTCTCAATCAGCAAATTCTTGATAATCTCCTTGTCGGTGTCGTTGAAATTATCGAAATTATTCTTCAACTGCTCTATGGCTTGCGTTCTGCATTCTTCATTCGCGTGGCACATATTCTCGATCAACTCGAATTTACCTTTGTACGTCATGGTGTTTTTCAACACTTTGTGCAACATTTTTTTGCGTTTTTTCATCGCCGGTTCGTGATCGCTCGCCATGATTTTATAGACTGTTTTATCAAACTGGGTCGGGTATTGTCTTTCCAAAGTTTGGACGATTTCTGTGAGCCAGTTTTTGAGACCTTCCGAGATTTTGAAGGTCTTTGGTAGGGAGTCCAACAACGCACTAAAAAAATATAATTATTTTTTTTTGCAAATAATGTCATACCTATAAGTAGAATAGTTGGTAAAATTTGAGCAAAATGTCATGTCTTTGCTGTTTGCCTTGTATAATATTAAATGTTTATTATTTTTAATGAAATTTTATATAATCATAGTAGACATACATATAAATATATAAATTAAAATAAGAAAAACTAAAATCCATGTAGGAGTTTAGAAAATATAACAAATTAAAAATTGGTATAATTTTCTTATTTTAATGTAAGCTAATTTTTGCTATTTTCCTTAACCCTCCGTTACTCGAGCCAGTTTTCGTAACATCGATACTCGCGTGGCGTCTGAGAGACTCTTGCGTTATAAAATAATTATTAGAAGGTTATTGTATTTTATATTAATGAAATCATCAAGACTATTTCTTTCAAACATTTATTTATTACTAAAAATGCAAATAAAAATGTATAAAAAAGTTTAAAAAACAATTTGAAAATGTTAAATCTACCTACTAAATTATTGTTTTTTTTGAGCGCAGATTACTCTACTATCCACTTAAGAAAGGTACATGGCCGGGGAAGTCCCTATTTATCTCGTTTCAAAAGTTACTATAACTAATAGATTCAGTGGCGTCTGATAGACGCCGCGCGAGTAACGTAGGGTTAATAATGTGTAATATTATTTTTTTAATTTAACTTTAAATAGTCCAAGTTAAGGAATTAAGCTATAAATTAAAACAAGAAAAACTAAAATCCACCAGGGATTTTAGCAAATACCGTCGATTAAAAAGTGTAAAAAGTAATTGTTTTTTGCTTTAATTTGACATTTTACACCTTTACTATTTTTCCTATAAAATAACATAAAACATTACTATTTATAAATATGCATGTAGGTAGAAAAGTAGAAATGTTATTGCCACAAAATAGTGCAAGAATCACTAAAATCTAAGGAGTTTAGGAAATATATCTAATTGAAAATTTGTATAATTTTCTCGTTTTCCACTGTATAATACAGGGTGATGTAATTAATGTAATAAAGAAGCACCTGAAACTTTTTTCCCTAAATATCAAAGACTTAAAATAATTTATAATAACCTTTATCCTACCAAAAAGTACGCCACTGATCGACTTGGAACTTTAGGCTAATCTGGTTGCCTACTTAATTTAATTTATTATGTTAAGGTTGGTAAAAACCACCGTTTACAGATTCTGTCAAAAAAGTTGCCAAATTTTGTTTAAATTTAGCTAAAATCACAAAAATGACAAAATCAACAATGCAAATTGTTAATTTGGGGTTTTCATTAATTGTTTATTATGTCATTTTTGTAATGAAGGTAAATTCAAACAAATTTTGACAACTTTTATAACAGAATCTAGTGCATTTCTTTCAAATTTTAGGTTATGTGCTCAAATTTATATATCTTAACTAAGGGAAGTGCTTTTGGATTTATTTACACAAATTGAATGTTTAAAGTTTAACCTGTGAACTTGTCCTAATTTCATCTGAGTAAGCAGAAAGAAAAAACCGATGAAAAAATTAATTTTGTGGTTATGGAGTTTTTAAAATAGGTACTAAATTTTTTAATCATTGCTTAAGCTAATAGCTGGATGAGTAAATAAATACAGAAGGGTAGGTATTAAAGCTTTAAGAGCATAAAACTTTTGTATTTATTGAGTTTTTATTTATTTTTTGCAAAACAAATTTTTAGTAACAATTTTTTACTACTGGCAACGCGCAGCTACGTTGTTGGTTGGTATCTATGTACTCACAGAACACAAGTGTGTAACCAGTGGTGTATCACAAAAAATATAAAAAACTTCTAATGCATATTTTTTCTTTATCTTTGGAAAAATACTTTTTTAAATATTTTTTCGTTACACCCCATGTCAAAAGGTATTTAGTATTTTAGTATATTACATTAATTACATAAAACCCTGTATTTACTAAATATTATTCACTAATAAAATTCCATTTACATATTGTAGAAGGATTTGGCTATAAAATAAAGTCAATATTATTCAGATCCATTGACAAATTGAGAAGTTACAGCAAATTAAAAAAAATACTTACTATAAAAATGTTCCAACAAAGAAGTCATCCAGTTTCAAATCAGCCAATATCTGATTTATTAACTCCTTAATTTCTCCATTATCATTAGACATCATGCATTTGGCAAAGGAATTTGAAACCAACCTTTCCAAAAAAGGATAAATATAACTCCCATTGGTATCCAAAGTATGCAACTCCTTCATCAACCAAACTCTGTTCTCCAAAAAATTCTGTAGAGCCGCATCTGGAACTTTCTTATACCAATCCTGAGATTGGTAGAGTACAAGCAAAACCAAACAGGATTCTGTTTTCAGTGAGCTGTTGTTGAGTTTTGATATTTTTTCAACTAAAGCATCCAACATTTTATTGCTTAGTGTGGATTTAGCAACAAGTCGTGCTACAATTAAATATGAGGCTGCACAGTAGTCTGGGATATCAGAAGCTAAGCCTTTTAATAGAAATGGTAGCATCTGTGATAGTTGATCTTCTCTAATGTTTGTAGAGTATTCTATTGCTCCCATGTAAACTACACAATAAAAATTAAACGATACAGCCAATAACTGTGGTTTATTATGCTCCTTTATTAATTCCTGTATGTATTTCCCCACAAACTTTAAAATATAGCTATTTGTAGCTGCTTGATTCAGTAATGCATTTTTGGTTAAGTGTAAACCAGGTTTTTGCAATGCCTTCAAAAAATACCATGTGTCATTACTATCCTTAAACTGCAGCAACTGTAAGGCCCTCACAAATATATTTGACTCGTGAAAAGGCAATATCAACTTCAACAAATCCTCCCGATTGTAATCTTGAATCATGTAACGATGTATAAGCCATTCCAGCGCTTTATGCGACGAATTAATCAAAAAGTACGGCGATAAAATCAACAAGAACCTCTTAATATTCCTATCCAGCAATTTATTCGCGTCGGTATTCTGTACGGACCTCTCAAAGTCTTTTGACAAAACTCCAAACAGTGTTTCTCGAAACTGCTTGAACTGCGCGTTTTTCTCAATTAATTCTTCCAAACCTTCAAGCCCAATTTGATAGAAAGTCTCTCTTTTTATCCCTGCAGCCTCTTTGGGGTCAAAGAGTAGCGAGGCCCTCTTCTTATCTCTCTTTAAAAGGCTCGTTTGGGGTACCGCTAACCTTTGAAGCTGTTCTGCCAAAGAAGTGGCCATTGTTTATACTAAAAGAAATGATTTTTTAGTCAAATGTTTGGTATTTTTGAGGATAGTTTACTTACATTTATTAAACAACACTTATTTCGTTAAAAACAACACTTAAAAACACGTGCGAATAAAACAACATTTGTAGGTTAGGTTTACATTTGTTTTGAGGCGGTGTTGTCAAATTTCTTCATTATAAAGTTTGTGCCCTTATTTAAAATACATTAAAAAAAACTATAATATGTACACTCATATTTAATTTATTAGGGCTAAAATATAATGTTTTACATATAAATGGTTTAAATACTTTAATACAGGTAACAAATTATCATTAAAAATAAAAGTCTTGACAACACTGCATTATCTGTCAAAAACGTAAACAACTTTTTAGGTTATGGTTGTTTTGAAATCGCCAATTTAACCAATTTTAACAGAAAATAAACGCCTTAAAGTTTAAATTAAGCATGGGGGTGACAATTCTGCACCAATTTCCCGTAGAAAATCGCACAGGACCGGCTGTAATCGAATTATTAACGAAAAGAATAGCTGCATTGGGGGCTGTCCAACACGGGCAATTTTTGGTGGATTGCGAGACTTATTCTTCGGTTCCGCAGCTGGGACATCAAAGAACAGTGCACGTCTTGCATAATTCCGAGCAGCCAGCCACAGTTTTTTCGTTATTAGAGACAGGAACAAAAACTATACCTTTAGCAACCGATGGCTTATTTGACTTGTTAATGATGAAAATGTCGAGTTTTTATACGTCAAAGAAACAAACGAAGGCAGAATCTAAAGGGCCGCGATTTGAAATTGGGGATTTCTGCGTTAAATTAGGTACAGTTACAGTAAGTTCAAATTTTAAGGGAATCCTGGTTGAAGTTGAATATAGACCCTGCATTGTGCCGCAAATGTGTTGGGAGTTGATGAAAGAGTTTCTGCAAGGTTTTTTGGGGTCTTCAGTGCTTAGTAACCCACCTGTTTACTTCCAAAACAAGATGAACGATGTTTATACACCCATTGATACTATACATCAATATTTGGAACACTTTACCATTTTTAGAAAAAGCCCTGCTGGTATTAGGACTTAATTAGGACATAAATACCTATTATACATAATTTAAGAGCTATTTATAAGTTAATACTGTATTTTTTTTTAATGTAATAAAACATTTAATTATTATACTTGTTTTAATTTACACAAAATTTAATCTAAACTGAAGAATTTTGCCATACTATCTAGATATCTTACATTTTTCTAAACTTTATCCAGATATAACTCTTGAGAATGTCAACTTAAGCTCTTTTAAATGGGACAATTTGGGCTGACTTTTATTGTTTTTTTCTCTGCAGTATACCTACCTATTTTAAGTATGTGTTTAAAAGTTTTATATTTAAGTTTATCTGCGTTAAATAAAAAAACGCATTTAAAATAAGTACCCAAAATTTAGTTCTACTCATAGACAACATATTATTCTATCATTATTTATGGTTTAAATCATATAATTAATAGAAATCACTCAATGTAAAAAAATCATCATATATGTTTATTCATAGCCACTATAAGCCCATTGATCAATTGCCTATTTTGTTTGGAAATGACAATCTACAATATTCTAATGTAATAAAATACTTGGGCCTCTACATTGATGAAAACCTTTCCTGGGAAAAGCACTTATTAAAATTAAGACAACGACTACTTGCGCCGGTGGGAGTGTTGAAGCGACTAAGTTTTATGTTGCCAGCACAACTACTTCGGTCTGTGTATTTTTCGCTTGTCCATTGTCACCTTCAGTATTTGACTGCACTGTGGTATCCTGCACGTAAAGGCCTTATTTTGCCTATTCAAATCTTGCAAAATAGGGCGATAAAAAATATATACAACCTCCCAATTAGATACAGCACAAAAGCTCTTTTTGTAAACTATAATGTTATGCCTCTTGAAAACATCTATAAATACCAGGTATCTGTTTATATACACCAAGTTAATCTTAATACTCGCCATTCCAATATTTCATTAAAATTTCGCAACGACTACCATGACCATAACACACGTCATAAGTCTGATGTAAACCTAGAAAGGGTTTTATCAATGAGAGGTAAAGGTTGCATATATCATAATGGTGTCAAAATTTACAATGCGTTGCCTATTGAAATCAGAAACAAACACATTAGGGGTTTTACGTCTGGTTTGAGATGTTTTCTGGAGTCTGACTTGAGATATCTTTTGGAGTCTGAGCTGTAATGGTCACCAGTGTGGTCTATGCTCAGACCGCACTGATGGTTGTTGTTCGGGCTTTGGGGGACGCCTCGGGTTAGACTTCCAAGCTAGGGTGTTTCAACGGGTATTGTCATTTTATTTTATTTTTATTCTCTTTTCCGTCCTTGCATTATCAAACATGTAATGTACCTATCTATAGTATAGAAACTAGCTTAAGCTTTTAAAACATGACGAAATGTGAAATGAATATCTACTACTACTACTTTTATATTTTTATTTTTTATTGTTTGTATATTTTTGTTGTATTGTTGTGAGAGGATGAATCCGTATAGAGTGTTAACGTGCACTCTCTGGATTTTTCAAAATAAACGTATTTTCTTTCTTTCTTTCTTTAAGTTGGTTTGGTTGTTCTATCTCTTTCTGTCAAAAAGGATGTCATAAATAGGTTAGGTAGTTGTCATGTATCATTTTGACCAATTCATAAATAAAATATCATGATAACGCATATATTAGTTTTAAACAATGTACAAGTTATAAGTGGGTGATGTGCCATAACATAGTTTAATTTTTTACCTGTAATTTATAAAATTTGATAATTTTAACAGAATAAGGTTATAAAATGTCTCAAGACAAGAAAATAAGAGTGGGATCGCGTAAAAGTGAGGTAAATATGGGAAAAAAGTTAAATTCGTTGTGTAATTTATTCATGAACTTTTATTTTTAGCTTGCACTGATACAAACCCGACATGTTATATCACTGCTTAAAGATTTAAATCCCAATAAGGAATTTGAAATAGGTACAAAATAAGTCACATATTTTAAGAATTTATACATTTATTTTTTATTATAGTTACTATGAATACTTTGGGCGATAAGGTGTTAGACATACCTTTACCAAAAATAGGGGAAAAATCATTATTTACAAAAGAATTGGAAGCTGCTCTATCCACAAGTTGTGTGGACTTCGTAGTACACTCTCTAAAAGATTTACCCACCACTTTACCCCCTGGAATGGCTATTGGGGCTGTACTAACAAGGGAAGACCCAAGAGATGCCCTAGTTCTTCAAAAAAGCATAAAAAATGCCTCTCTACAAACTCTCTCTAAGGGTAGTGTTGTTGGAACATCAAGTCTGAGAAGAACTGCTCAACTAGCAAAAAAATACCCCCATTTAAAGGTAGAAAATATCAGGGGTAATCTGAATACAAGGCTCAAAAAGTTGGATGATTTAGGGAAATATCACGCCATTATATTGGCAGCAGCCGGTTTAATAAGAATGGGGTGGAATGACAGAATAAGCAAGGTAAATATTATAACTAGTTAATAAAATAAAACTTATTAATTAAAAAAATACCTTTTTTACTCTAAACCATATTTTTACTTGCCAATTGTGCTTTTAAAATCCTTTTTTTGTATATTTATCCATGAACATAAATTTTCATTAAAAAAAGCAACAAATTTTAATTTTGACAGAGGAAATGTCATAATCTTTATGATCTGTAGGTTCATTCCAACCAGCAGTAATATTACCGTAATATTATCGTCCGTAACAGCGTTAATGCGACTGCGCGAACAAAAATAGTAAAATTATTTTGAATAATGTATAAACTGGTTGGAACCTTTTTTGAACTGGTAGTACTTACAATCAGAAGAAAAAGAATATAACCCAAAACCCACAATTGTATTGTGCTAAAAGCTAAGTAAAGCGCATATATATATACCTATAGGTATATCTATTTCAATAAAGTAATAAATATGGCAGGTTTTTTAAATAATTACTTGTATGATTCTTTGGATGACAAGGAATTAAGATTTTATTGGGGACATTGCTACTAGAAATAAATATAACCCACGTTTGTTGAGTTTATAAATATATATAAAAGTATATTTTAATAACATCACACATTGATAATAAATTCTTCCATTCCTGCTCACAAATGACAAAAATTAGATGTATTAACATTAAAAATTAATAAAATCACCTTGTATAGCAGTCATTTTTAAATAATATGTCCACTTTAACAGAAAACAAACTTACAAACGTTAATAAATAAACAAAAAGATGAGGTTATGTGCCCCTTCTACGCATGCGTCTAATTTTATTATCAACAGTTCTTGCTCTCGAGCAAGAATCGTTTGAACCGTAATTTAACTGTTCGTAACTCTGGTTGGAACGACGAACTGACAGTAATTGCCAGTTCTAAACTAGTAATTTTAGTTGGTTGGAACGACATTTTACAAACGCGCATGTGTATCAGTAATATTACTGGAAATTACTGCTGGTTGGAATGAACCTTGTGTCAAATCAAATGTTATGTTCTTTGCCTCTGGTTATGTTCACAGAACATAAGGTTATGTTGGTAACACTGTATGCTGATGCGCATGTTCATAGAAATAAGTATTATTATCGCACCATGTGACGTCATGTGGTAACTGGGTTGGAATGTTATTTGAAAATTCACGTTATATTCGAAAATTTATAAATATAGGGAAAGCCTGGGTGCAATTATTAAGTTTAACAAATTATAATAAAGTTAAAAAAGAAATCGTGGTAACCCTATTGTAAATGACCAATAGAATCTAATAAAAAGTAAGTAATTGGTTTGAATTGGTTTAAAATGTGTTTTGGCGCTATGAATCACCAATTCATTCCAGTTGCATTCCTATTGGTAAGTTCCAATGAAGTCAGCGGATTGGATTGGAAAATACCAATCCATGCCTATTCTTGTCTCTATTGGCTAAATCCAATAGAAATGCACATGAAATGAATTGACCATATGCAAGGAATGCGGTGGATGTTGCCAATGGTAAAAAATAAAATTCCCTATTGGGAACATTCAATTATATTACGTTGGCTACATTGAAAATTTGAATTTCCCGCACAAACTAAATTAATTTCCATCTTTTTTTTTAATAATAATAAATAATAATAATTCCCACATTTGAAATTCGCACCTTAATTTATTATACAACATTGGAACTACCTTCTTTATCTCTGGGAACTCCTAGAATGTATGTCAGTTTGTGCGGGAAATTCAAAATTTCAGTGTATCCAACGTAATATAATTAAATGTTCCCAATAGGGAATTTTATTTTTTACCATTGGCAACATCCACCGCATTCCTTGCATATGGTCAATTGGTAATTCATAGCGCCAAACCCATTCCACCCAATTAAAACCAATTAATATTTTTAAATTTGGATTAGAAAATACCTACCAGTTTATTTTTCATTTAAAAATAATTTTAGATTCCAGAAGGATAACCGGGTAAAACCCAGAATTAATTTTTCACAGAAGAGACAAAAAATTTATTGGAACTGAGTAATTTTATTTATTTTTTATTTTTTTGTAATATATGTATGTATGTTTTGATACATATAACTTACTATCACAAAAAAGTACCTAATAAAAAATAAATAAAATTTACTCGGTTTTAATTTTTTTTTGTCTTTCTTGCAAAGGATGTTTGTAGGCATGGTCAAAGTCGATATTGTTTATGTCAAATTTTTTTATTTTGTCCGCTGTGACAACCATTCTTACGCCATCGTCCCTAAACCTTACACATATAAACATTTTTTTAAGGTATAAGTACACTACTATCACTAGGCACTTAACACAGAAATCGACTAATAAAAAAACGCTAATAAATGGCGTCGAAAGACTTCTTTGTGTGGTTTTTTCTTTATGATGGCGTCTCAACCTCGTTGGTTTTGCGCAGCTACACGAGAGCCCTCTTGCGATATTTGTATTGTATTGGGAATAACCAAATAATTCGGAGTTCAGCACATTCACTACTTTCTATATTTTTTGTAGATTTTGGAGCCAGAAGAGATTTTATACGCAGTGGGACAAGGCGCTTTGGCAGTGGAATGCAGGGAAAACGATGAAAATACAATCAAACTTTTAGCGCCTTTGTACGATTTACACACGGCTTTGAGGGTGATTTCTGAGAGAAGCTTCATGAAAACTTTGGGTGGCGGATGCAGCGCCCCCGTGGCGATATCATCGGAACTAATAAACGTTGCTGGTAGCAGTGAGTATAAGTTGAATTTAAAGGGGGCTGTTTGGTCGTTGGATGGTACTGAGGAGGTCGTTGAAGAGGGGAGTTGTGGCTTATTTTTGCGCGAGTTAAAGAAATGCGCCAGTTGTCCCTTTAACACCAGGGCTATAACTACTAGTATAGAGGATATGGAGTGCTTAAAAGAGTGCAAAAAATGCCCTAATAAAAGTAGTGAAGAGAAACCGTCGAAGAGGCAAAAGTTGGATGAAGATATACTGAGTGATATGTTAAAAAATGATCCACATGAGCACTGTCCTGTTAAAATGCCCATAGGATCGGACTTTATGGGCAAATGTCCGTATTTAGAGTCACACTCTAAAGCAGGTAAATGTCCGGTGAATGCAACTATGGAAGGGACATCTACATCCACGGAGTTATATCAACAATGCCCATTCATGAAGAACGGAAATCTTTCTATAATAGAAAACGAAATATTAAAAACTGACGATCCAATCAAAGAAAGTGAAAATCTTTACTGCGGTTTGGTCCTTCACAAAGAAGCTCCCCTAGAAGTTTTCCTAAAATCCCTAAATCTGGGGAAAGATTTGGCTCTTAAGTTGGCCAAAAAAGGTGCCTTAGAAATCATGACCAAAGCTCAAGCTGTTATACATTCTGAAGTGGCTGCCAGTAGTAAAAGTTGATTTTCCAAGACTGCCTTTTTTTAGTTATGTACTGGTAAAATGTTTCTATTTTTACATAGTTAGTAGCAAATGGTGACAAGTTGTTTTACAGATTTATTTATGTGTTATATATAATGTATTTAATTACCTGTTTTATATGTTTATTGTTGAAATACAGTTTTTAACAAAAATGTGTTTTTTATACGCCAAAGAAGCATCGCTATAGTAGCTTTTAATAATCAGCTGTTAAACGCGTTGCTATAGTTGCTATATATAGTGCTATAGTTCCTCCTCGTATATATTACAAAACGATTGGTTCAAATCCCAGTGAATAATGAAATCGGCCAATCACTGATGCCTAAAAAGAGGAATAATGAGTTCATTATTCCCGTTGTCAGGCGGGGCGCTAATTACATAAAAATACAAATAATGTCAATACCTACTATGCAATAGAAGTAGAAAATAGTACATTATCTAATATGCCCAGAATTTAAAGCCTAGCTCACTGTTTGCTGTCGCGAGGCCTAAGCTAAGGTTGCAGATCTGAGCGAGGCAGTTAATATGCTTTTTCCGCCGTGTTTGTAGGTATATGCTTTTTTAAGCATAATAATTCTGTACTTATTAGTAAGTATACTTCAATGTATTTTTATTATTGTACGGCGGTGTATAATAATTTTGAACTACATACAAATTTCTAGTTTTTCTAAAGTGTTGTAATTTGAAAATTAAAAAAAATTATATCAAGAACTAACTAAAAGAAATAACAAAAAATGTTAATCATATAAAAATATGGAAAGTACAAAATAATAAAAAATTCCAGACTGTTATTAGTCAGTCCAGATTAGTGCTTACTACCTAGTAAATAAAATATACTAATAAATTTATTATCAGACTGATTATTGCAAAATAAATTAATTTTCGATAATATTATTTATTGTCTACGTCAATTGCCTTGAGTGGTTAATGTTTAACAATTTTACATAAAAAATAATTAAAAATCAAAGTGTGGTAGATAATATTTTACTTTCTTATAAATTTAAAAATCTAATAAAATTTCACCCATGCTATAATAACATTGCTATTTAACCTATACTATATATAGACTTATAAGTTCCCTGCTTAACATTTGGAAGAATAACATTAAAAATGAACCAAACACCACTTATCTTAGACTAAACTTTAATATGGTACGGAAATAAATAAAACCTATTATCATCCACGAGAGCACGGATTTGCACGCCTGTAAAACATGCCGTAATAATTCCGCGATCTAGTGGATGATCCTAGTAGGATCAAGCCACAAAACTAGTTTTGTGGATCAAGCATAGAAAAAAAATATCAAGTAGGAGAATCTCGTGGCCAGCCAAGATCGATTTTACTACGAGCAGCGCGCGCTTTTTGACGCTCCTGCTGCACGAAATCCGCGAATAGTCGCGCAAAACACGTCGAACGAAATCGAGCGTGCGGTGCCCGAGTGACTGTGGGTGACATTGTGGCTTTTACATAACCTTACAAATGAAAAAGTAAGTACATCTTAAATATTAAACGTCAAAATCGACCGTGCTTTGCAGTAGTAACTATAACTGTTTTAATATTTTACGTTTAAACATAGCTTGCTCTATATTTAGGTTATTTTAATAGAGTATTTTACGGCAATGTCAAATAAATAACCTTATAGTCACATACATTTTAGGTGCGTTAATATTTTATTAGCGGTTTTATTTAATAATTATATAGCGTTTATGGTGTAATCCCATGTGACCTTGCTATCAGATGATTTAATTTTACTTTTATTTAACCAATTTTACATAAGTAGCGCTCATACGCTTTAAATAGGTATACAATTTTGAATAATGAGGGTTTTTCAAAAATCGTCTTAGTAATTATTTCTGCTTATTGTTTTAACATAAAATTAATATTATTTGTTGGGTAAAACCATAAAAACTTCCTAGAAATGCGTTTATTAAACTTATATAACACGTACTCAGTTAGGTAGGTACTAAAATTTATTAATTGCAAAAACTAATACTATAAAATTGTATTTTTAATTTGAAAGAAACGATCGGTTTCTCATAAGTATCAATTAGTTTTAGAATTCAATGTCAAATTCTTACCAGGTGGGAAGAATAAATATGTTGCCTACCTATATTTATGCTTACATAGCATAAAATATATTTTAGATATACAGGGTGATTCACCTAACTGATCCATTATAGGTTTATAGAGAAATAAAATAGACATCAATAAGAAATTTTGGTTGCCGCTGTTAATCTATTAATCTTAAATATTCTCAATGCGCTGTTAAACCGGAAGTGACAGAATCCTATAATGCAATGCATATTAATTATACTTAAAGCCAAAAACTTTTTCTGGGGTAAACAAAATTATTTGCAAAATAACTCATTTTTAATTCTGCTCAAAAAATTAATAATGATTTGGGAACCTTCTCAATTCTTTTAAGAAAAGTTACAAATGATGATTATAATCATCATTTGTAACTTTTCTTAAAAGAATTGAGAAGGTTCCCAAATCATTATTAATTTTTTAACCTTTTGATCATTAAATATGAGTTATTTTACAAATTAAATATTATATATTATTAATTATTAAATATGAGTTATTTTACAAATAATTTTACTAAGCCCAGAAAAAGTTTTTGGCGCCTTTTCGATAAGCGTTATCCATATACAAAATATAATACCACGAGTGCTTAAAAATTACCGATAATTTTCATGAAAGCGCAGTAATAATTTGTTCAAGCTTGAATAAAAATTATTTGGTTTATTTTTAAACATAAGCACCATTTAAGTAGGGCGAATATTTTTTGAGTAAAAATACAAAAAATGGTTAATTTGTAGAAACAAAATATATCTACTTAACTAACTTTATTTATTGCAATAGTAATACCTAATTATTCTTTTCTTTTCAACATGTCCCTTCTTTAATATCACCAAAACGATTTATTTTAACGAGTTTTGTACAAAAACGTAAAAAAGTGGTTATGACGTTTTAGGTTTACGATACAAACCATCCGTTGTCATAGCAACGTGGTATTTTCACTTATATTAATGTTACAACCACAATTGCATGAGTGAAATATTTTATATAATTTTTTTAATTTTAATTTTTGTGATGTATATGCTTTTTTTTCATTACATATAAATCTGTTACTTATTTTATGTATTTTATATTAATATCGTTTATTAATTATGTACCTACATATATTATATGCGTGTAATTAAATAATAATTAAATTATTTTAACAGTGAAATATTTTATATAATTTTTTTAATTTTAATTTTTGTGATGTAGATGCTTTTTTTCATTACATATAAATCTGTTACTTATTTTATGTATTTTATATTAATATCGTTTATTAATTATTTATATTATATGCGTGTAATTAAATAATAATAATTAAATTATTTTAACATAATTTTTTGTTGTATATTTCTATGATGTTAATTATTAAATTTAATATCTATGAAGGTCAAGTCCCGCGTAAATTACTTGAAAACAGATAAAATTCGTAATCAAAAGGTTATAATTTTTTTTTATAATAATGTGCACATTGCAAGCCATGAAAATTTAGAAACAATATTAGAAATTTAAAATATTTGGCAATGAATAAAATCTTTCTTATCATGTGCAACCTTGACAATTTGCCAGCTTTATAATCAAATTTATGTTTTTTTTCAGAAATTAACTAAAAAAAAATGGCATCGAAATTTAGGAAATTAGCCATTGGTGGCCTAGCGGGCACTATAGGAGCTGGAGTCGCCACATATGTATTATTAAACGATAATATGAAAGTAGGTATTACTAATAATAAACAAATGTATACTGATAACAAATTCAATATAATATTATCTTATATGAGATCATTCTATTTAATTACTTTTAATCATATAAATCCCTTATAGAATTACTTGACAATCTGTCAATTATTGTATTTTTTACAACTGTTTATGTTGCGATAAAAATAATTACTACCAATACAACGTGACTAGCCAACAAATTACGTAACCTATATAAACGCTGCTATTTTTAGTCAATAACCTCAAATGATTCTCACTGCAGCATTTAATTCTATACTTCACTTGGGCTCATTCGCGCTGCAACTTGTACAATTCTTTTACGAACTAATTTCATACGAACTATGTTCTTCACAGTTTGCGACCGTAAAAGCCGAACAAAAACACCAAAAACGCTTCAAACGTCACCTGCCAACCAGAGACGAACAAATCAAGTCGCTCAAGACAGAATCCTTCGATGTTTTGATCATCGGCGGGGGTGCCACAGGGTCCGGCTGCGCCTTGGACGCCCAAACGAGAGGATTAAAGACGGCCTTGATCGAAGCCGATGATTTTGCCAGTGGTACCTCTAGCAGAAGCACCAAGTTGATCCATGGCGGGGTCAGATATTTGCAGAAAGCGATCATGCAGCTCGACATTGAGCAGTACAGGATGGTTAAGGAAGCTTTGCACGAAAGGGCCAGTATGTTGGAGTCTGCACCACATTTGGCACATCCTTTGCCCATCATGTTGCCAGTATACACGTAAGTTAATCAAGAAATCTTGACGTTATTTATAAACCTGATGACAAGACCAGACTAAACAATCCTAAACGATTTTAGGTTTTATAGCTTCTTTAGAGTCTAAGATATTTAATAGTCAATCTGTATAATTATCATCTTGTAAAATATCTTGTAACTCGTCAATAATTTAATATATGCCCGTAAAATTTGGGAAGCGTATTAAACTTTTTATACATCCCATATTTTCCAAATTTGAACTTTGAATCTTCTCCAGATTCTGGGATGTCCAATACCCTGTGAGGATAATTATCATTATGTAAAATATCTGATATTTCGTGAGCAATTTCCTATAGATTTAGCTAGCATTATAAACTATTTATACATCCTATTTTGCCCAAATTTGAACTCTCTAGCTTCTCCAAATTCTGGGATATTCAATGCCAAATCTAGATAATTATCATCGTTTAAAATATCTGGTATTTCGTGAACCACTTAAGCCATGTACTTTAAATTTAAGAAGCATAATAAATTCCTTATACATCATATACTAGCAAAATTAAAACTCTCTGGCTTCTCCAGATTCTGAGACATCCAATACTGGATAATTACCATCATGTAAAATAGCAGGTAACTCGTGAATTACGTGAGCAATTTCCTATAGATTTAGGAAGCATTATAAACTATTTATACATATTTTTATTCAAATTTAAATTCTCTAGCCTCTCCAGACTCTGGAATATTCGATACCAAATCTGGTTAATTAATATTTTATAAAACATATAATATTTCGTAAACTACTTAAACTAAGTCCTAGCTTCGCTAGATTCTGGGATATTCAATGCCAAATCTGGATAATCATATTTGGTAACTCGTGAACTACTTCAGTCATAAGCGATTTATTTTTGATCACAAATTTTTGGAGATTTCCAAATTTTATAAACAAAAATCATTTTAACAAAATTCTTTTAGCTGGTGGCAAGTCCCATACTACTGGTTTGGCATCAAAATGTACGACATAGTAGCTGGCTCCAAAACAGTAAAAAGTTCCTACCTTCTATCAAAAAAGAACGCATTGGAATTGTTCCCAATGTTGCGCGGCGATAGGCTCTGTGGTGCTATAGTTTACTACGATGGCCAGCAAGATGACGCTAGAATGAACCTAGCAATCGCTGTTACAGCCGCCAGACACGGTGCTACAGTTTTGAATCACGTATCAGCTACAAATTTGATTAAGGAGAAAGTTGGCGGTAAAGAAATTATTACTGGCGTTGGTGTTAAAGACGAGATGACCGGTAAAACATGGAACGTTCCAGCTAAATGCGTTATCAACGCCACTGGACCGTTCACTGACAGTATAAGAAAAATGGACAACCCTACAATCAAGGAAATATGCTGCCCTAGCAGTGGTGTACATATCACTTTACCAGGATATTACAGCCCCGAACAAATGGGACTTCTGGATCCATCTACCAGTGACGGTAGGGTTATTTTCTTCCTACCATGGCAAAAACATACCATCGCTGGTACCACCGACTTACCCTGCAATGTTACACACAACCCTAAACCTACGGAAGACGAAATTCTATTCATCCTTGAAGAAGTCAAGAACTACCTCAACCCAGATGTTGAAGGTAAGATATTTTATCCATAAAGTGTACTGAAACCAATAAGTTTATAATTTTAGTACGCAGGGGTGATGTTTTGTCTGCATGGAGCGGTATAAGACCATTGGTATCAGACCCCAACAAACCAGACACTCAATCACTAGCTAGAAACCATATTGTACACGTGAGCGATTCAAACTTGGTCACTATTGCTGGAGGCAAATGGACCACATACAGATCAATGTCTGAGGAAACCATTGATGCTGCAGTTAAAGGTTACAATCACCGGATAAATGGTATAAAATCATCAGTAAATGTTTGGTTTCAGCTTGCAACTTGAAGCCTACACATGAGAAGAGTCAAACTGACGGTTTATTATTGGAAGGTGCTCACGAGTGGACTCCAACGATGTACATAAGATTGGTACAAGATTTTGGTTTGGAATGCGAAGTCGCTCAACATTTGGCCAAGTCTTATGGTGATAGAGCGTTTACTGTAGCCAAAATGGCCGCCTTAACAGGTAAATATGTCTCACATAATGTGTTTCTTATTACGAGGCACATCCTTCACCATTTAACTTTTGAAAAATGGTGCCATTTCAGGTAAAAGATGGCCAATCATCGGGAAAAAACTGCACCCAGAATTCCCTTACATCGACGCCGAAGTACGTTATGGAGTCCGCGAATACGCGATGACAGCTATCGACATGATCGCCAGAAGAGTCCGTTTGGCTTTTTTGAACGTACAAGCAGCACAAGAGGCACTTCCCGATATCATCAACATCATGGCTGAAGAACTCAACTGGTCCGAGGAAGAAAAGAAGAAACAGACAACTTTGGCGTCCGAGTTCTTGCAGAATGAGATGGGACAAGGTGTTAATAGAGCCAGCAGAGATAAGATACCGATTAATTTGAGTAAAGAGGAAATCCAGCTTTACATCAAACGCTTCCAATTTATCGACAAAGACCGTAAGGGATACGTATCCATCAATGACATACGTAGAAGTTTAAAGGTAATATAATTATCATTGTAACTAAAATTCCCATACACACACATTTATTTATGTTTTCCCTTCTTGATTAGTCTTTAGGAATGAATCTAACAGATGACGAAATTCACACATTACAAAGTGACATAAATCTAACACATAATGGACAACTGGAGTTATCTGATTATTTGCAAGTAAGTTGAGGAAATTAAAAGGGTTTTTTATATTACAGCAACATGGTGAGAAAGAGGTCGCCGGCGAGGAGTTGCACGAGATTTTAAAGGAAATCGATACCAATATGAACGGCCAAGTCGAACTAGATGAATACTTGCAGGTCTGAAACAGTTAACTGTGATATATGTGCACTGTTTTAGATGACTTTGGCCTTTGATTTAGTTTTATTTTCACGTATTAAAAGTTCTTCAGCGAGGTATTTCTTGAGATACTTTAGAAAATGATCTCCATAGAAAGCAATAAACCAATCAGACCCAGTGTGCTGTGAAGAATGCCGTGATCTAATTGGTTTAAAGCTTTTCATATACATCATTTCTATGGAAAGCAAATTTCAAGAAACACTCCTTAGCTGTAAATGCTATGAAAAAAATTACCCAAAAACTTGCATGGCCGTATTGTACTTTTTTGGCGCTATTTGCATGCTGTTTCTTTTGAACCAAATTTTGTTGTGGATGTCTGTAAATTTTTGCTAACAAACTACAAATAATTTTGGAGTAGGTTTTTATTTCTACCATTTCTAGATGATGTCTGCGATCAAATCAGGTCACGTGACGTATTCGAGATTCGCCAGAATGGCAGAATTGGAAGAATTCAAGCACGAAAAAGAAATGTTGAAGAAGAAAATCGAAGTCGACCGTAGTGGTGGTGGACTTTAAACTTAAAAAAAATCGTGTAAATTTTAAATTACTAGAAACAAACTAAGTCATTTTTTCATTTGTCTATACTACATATACACATTCATCTTAACTATTTCACTATCATGTTACATAGCACAAATTTTGTAATTATATTGTATAAAAAATGTAATTTTAATCTCAGGAATATCAAAATTAATTATTTATGGTATTTATTAAATGATATATATATTTAACAGGATTTTAAAATTTTTTGTGATCATTGTTAATTTTTTGTTTTAATAAATTATATTGTTAAACATGTGCCTTATTTTATTTAGCCTTAATGCTGTCTGACTATCAAATTTAAACTCGCTTTTGTTATTAAATTTACGTTTATTTTATTAAATCTAATGTTACAAGAATATTAGTTTAATAATATGAACATTGTGTAAATTAATGACAAAAAAATATAAAATTAATAAATATAAATATATATAAATAAGTAATATAATATAATTTAATTTGTTTTAATTAAAAGTAATATTTTAAATATAAATAAGTGTATATAAAGAGATCAAATACAGGGCAGTAAAAATAGTTTCATTTGTTAGCATTATAAATAAATTAAAATTAAAAAGTGTTTTTACAGGCCCATTAAATAAATACTTAAAAAGCTATAGATATAGCCTAAATAATAGCAACAAGTTAAGGAAAATACACAATAAACAGAATATAAGAATCCATAATGCTTTGGAATTTGCTGACAAGTTTGTAAACTCTGAGTATTCTTTTTTTGTTATCTTGGATTTGTGTTTTGAACCTAAAAAATATTTATAAGTTTTTTATATATAGACACCCTTACGTATGCACTTACTACTCATGTGAATATTGAGTTGTGTTTCACTGTTTGCTGTAAGATCGCATAGATCACAGTAATACGATTTTCCCTTCCTTTCAGATCTCATTTTATGTTTCCTGCCGTCTAGGTGTCGTTGAAGGATTTTCGCACTTGTTACCTTTATGTTGCAAATCTCGCAGCATAGAGGCTAAAAATGAATGCAAAAATATTTACGTAAAAATAAAAATTTGATTCGGCGCATTCGCCATTTTTGAAAATTATTTTTTCAACCTCCAAGTTAATAATGCAACATTGCTGATATATTTCTTAAAACAGTATTAAAGTTTTTAAAACTTACTGTTGTCTGTTCTCCAAATTCGTCCTGAAATTCTTCAGCAAAAGTATTATTTTCATCATAATTATTATTATTATTTTCTTCGCTATTCGATAATTCTTCCACACCACTGTAAACAATTTTATTTTCGGCGACAGAACACATTCTCCAACTTTACACACAAATATTTTAACAATGGCTTCTGCTTATGTTAAGTTGGTGATGACAAAAAAATGCTCGAAAAAGTTGTGGGAATTTCAAATATAAATTACTAAATAAATACATTATGAAAATTGCTATTAATGAGATTAAAATCTAAAGTACCTATTTGATAAATACAATTTAAAAAATCTGAGATATTTGTTATCATTTAGTACAATTAAAATAGATTTTATTAGAAGAGTTGGTTCCATAATAAAACATGGATTATGATTACAGAAAAACTAGGCCAAAAAATCCAAGAAAAAACGCATCTATATTGTCTATTATAACTTTCAAGTAAGTCAAAATTTACGTAAAGAGTAAAAATCGTATATTAAAAGTTTGTTATAGATATGTTTTTGGTTTACTAAATAAAGGGTACAAAAAAGATTTAAAAAACGACGATATCTATGAAATTTTACCAGATTTTCAATCAAAAAAGCTTGGTGATGAACTGGAAAAAAACTGGGAAATCGAAAAAAAGAAAACCAAAAAACCTTCTCTGTATAGCATTATATGGTCCACCTATGGTAAAAAGTATCTCCTTTTGGGAGCACTTAATGTTATTGTACAAATAGGTTTTGTGTAAGTACTAATACAAAAAATAATACAAAAAATAACATTCCTTTTAGGCTTCTGAAACCTAAAGCATTGGGTAAATTTGTAAGTAACTTTGCTTCAATAGAATCCTTTAATAAAGAAGAGGCATTCTACTATGGCTCCCTACTAATTGGCATAACTTTTTTCAAATATTTCTTCGACAACAACTACCATCAAATATTACAAGAGTTCTCTATACGAGTATGTACTTCATTCAGCTCACTATTATACAGAAAATCACTCAAATTAAGTCCCATAGCCCTTTCTGAAATCACCATGGGAAAAATAGTGACACTTATGACGAAAGATATATTCAGCTTCGAATCAGCTATAGGATGTTTCAACGAAATGTGGAACGGTTTAGTTCTTTTGATTATTGTAACATACATGATATATTCTCGAATTGGAGTGTCTGCATTTTTTGGGATTGGTTTTATTTTGCTGTGTGTTCCTTTCCAATGTAAGTTTCACATACATTTAAGTCGCGAATGTTTTTATTTTAGTATATATATATATGTTTTTATTTTAGTATACCTTGGCAAAAAGTGCAGTGATTTTAGAATCAAATGTTCCACCAAAACTGATGATAGAATCCAGGTGACACAAGAGGCTCTAACAGCTATAAAAATTATAAAAATGTACACATGGGAATATTTTTTCGAAAAACACGTCAATGATGCTAGAAAGTAAACTATTCTAAACCCTTTCAAAACATCTATAACACACCTTACATTTTAGGAAAGAAATGATTGCTTTGACAAAAATCTACCACCTAAAAGTATTATCTCTCTCCTTGGGGACATTACTAACAAGCATCTCATTCTGCTTAATGATCGTGGCGAATAATTGGCTGGGCAATGAAATGACCGCTGAAGACGTATATTATGTTATAACATGTTTTGGAATGATTCGAATGTTTATTACAATTTATATACCACTTGGTATCAGTCAAACTGCAGAATTAAAAGCTTCACTGCACAGATTGGATGCAGTCATGAATGCTGAAGAATTAGAGAGGAATAATATTAAAAATAATAAAGCCAATATAGGGAAGATTTATATGGATAATCTTGGGTTCACCATAGGTAATCAGGTTATACTTGAAGATGTCTCAATGAGTGCTGAAACGGGATTGATAATCATCACAGGTAATGTTGGTAGTGGAAAGTCAACTCTTCTAAAAATTATTCTTGGAGAATACCCAGCAACAAAAGGTATATTAAACATACAAGGATCCATATCATACGCAGGTCAAGACCCATGGTTATTCCCTTCCACCATAAAGCAGAACATACTATTTGGTTCGGATTTCAACGAAGATAGATACAATAAAGTTATTGCAGTCTGTGCTTTGACCCACGATTTCAATTTACTCGAAAAAGGTGACCAAACTATTGTTGGTGATAAAGGCATTAATCTCAGCAAAGGGCAGAAAGCCCGAATCAGTTTGGCGAGAGCTTGTTATAAAAACAGCAATATTTATCTGTTAGATGATTGTCTGACAGCTTTGGACGCCAAAGTGAACATGTACGTTTTCCAGAAGTGTTTAAAAGAGTTTCTCAGTGGAAAACTAATTGTTTTTGTGTCTCATAACGACTTTCACTTGAAACATGCTGATTATATCTTAACATTGAACGGACAATCAACATTTGAAGCATCAAAAAATAGACTTAGCAGGAGAATCACTAACTATATCGATGATGCTAAAGCCAATTTACTGGTGGATCCAATAAATGAATTAATTGATGGAAATGAAGAGGATTCTCTTTTGGAAAAAGTTACAGAGAACAAACAGGATTTATACGAGGAAACCAAAAAGGAAGGGAAGGTTTCATTAACTGTCTACAAAAAGTATTTGAGTTACTATGGTGGATGCTGGGCCTTACTGTTGGTTTTCTCGTTGTTTATATCAGCACAATTCATAGTGAATTACGCTGAAAAATTACTAAGCAATTGGTAACGATTTTCATTACGTGCTTATACATGGTCTTGATGTTGTTTTTTAGGGTAAACTTGCAAACAAAAATATCCCTGCTAAGAAATAACTCCACAATGAACTCTACTGATATTGAAGAATCAATGTTCGAGCATAATACAACATTCTATTGGTATATTATGCTGACACTGTCGATAGTTGTTTTAACATTTACAAGATCAGTTTTCCATTTTTATTTCTCATTAAAATCTTCGTTAAAGTTACACGATTCAATGGTTGGATGTTTGATGAACACTTACATGTCATTTTTTGATTTGCACTTCATAGGAAATATTATCAATAGATTCTCTAGAGATTTATCTGCGATTGATGAATATTTACCATATTTATTTTATGAAGTATTAAGGGTAAGAGTAATGGTAGTGTAAAAATCAATGTTATGTGTTAGTTTTTAGATTATTTTGTTGATGTTTGGTATTGTTCTTCTTATAGCCACCGTAAATCCATTATTCCTTATATCGGCAGGAATTTTTGGCTGCCTAATATTTTTTTTGAAATCATACTACATACCAACAGCTAGAAGTCTAAGACGTCTCAATGCCTCCAGTACGTTTTCAATAAAATGCTAATATGTCATAGTTCTTTAACATTTTTTTAGCTAGGAGTCCTCTCATAGGCTACCTAAACGCCTCTTTGGATGGTTTAAGCACCATCAGATCATATGGGACAGAAGATATCTTAAGAAGGGAGTTTGATAGACATCAAGATTTATTTTTCTCCAATTCTTTCATGAGTGTTATGTCGCAAAGAGGTTTTGGCTTCTCGATTGATATGTTTTCCACTATATTTATATCCACTTTAATCATGGGATTTATATATTTCGGAAAAAGTGCGTTTTATATAATATATAAGTAAATGATTACATAATTATTTTTTTTCAGATGATAGCGCAGGCAATGTTGGTATGGCAGTAACCCAAGGGTTTATGCTGACCAGCCTTCTAACTTGGTCTATAAGACAGTTTTCTGAGTTGGAGGCTCAATCCACCTCTATAGAAAGGGTTCTGGAATACACAGATATAAAAAGGGAATGTAAGAAATATGGAAGAACGATACCTAACTGGCCTTCCGTTGGAAAAATAGAGTTCATCAACGTTAATCTCCTATATGAGACAACACAAAAGCATATATTAAAAGACATCAACTTCACCATAGAATCAAAACAAAAAATTGGTATTGTTGGTAGGACTGGGGCGGGAAAGTCCTCAATTATATCAACATTATTCAGACTCTATGAAGTCACAGGAGGAATACGTATAGACAACATAGACATAAAACAACTAAACCTAGATTTTCTACGATCCAGTATAGCTATAATCCCTCAGGACCCCATACTATTCTCTGGAACAATAAGGGTGAATATCGATCCTCTCAAAAAGTTTACTGACGATGAAATCTGGAAGGCTATCCGGATAGTCGAGTTAACCAAATTCATACCAAGTCTAGATTTCTACATAACGGAAAACGGTTCAAAGTACAGTGCAGGGCAAAAACAAATGATCTGCTTGGCTAGAGCATTAGTGACTAAAAATAGAATCATAGTTCTTGATGAAGCCACAGCCAACATGGACCCAGACACAGATAAATTACTTCACGATACCATTAAAAAATATTTTAGCGATAGTACGGTTCTGACGATAGCGCATCGCCTGAATTCTGTTATCAAATCTGACAAAGTATTGGTGGTTGACGATGGGCAGATCGTAGAATTCGATGATCCGAAAGTACTACTGAAAAATGAACACGGTTATTTTTATAAAATGGCTATACAAGCTGGTGTTATCATGAAGTCATGAAATTGTTTTTATCTTTGAACTGAATAAATTTTACAGTTTAATGACAGTTTTTTATTGTATCCTTGTAAACATTATCAATGTGTTATATACACATAACTTTATGCGAGAAGCTAACATATAATGCCTAGTCTTTTATTTTTCGTTCTAAAAATAAATCGATTATAACGAACATGCTGGTAAAGAAATACAGAATTAAGTAAGTTATTTTAAAGTGGTTAGGTTAAACACAGTATTATTTAAAGTATTTTTAGGTTTATCTATAAAATGTAGTATTTAACAGAGGCAAAATGCGCAAACTCAGTAAGTAAATCGATACACTGTCTGTCTTCAGATAAAGTTATAATGAGTTATTAGCAGATTTAAAAGAAAAATTCATTTTTATAAAAACTTCTGCTTGAAATTATCAGTGATACTACAGGGTGTCCCACAATTAGTGCGACAAAATGAAGGTGTATTATCTAAAGACCCCCAGGAATTCCAGAAAATTGTTTAAAAAATTCTTTCTTCATTATTATAGAAAAAAATATAACTGCAGTTTTAGTGATTTTTTACACTTTTCAAAGCTTTCAAACATACGAATTTTTGAACTAAAAAAATAATCCTGGTACAGATCCTTTGGGAAATTTTATGCTCTACAAGAATCCGCGACGTAAAAAATTTTATCTCAAACGGTTCAAAAGTTATAGTCTTTTTAATGAAAAAAGATTTTTTTACGTGTTATTTCAATGGAAAAATGCTCACTGACACATTTTAAAATTGAGCAAAAAATTTTGCCTTGCAGGGAAATTTTTTGCTCGGTGTGTAGGTTCATTTTAACCCATAAATCCGATAGGTTAGTTTTTTTTGGCTCACCCTACTATCCATGTATATATAAAAATATATATAGAAACTGCCTATTAAAACTAAATATTTCTATAAATAATAAAAACTTCAACTTGTTATCAGATAGCTGTATATTTTGCGATTCAAAGTAAACAATAATTTATATATATTTACCTTAAATTTTTTCACTTGTCCCAATTTCAATTACTGATAAAATATTACCTATATAGATAATACCAGTAAATTTGAGATGGATCCTGAATGCAATGTTAAAAAAACAAGAAACCCTCTAAAAGACGCCAATTTTTTCAAAAAGTTATTTTTCTTGTAAGTACTCTCAATATAAGTAATTTATTTAATTAATAGAGGAATACGTTTATTTTAGATATACATTACCATTATTTAAAACAGCAAGAAAACGGGACTTAAATTTGGATGATGTGTATGAAGTTGTGTCTGAATTTAAGGCTGCTAACGTTGGTAAATCCTTGGAGGAAAAATGGACTTTTCTTAAAATTAAAAATACTTCAATTTCCCTCTACAAGTTGATATGGAGTCAGTATGGAAAATCATATCTTCTACTAGGACTAATACAACTCATATGTAAAAGCAGCATTGTGTAAGATTTAGTTCAATTTATTTAAACATAATTAAACAAGTTTTTTGTAGTATTCTTCATCCAATCTTTCTGTTTAAACTATTGCAATATTTTAAAACCCCCGAACGATACACCAAATTGGAAGCTTACAAATATGGCTTTTCTCTAATATTTATAACAATTTTTGGTTGTATTTATAACCACAATTACATGCAAATAGTAACAGAGTTTGGCATAAAAGTAAGAACAGCGTTCTCCAGTTTACTCTTCAGGAAAGTTTTGAAGCTATCACCATCAGCTCTGAAAGAGATTTCAGTCGGGAAAATATGTACATTAATGACCAAAGATATGCTTGCTTTCGACAGGATTTTTATTTTTTTAAACGACTTGTGGATTGGTGTTATACAGACAACAATTATTTGCTATCTAATTTACTCAAAGGTTGGAATATCGGTGCTTTCTGGACTTGGATGTCTACTACTTCTAACACCTCTACAAGGTACTTATGTAACAAAATATACATGTGAATATAGTGTTTGTTTTAGTGTTTTTGGGCAAAAAAATGGCACAACTTAAGATGGCAACAGTTAAAAAAACCGACGAGCGTATACAGTCCACACAAGAGGCCTTATCCGCAATCAAAATAATCAAAATGTATGCCTGGGATATATTTTTCTACACCAACATAAGCGAAAGCAGAAAAGAAGAAGTAGTCAAAATGAAGCACTTATTCTATGTTAGAGCACTAGGGATGATATTACCTCTATTAAACTCCAAGATATCTCTGTACCTACTTCTAATGACATATGTTTGGTTGGGTAACCAAGTTGACGCACCAACAATTTTTTTCGTCATCACGTGCTATAACAGCAGCCTTAGGTCATACCTACTTAACACAATACCACTCGGCATTATATCTTTATCTGATGTTAATGCCAGTCTAAAAAGGTTGAACTATGTGTTATCGGCAGAAGAACTAAAAGAAACCTCTGGAACAATATACTTGGAGCCATTGGTATACCTAAACAAAATAGCCGTTAAAGTTGAAGAAAAAGAAATATTAAGCTACGTATCTCTAAAAATACAGTCAGGATTAAACATAATATCGGGTGAATGCGGAAGTGGGAAGACTACCCTCATAAAAACCATTATAAAAGAATTACCAATAAGCAAAGGCATACTAAACATACAGGGAACAATATCATACTCCCCAGAAGACCCCTGGATATTCCCATCGACAATCAAACAAAATATCCTCTTTGGACAACCCTATAACGAAGCTAGATACAAGGACATCTTAAAGGTGTGCTGCCTAAACAAAGATCTACAAACCCTACTAAATGGAGACAACACACTAGTAACCGACAAAGGAGCAAACTTAAGTACAGGACAAAAAGCTCGAGTTAGCTTGGCAAGAGCATGTTATAAAGACTGTGATATATATTTATTTGACGACTCCTTGAAAGCGTTGGATACTAATGTAAGCAACTATGTGTTCCATCAATGCTTTAAAGGTTTCTTGAAGGACAAGATTATTATTTTTGTGAGTAATAATATACATTTCATCAAGCTAGCTGATAACCAAATAATATTGAATAAAGGTAAAACGTTGACCATTAAAAGTCAGAAGGAGGAACTTGATAAAAGGATAACCTATTATATTGACGATGTCGAGGAGAATCAATTTGAAGGTGAGAATAACAGTAAGGAACCTACCGAAACAGATGAATTTTTGGAAAAACCCAAAGTTGAAGATGCATATAAAGAAATAAATAAGGAAGGGAAGGTTGAGTTTGCAGTGTACAGAAGATACTTTGGATATTATGGGGGTGTTTTCATAATTTTCGTGGTTATATGTTTATTTGTGGCATTCCAAGTTGTAACGAGTTCTGGTGATAAACTCATAGGAAAATGGTGACCATTATATAATTTCTGAAATTTTTATATTGTAATTATAATTTTAGGACCGTACTGCAGGAAAATATGACCAAATTAGAAGCAAACGGCACTAATAACACAATATTATCAGAAAAACAAAACGAAATAAATGATCTTATATTGGTATACTCAATACTTGTATTTGGGAGCGCAGCTTTGGCTATAGTAAAGTCGTTTTCACACTTCTATCTATCAGCAGCCACATCAGAAAAGATACATAACGATTTAATACGTTCGGTTTTACACGCAAACATAGATTTTTTTGATAGAAACAAGGTTGGGAATATTATAAACAGATTTTCGAAAGACTTGTGTGGTATTGACGAGTTTATACCGTTTATGCTGTATGAAATATTTAGAGTGAGTTTTTTGAGATTTCAATTCTAGATTTGTTAATAATACATTGTTGTTTAGGTTCTCTGTGCTTTGATTGGTACAATTGTTGTTATATCGATGGTTAACATAGGTTTTTTGATACCGGCAACTCTTCTCATCATAAAATTGTACTTTGTTAGATCGATGTATATCCCCGTAGGAAGAAGTCTTAAGAGACTTGATGCTGCAAGTAATTTATGAAATAACATTATTTTCTTTTATTTTTTATTTATTTTTACAGCCAGGGGTCCTCTTATGTCCCATATAAATGCCACAATAGATGGTATTACAACTATTAGAGCGTATAACATGGAAAATAAAGTCAAACAAGAATTTGAGAATCACCTGGACATGTACACATCTGCTTCTTATATAATGATTTGTGCAATCAGAACTTTTGGTTTTATTTTGGATATGACTTGCACCATGTTCATCACAAGTGTTATAGTGCACTTTTTATTTATAAGTGGAGGTAAATGCTTGAATACAATTTTAATCATTATCTTACAATTAATTTCTAGATAATACAGGCAATGTAGGGTTAGCTATAACACAAGCAATGGGGTTAACGGGGAGCCTCCAATGGGGTATTAAGCAATGGGCTGAGTTGGAATCTCAAATGACTTCCATGGAAAGAGTTATGGAGTATACAGACACAGAACAGGAACATTCAAATGGACAAATTTTGAACAACTGGCCCAATAAAGGCAAAATACAATATTGTAATGTAAACCTGACATACAAAAATGGTTTAAAGGCATTGAAGAATATAAATTTTACAATTGACGCTGGTAAAAAAGTTGGTATTGTTGGAAGGACAGGGGCTGGGAAGACATCGATAACAACAGCTTTATTCAAACTATACCAAACAGAAGGCGATATTTTTATAGATAGCGTTAATATAAATACAGTTAACTTAAATTGTCTTAGAATAAAATTATCAAACATTCCACAAGACCCAGTGCTATTCTCAGGTACGATTCGTAGTAATATTGACCCACTGGGCAAATATACAGATATGGAGATATGGACTGCAATAGAAAAAATGAAGTTAAAGGACTTGGTGCAGTCTTTAGACCAAAAGGTACTGAATTCTGGGAATCAGTACAGCTCTGGAGAAAAACAACTGATTTGTCTGGTAAGAGCATTTGTTTGCAAAAGCAAAATCATCATCCTTGATGAAGCAACGGCAAACATGACTCAAGAATTAGAAGGAAAACTACAGAAAACCATAAAGGAATGTTTTGGGGAGTGTACCATACTAACCATTGCCCATAGAATAAACTCGGTCAAAAATTCCGACCTTGTTATGGTGGTTGACGATGGCGAAATCAAAGAATTTGATACTCCGGAGAATTTGATGAATAAGGTTGGTATTTATCATCAGTTGGTGGAAAATTCCAATGTGCTTTATTAGGTTAGGTTTTATATTTTTGTAAAGAATTAAAATACATTTTTGTTACAATTATTTATTGCATTATTTTGAACCTAAAAAATATTTATAAGTTTTTTATATGTATTTAAGGGTGTTAGCGATATCAATTTTTTCAGACACCCTTACGTATGCACTTACTACTCATGTGAATATTGAGTTGTGTTTCACTGTTTGCTGTAAGATCGCATAGATCACAGTAATACGATTTTCCCTTCCTTTCAGATCTCATTTTATGTTTCCTGCCGTATAGGTGTCGTTGCAGGATTTTCGCACTTGTTACCTTTATGTTGCAAATCTCGCAGCATAGATGCTAAAAATGAATGCAAAAGTATTTATGTAAAAATAAAAACTTTGATTCGGCGCATTCGCCATTTTTGAAAATTTTAATTTTTTGACCTCCAAGTTAATAATGCAACATTGCTGATATACTTCTTAAAACAATATTTAAGGTTTTAAAACTTACTGTTGTCTGTTCTCCAAATTCGTCCTGAAATTCTTCAGCAAAAGTATTATTTTCATCATAATTATTATTATTATTTTCTTCGCTATTCGATAATTCTTCCACACCACTGTAATCAATTTTATTTTCGACGACAGAACACATTCTCCAACTTTACACACAAATATTTTAACAATGGCTTCTGCCTATTTTAAGTTGGTGGTGACAAAAAAATGCTCGAAAAAGTTGTGGGAATTTAAAATATAAATAACTAAATAAATACATTATGAAAATTGCTATTAATGAGATTAAAATCTAGTACCTGTTTGATAAATACAATTTAAAAAATCTGAGATACTTACCTGTATATATTTTAATTCTACTTAATTCTACTAAATGATAACAAATATATTTGTTATCATTTAGTAGAATTAAAATAGATTTTATTAGAAGAGTTGGTTCTAAATTAAGAACATGGATTATGATTACAGAAAAACTAGACCAAAAAATCCAAGAAAAAACGCATCTATATTGTCTATTATAACTTTCAAGTAAGTCAAAATTTTTACTTTTTACATGGATATCTACGTAAAGAGGGAAAATCGTATATTAAACTTTTTTTATAGATATGTTTTTGGCTTACTAAATAAAGGGTACAAAAAAGATTTAAAAAACGACGATATCTATGAAATTTTACCAAATTTTCAATCAGAAAAGCTTGGTGATAAACTGGAAAAAAACTGGGAAATCGAAAAAAAGAAAAGCAAAAAACCTTCTCTGTATAGCATTATATGGTCCACCTATGGTAAAAAGTATCTTCTTTTGGGAGCACTTAATGTTATTGTACAAATAGGTTTTGTGTAAGTACTAATAAAAAAAATAATACAAAAAATAACATACCTTTTAGGCTTCTGAAACCTAAAGCATTGGGTAAATTTGTAAGTAACTTTGCTTCAGTAGAATCCTTTAATAAAGAAGAGGCATTCTACTATGGCTCCCTACTAATTGGCATAACTTTCTTTAAATATTTCTTCGACAACAACTACCAACAAATATTACAAGAGTTCTCTCTACAAGTATGCACCTCATTCAGCTCGCTATTATATAGAAAATCACTCAAATTAAGCCCCATAGCCCTTTCTGAAATCACCATGGGAAAAATAGTGACACTTATGACAAAAGATATATTCAGCTTCGAATCAGTTATAGGTTTTTTCAACGAAATGTGGAACGGTTTAGTTCTTATGATTATTGTAACATACATGATATATTCTCGAATTGGAGTGTCTGCATTTTTTGGAATTGGTTTTATTTTGCTGTGTGTTCCTTTTCAATGTAAGTTCCACGTACATTTAAGTCGCGAATTGAAACTGTTTTTTTTTTAGTATATCTGGGCAAAAAATGCAGTGATTTAAGAATCAAATGTTCCACCAAAACTGATGATAGAATCCAGGTGACACAAGAGGCTCTAACAGCTATAAAAATTATAAAAATGTATACATGGGAATATTTTTTCGAAAAACACGTCAATGATGCTAGAAAGTAAACTATTCTAAACCCTTTCAAAACATCTATAATACACCTTTCATTTTAGGAAAGAAATCATTGCTTTGATAAAAATCTACTACCTAAAAGTCTTATCTCTCTCCTTGGGAACATTACTAACAAGCATCTCATTCTGCTTAATTATCGTGGCGAATAATTGGCTGGGCAATGAAATGACCGCTGAAGACGTATATTATGTTATAACATGTTTTGAAATGAATCGAATGTTTATTACAATTTACATACCATTTGGTATCAGTCAAACTGCAGAATTAAAAGCTTCACTGCACAGATTGGATGCAGTCATGAATGCTGAAGAATTAGAGAGGAATAATATTAAAAATAGTAACGCCAAAATAGGGAAGATTTATATGGATAATCTTGGGTTTACCATAGGTAATCAGGTTATACTTGAAGATGTCTCAATGAGTGCTGAAACGGGATTGATAATCATCACAGGTAATGTTGGTAGTGGAAAGTCAACTCTTCTAAAAATTATTCTTGGCGAATACCCAGCAACAAAAGGTATATTAAACATACAAGGATCCATATCATACGCAGGTCAAGACCCATGGTTATTCCCTTCCACCATAAAGCAGAACATACTATTTGGTTCGGATTTCAACGAAGATAGGTACAATAGAGTTGTTGCAGTCTGTGCTTTGACCCACGATTTCAATTTACTCGAAAAAGGTGACCAAACTATTGTTGGTGACAAAGGCATTAATCTCAGCAAAGGGCAGAAAGCCCGAATCAGTTTGGCGAGAACTTGTTATAAAAACAGCAATATTTATCTGTTAGATGATTGTCTGACAGCTTTGGACGCCAAAGTGAACATGTACGTTTTCCAGAAGTGTTTGAAAGAGTTCCTCAATGGAAAACTAATTGTTTTTGTGTCTCATAACGACTTTCACTCGAAACATGCTGATTATATCTTAACATTGAACGGACAATCAACATTTGAAACATCTAAAAATAGACTTAGCAGGAGAATCACTAACTATATCGATGATGCTAAAGCCAATTTACTGGTGGATCCAATAAATGAATTAATTGATGGAAACGAAGAGGATTCTCTTTTGGAAAAAGTTACAGAGAACAAACAGGATTTATACGAGGAAACCAAAAAGGAAGGGAAGGTTTCATTAACTGTCTACAAAAAGTATTTGAGTTACTATGGTGGATGCTGGGCCTTGCTGTTGGTTTTCTCGTTGTTTATATCGGCACAATTCATAGTGAATTACGCTGAAAAATTACTAAGCAATTGGTAACAATTTTCATTATGTGCTTATACATGGTCTTGATGTTGTTTTTTAGGGTAAACTTGCAAACAAAAATATCCCTGTTAAGAAACAACTCCACAATGAACTCTACTGATATTGAGGAATCAATGTTCGAGTATAATACAACATTCTATTGGTATATTATGCTTACACTGTCTATAGTTGTTTTAACATTTATAAGATCAGTTTTCCATTTTTATTTCTCATTAAAATCTTCGTTGAAGTTACACGATTCAATGGTTGGATGTTTGATGAACACTTACATGTCATTTTTTGATTTGCACTTCATAGGAAATATTATCAATAGATTCTCTAGAGATTTATCTGTGATTGATGAATATTTACCCTATTTATTTTATGAATTATTAAGGGTAAGAATAATGGTAGTGTAAAAATCAATGTTATGCGTTAGTTTTTAGATTATTTTATTTATGTTTGGTATTGTTCTTCTTATAGCCACCGTAAATCCATTATTCCTTATATCAGCAGGAATTTTTGGGTGCATAATATTTTTTTTGAAATCATACTACATACCAACAGCTAGAAGTCTAAGACGTCTCAATGCCTCCAGTAGGTTTTCAATAATATAATAATATGTTATTGTTCTTTAAATTTTTTTTTAGCTAGGAGTCCTCTCATAGGCTACCTAAACGCCTCTTTGGATGGTTTAAGCACCATCAGATCATATGGGACAGAAGATATCTTAAAAAGGGAGTTTGATAGACATCAAGATTTATTTTTCTCTAATTCTTTCATGAATGTTATGTCGCAAAGAGGTTATGGCTTCTCGATTGATATGTTTTCCACTATATTTATATCCACTTTAATTATGGGATTTATATATTTCGGAAATAGTGCGTTTTATATAATGTATAATATAAAAGTAAATGATTACATAATTATATTTTTTAGATGATAGTGCAGGCAATGTTGGTATGGCAGTAACCCAAGGGTTTATGCTGACCAGCCTTCTAACTTATTCTGTAAGACAGCTTTCTGAGTTGGAGGCTCAATCCACCTCTATAGAAAGGGTTCTGGAATACACAGATGTAAAAAGGGAATGTAAGAAATATGGAAGAACGATACCTAACTGGCCTTCCGTTGGAAAAATAGAGTTCATCAACGTTAATCTCTTATATGAGACAACACAAAAGCATATATTAAAAGACATCAACTTCACCATAGAATCAAAACAAAAAATTGGTATTGTTGGTAGGACTGGCTCGGGAAAGTCCTCAATTATATCAACATTATTTAGACTCTATGAAGTCACAGGAGGAATACGTATAGACAACATAGACATAAAACAACTAAACCTAGATTTTCTACGATCCAGTATAGCTATAATCCCTCAGGACCCCATACTATTCTCTGGAACAATAAGGGTGAACATAGATCCTCTTAACAAGTTTACTGACGATGAAATCTGGAAGGCTATCCGGATAGTTGAGTTAACCAAATTCATACCAAGTCTAGATTTCTACATAACGGAAAACGGTTCAAAATACAGTGCAGGGCAAAAACAAATGATCTGCTTGGCTAGAGCTTTAGTGACTAAAAATAGAATCATAGTTCTTGATGAAGCCACAGCCAACATGGACCCAGACACAGATAAACTACTTCACGATACCATAAAAAAATATTTTAGCGATAGTACGGTTCTGACGATAGCGCATCGCCTGAATTCTGTTATCAAATCTGACAAAGTATTGGTGGTTGACGATGGGCAGATCGTAGAATTCGATGATCCGGAAGTATTACTGAAAAACGAACATGGTTATTTTTATAAAATGGCTATACAATCTGGTGTTATCATGAAGTCATGAAATTGTTTTTATCTTTGAACTGAATAAATTTTACAGTTTAATGACAGTTTTTTATTGTATCCTTGTAAACATTATCAATGTGTTATATACACATAACCTTATGCGAGAAGCTAACATATAATGCCTAGTCTTTTTTTTTCGTTCTAAAAATAAATCGATTATAACGAACATGCTGGTAAAGAAATACAGAATTAAGTAAGTTATTTTAAAGTGGTTAGGTTAAACACAGTATTATTTAAAGTATTTTTAGGTTTATCTATAAAATGTAGTATTTAACAGAGGCAAAATGCGCAAACTCAGTAAGTAAATCGATATACTGTCTGTCTTCAGATAAAGTTATAATGAGTTATTAGCAGATTTAAAAGAAAAATTTATTTTTATAAAAACTTCTGCTTGAAATTATCAGTTATACTACAGGGTGTTCCACAATTAGTGCGACAAAATGAAGGTGTATTATCTAAAGACCCCCAGGAATTCCAGAAAATTGTTTAAAAAATTCTTTCTTCATTATTATAGAAAAAAATACAACTGCAGTTTTAGTGATTTTTTACACTTTTCAAAGCTTTCAAACATACGAATTTTTGAATTAAAAAAATAATCCTGGTATAGATTCTTTGGGAAATTTTATGCTCTACAAGAATCCGCGACGTAAAAAATTTTATCTCAAACGGTTCAAAAGTTATAGTCTTTTTAATGAAAAAAGATTTTTTTACGTGTTATTTCAATGGAAAACTTAGAATGCTCACTGACACCTTTTAAAATTGAGCAAAAAATTTTGCCTTGCAGGGAAATTTTTTGCTCGGTGTGTAGGTTCATTTTAACCCATAAATCCGATAGGTTAGTTTTTTTGGCTCACCCTACTATCCATGTATTTATAAAAATATATATAGAAACTGCCTATTAAAACTAAATATTTCTATAAATAATAAAAACTTGTTATCAGATAGCTGTATATTTTGCGATTCAAAGTAAACAATGATTTATATATATTTACCTTAAATTTTTTCACTTGTCCCAATTTCAATAACTGATAAAATATTACCTATTTAGATAATACCAGTAAAGTTGAGATGGATCCTGAATGCAATGTTAAAAAAACAAGAAACCCTGTAAAAGACGCCAATTTTTTCAAAAAGTTATTTTTCTTGTAAGTACTCTCAATATAAGTAATTTATTTAATTAATAGAGGAATACGTTTATTTTAGATATACATTACCATTATTTAAAACAGCAAGAAAACGGGACTTAAATTTGGATGATGTGTATGAAGTTGTGTCTGAATTTAAGGCTGCTAACGTTGGTAAATCCTTGGAGGAAAAATGGACTTTTCTTAAAATTAAAAATACTTCAATTTCCCTCTACAAGTTAATATGGAGTCAGTATGGGAAATCCTATCTTCTACTGGGACTAATACAACTCATATGTAAAAGCAGCATTGTGTAAGATTTAGTTCAATTTATTTAAACAAATTTAAACAAGTTTTTTTGTAGTATTCTTCATCCAATATTTCTGTTCAAACTATTGCAATATTTTAAAACCCCCGAACAATACACCAAATTAGAAGCTTACAAATATGGCTTTTCACTAATATTCATAACAATTTTTGGTTGTATTTACAACCACAATTACATGCAAATAGTAACAGAGTTTGGCATAAAAGTAAGAACAGCGTTCTCCAGTTTACTCTTCAGGAAAGTTTTGAAGCTATCACCATCAGCTCTGAAAGAGATTTCAGTCGGGAAAATATGTACATTAATGACCAAAGATATGCTTGCTTTCGACAGGATTTTTATTTTTTTAAACGACTTGTGGATTGGTGTTATACAGACAACAATTATTTGCTATCTAATTTACTCAAAGGTTGGAATATCGGTGCTTTCTGGACTTGGATGTCTACTACTTCTAACACCTCTACAAGGTACTTATGTAACAAAATATACATGTGAATATAGTGTTTGTTTTAGTGTTTTTGGGCAAAAAAATGGCACAACTTAAGATGGCAACAGTTAAAAAAACCGACGAGCGCATACAGTCAACACAAGAGGCTTTATCTGCAATCAAAATAATCAAAATGTATGCTTGGGATTTATTTTTCTACACCAACATAAGCGAAAGCAGAAAAGAAGAAGTAGTCAAAATGAAGCACTTATTCTATGTTAGAGCACTAGGGATGATATTACCTCTATTAAACTCCAAGATATCTCTGTACCTACTTCTAATGACCTATGTTTGGTTGGGTAACCAAGTTGACGCACCAACAATTTTTTTCGTCATCACGTGCTATAACAGCAGCCTTAGGTCATACCTACTTAACACAATACCACTCGGCATTATATCTTTATCTGATGTTAATGCCAGTCTAAAAAGGTTGAACTATGTGTTATCGGCAGAAGAACTAAAAGAAACCTCTGGAACAATATACTTGGAGCCATTGGTATACCTAAACAAAATAGCCGTTAAAGTTGAAGAAAAAGAAATATTAAGCTACGTATCTTTAAAAATACAGTCAGGATTGAACATAATATCGGGTGAATGCGGAAGTGGGAAGACTACCCTCATAAAAACCATTATAAAAGAATTACCAATAAGCAAAGGCATACTAAACATACAGGGAACAATATCATACTCCCCAGAAGACCCCTGGATATTCCCATCGACAATCAAACAAAATATCCTCTTTGGACAACCCTATAACGAAGCTAGATACAAGGACATCTTAAAGGTGTGCTGCCTAAACAAAGATCTACAAACCCTACTAAATGGAGACAACACACTAGTAACCGACAAAGGAGCAAACTTAAGTACAGGACAAAAAGCTCGAGTTAGCTTGGCAAGAGCATGTTATAAAGACTGTGATATATATTTATTTGACGACTCCTTGAAAGCGTTGGATACTAATGTAAGCAACTATGTGTTCCATCAATGCTTTAAAGGTTTCTTGAAGGACAAGATTATTATTTTTGTGAGTAATAATATACATTTCATCAAGCTAGCTGATAACCAAATAATATTGAATAAAGGTAAAACGTTGACCATTAAAAGTCAGAAGGAGGAACTTGATAAAAGGATAACCTATTATATTGACGATGTCGAGGAGAATCAATTTGAAGGTGAGAATAACAGTAAGGAACCTACCGAAACAGATGAATTTTTGGAAAAACCCAAAGTTGAAGATGCATATAAAGAAATAAATAAGGAAGGGAAGGTTGAGTTTGCAGTGTACAGAAGATACTTTGGATATTATGGGGGTGTTTTCATAATTTTCGTGGTTATATGTTTATTTGTGGCATTCCAAGTTGTAACGAGTTCTGGTGATAAACTCATAGGAAAATGGTGACCATTATATAATTTCTGAAATTTTTATATTGTAATTATAATTTTAGGACCGTACTGCAGGAAAATATGACCAAATTAGAAGCAAACGGCACTAACAACACAATATTATCAGAAAAACAAAACGAAATAAATGATATTATAATGGTATATTCAATCCTTGTATTTGGAAGCGCAGCTTTGGCTATAGTAAAGTCGTTTTCACACTTCTATCTATCAGCAGCCTCATCAGAAAAGATACATAACGATTTAATACGTTCGGTTTTACACGCAAACATAGATTTTTTTGATAGAAACAAGGTTGGGAATATTATAAACAGATTTGCGAAAGACTTGTGTGGTATTGACGAGTTTATACCGTTTATGCTGTATGAAATATTTAGAGTTAGTTTTTTGAAATTTCAATTCGAGATTTCTTAATAATATATTGTTGTTTAGGTTCTCTGTGCTTTGATTGGCACAATTGTTGTTATATCGATGGTTAACATAGGATTTTTGATACCGGCAACTCTTCTCATCATAAAATTGTACTTTGTTAGGTCGATGTATATCCCCGTAGGAAGAAGTCTTAAGAGACTTGATGCTGCAAGTAATTTATGAAATACCATTATTTTCTTTTATTTTTTATTTATTTTTACAGCCAGGGGTCCTCTCATGTCCCATATAAATGCCACAATAGATGGTATTACAACTATTAGAGCGTATAACATGGAAAACAAAGTCAAACAAGAATTTGAGAATCACCTGGACATGTACACATCTGCTTCTTATATGATGATTTGTGCAATCAGAACTTTTGGTTTTATTTTGGATATGACTTGCACCATGTTCATCACAAGTGTTATAGTGCACTTTTTATTTATAAGTGGAGGTAAATGCTTGAATGCAATTTTAATCATCTTCTTACAATTAATTTCCAGATAATACAGGCAATGTAGGGTTAGCTATAACACAAGCAATGGGGTTAACGGGGAGCCTCCAATGGGGTATTAAGCAATGGGCTGAGTTGGAATCTCAAATGACTTCCATGGAAAGAGTTATGGAGTATACAGACACAGATCAGGAACATTCAAATGGACAAATTTTGAACAACTGGCCCAATAAAGGCAAAATACAGTATTGTAATGTAAACCTGACATACAAAAATGGTTTAAAGGCATTGAAGAATATAAACTTCACAATTGACGCTGGTAAAAAAGTTGGTATTGTTGGAAGGACAGGGGCTGGGAAGACATCGATAACAACAGCTTTATTCAAACTATACCAAACAGAAGGCGATATTTTTATAGATAGCGTTAATATAAATACAGTTAACTTAAATTGCCTTAGAATAAAATTATCAAACATTCCACAAGACCCAGTGCTATTCTCAGGTACGATTCGTAGTAATATTGACCCACTGGGCAAATATACAGATATGGAGATATGGACTGCAATAGAAAAAATGAAGTTAAAGGACTTGGTGCAGTCTTTAGACCAAAAGGTACTGAATTCGGGGAATCAGTACAGCTCTGGAGAAAAACAATTGATTTGTCTGGTAAGAGCATTTGTTTGCAAAAGCAAAATCATCATCCTTGATGAAGCAACGGCAAACATGACTCAAGAATTAGAAGGGAAACTACAGAAAACCATAAAGGAATGTTTTGGGGAGTGTACCATACTAACCATTGCCCATAGAATAAACTCTGTCAAAAATTCCGACCTTGTTATGGTGGTTGACGATGGCGAAATCAAAGAATTTGATACTCCGGAGAATTTAATGAATAAGGTTGGTATTTATCATCAGTTGGTGGAAAATTCTAATGTGCTTTATTAGGTTAGGTTTTATATTTTTGTAAAGAATTAAAATACATTTTTTTACAATTATTTATCGCATTATTCGACTAGTTCACGATTTTTTCTTTGGTCAAAGTAACTCTGAAAAAAAGGTGTAAGTATGTAATCAGTGAACAAAGATTTGCCATACCTTTTCTGCAATCTCAATAAAATTTTTCGTCGTAGATTTACCAGTTTGACTGACCAAACTATAAAAATACCCGTCAGTATTTTTAAGTAAAATATAAGGACTATCGAACTCCTTAATACATCCTTCATCCATCACAAGAACCCTATCTGAATCCATGATGGTATGCAGTCTATGTGCTATGGTTAGAACTGTACAGTCCGAAAACTTTTCCCTTATTGTAGTTTGTATTAAAGCATCTGTATGAGGATCTACATTTGCGGTAGCTTCATCCAATATAAGTATTTTATTTTTTCTTATGAGAGCTCTAGCAAGACATATTAATTGCCTTTGCCCCACACTGAAATTTAAGCCAGCTTCACAGACTGTACTCTGTAAACCCAGAGGTAGTTCTGTAATGGCAGCCTTAAGCTCGACCTTATTCAAAGCATTCCATAAGATATCATCATTATAATCTTCAAAAGGATCCAGGTTTTTTCTTAACGTTCCAGAGAATAAAACTGGTTCTTGTGGTATTATAGATATCTTGCTTCGAAGATTTACTAGGGATATTTCGTTACTGTCTATGTTGTCTATAAATACACTACCCTCAAACTTAGCAAGTTTAAAGAGTAAGAATATTAAGGATGACTTTCCAGCCCCAGTTCTACCAACAATACCAATTTTCTCTTCACTACGAATCTCCAAATTAACACCCTTCAAAACATAAGGTTCACTTTCAGAATATCTAAAATAAACCCCATCAAATTTTATCGTGCCTCTATCAGGCCAAAGTTTGGGTACATCTCTAACTTTCCCTAAACCATCTTGTTCCGTTTTTGTTTCGATATATTCCGATATTCTTTCAATGGAAGTCATGTGGTTTTCCAGCTGACTCCACTGCCTTAAGCCCCATTGAAATTTTCCACACATACTCAAAGCTTGTGTTATCGTAAGACCCACATTACCACCATAAGTTTCTAGAGTTTAAAATGTACCAAATTAACAAAGCTGGAAGATGTATTGTTATATTTCTTACCATTTTCGATAAAGAAAATGTTAAGGGTGACGAATCCAACATAAAAAGCACAAATTAGGTCCAACCATATACCAAAAGTCCTGGTTCCAGTCATAAACATGTAATGTGCGGCACTGTGAATGTTCTGGAAGTTATCGAACTCCTTTTGGAGTATATCTTCAGCTCTAAAAGCTCTTATGGTGGTTAAACCTTGAATAGAGGCGGAGAAGTGGGTAAAGACTGGACTACGTGCTAAAAATTCACTCACTAGTAAAAAATAATTCTGAAAAATATAAATAAAGTTACTTGTTCCTTCTATTCTTTTTATCATTCTACTGGACTTGATAAATATTCTCCTCAGGAAGTAAAATAAAGTAAACATCAATATCGTGGGTATTAGAATCCATGTATTCAAAGATGTTATCAAAATTGAGGCACCCAGGACTTGTAAACCGCTCTAAACCAAAAGAATTTTTTTTTTTATTGTCATAAGTACAAGATTCACAGTAAACGGAAAAATATAGTATGACTCGTTTGAATAGTTTTATTACAACTGTATTGAATCGTGCTTTTATATTTTTCGCCTTTATACCTATGCACGACCATAGTTAAAGTCAAACTTAATAGTGATACATTATTTTGATTTTTTATATTTATAACAGAGAGGTAGAAACTCGACCCTGTCGAATGGTGCAGTCATTTATGTCTCTAGAAATTCTTGAAAAACGGGGCAGTCCATTATGGTGCAGCAACTTAGGATTCTTATTCTCTTCAGAGAAATAGAAACTTAAGCTTTACTGGCAATGATTTCGTTAATGTCCCCGAAAATTATAAAAAAACAGCGCAATGCAATATCGCAACGGATTCGACTTCTCTTTACTCTACCAAGTTACTGAAACTGGAGTCTTTCTAATACTGTTGTAGTTAATATTTCTGAGAGCATAAAAAGAGGGTGTAATTCAATATTGCAAGAGGTTTTGATCTTTTGATTGATGCAAGTATTTTGAATATTCTCATTTCTGCATATGATTTTCTTAAGAATAGTTCCTTTCTTTGGTTCTTTTGTCTTTTTTGTTTACCGTAACAAATCAGATATGTAAAGCACAGAGGATGTAATGTAAAGTATATCTATGTATTATATAAAGTACCTATATTTGTATTAAAAATTTCAGAGGTTATGTTGAAAAAACGATATGCTATTAAACTTCAATAATTAAAGTTTAATTTTAGTAATGAGGTCTGTTGGTAGACCCTGCACTATCTTCACAGGTATATGTTAGTACAGCAATATTTAAATCTGGTTGATCAAAAGGTACACCCCAGTGCAGGTTATTGTAGCAACTACGAACAAATAAATTAATGACCCATTGGCAATTATTCCTATAGAAAAAATATTCAACACAGTTTAATTAATTATTAAAATGAAAAAAATCACAATCATGTCGTATATAATTTTTTTTTAATAATAAAATAATTTTCATATACTGTGGAGAGTATTGGAACGGTCTACTGACGAATACAAATCTATACCTTGGCGAGATTTAGAAAACTGTATTCAAACGTGGCGTCATCCAATACACTTTTTTATTTTTCCGTTTGCTGTGTTGATCAATTTACCTGAAATGTCTCTATAGCACTTAATGGTATAGTTTCATCAGCCACATTGATATCTTTCGAGAATCTATTCAATATCCTTCCTGACGGGTTGGTGTTAAAAAACCTCATGGTCGCATGAACGACGTTTTTGAACATCAAATTATGCATATTGCTGGATGCGCTGTTGCAAAATCTATAGAACGATATTGTTCTTGTTACAATAACTAGTATCAAGAGTACCAATAGGATGGAGTATATTATCATACAAATTTCTTCGCTGAAAATTGTATCGTTAAATGTAAAGTTAGAGGTATGGTTCATGTTTTTAAATTGCTCCAGGTTGACCCAGAACGTTATAAAATAGTCAAATACACCTATGGTAAACATACAGATGAAAAATAGGGCTATAATGGTAAACCATTTGCAATAACCCCCTCCTGAGGATATGTATGTTTTGTACACAGTTGTTTTGATGCTACCCTTTTCCATGTGCTCTTTAACCTGTTTTTCTTCTTTGGTATTATTATTTATGTATTTGGTAACTTCCCTATCGTTTTTTTCCACTGATTCATCTTCTTTGGAGTCGATTAACATATCAGTAAACTTAATATCGGACTTCTGAAGATCCTCATAGGTTCCGCTTATGGTTACGTTACCATTTTCCAAGAGATAGATCTTATCGACGCTACGTAAATATTGCAATTGATGGGTTATAAGTACAACACACTTATTTTGTAGGTAACCTTTGATGCAGTCATCGAATAATTGTCTACCAACATGTGTATCCACTGCTGATAGAGGGTCATCGAGTAAATATATGTCTGCATCTTTGTAAACAGCACGTGCAAGATTGATTCTAGCTCTTTGACCACCACTTAATATGACACCTCGTTCGCCTACCAAAGTTTTATCGCCATATTGAAACAAAGATAAGTCCCTCTCCAAAGCACAAGCCCTTATAACTTTAATGTATTTTTTTTCGTCGTAGTTTAATCCAAAAAGTATGTTCTGCCTGACGGTAGACCCAAATAACCAAGGTTCCTGGGATGAGTAAGATATTTGGCCGCTAATATCAATGGTACCTTTACTGGGTATAATTTCTTGTAGGATAACATTAAGTAGTGTTGTTTTACCGCAACCTACAGGTCCTATTATGCCTATTAACTCTTTGGACTTTACACGAAAGTCTATATTGTTAAGTACGTTGTCTGGAGATGATTCAGCCCATTTAGCTGACATGCCTTGAATATAAACACCAATATCTTTATTTTTTGAAATGGTATCTTTATAGTGGATCTCCTCCAGCATCAAAAACTTATTCAATCTCTTTATAGAAACCCTAAATTCCGCCATTTGTGTTATAGCTTTGGGTAAAGAGTTCGTCAAACATGACTGCAACATCCCATAGAAAGAAGTACACACGAAAACATACTGATGATCAGGACTATTTCCAAACAAAACATACGTGATAACGCACAAATATATGGCGAATCTATTCATGATCAAATTTAGGGAAACACTTGTGGCCTGTAGCATCGATTTCCGCCTTATGTACTTCATTTCAGCTAGACGACTAGCCTGTACGAGTCTGGCGAATGATTTTTCCCAGGCGTACATTTTGATGACTTGTATGCCCGTAATGATTTCGTTCATTAGTCGGACTCTTTCGTCGGTTTTTAAAGCTGTTTTCAGTCTATAAACAGAGTTTTTTTTTCCCATCCAACCTTAAAAGTATTTTACTAGATTATGGTATATTTATTGCTGTGTAACTTACTTTGTAATGGGATGAAACATAGAAACAAGCCTAAACCAGTAATCGATGTAAATCCGAGTCTATCATAGAGTAACACCAAAATGACTATGGATTCCAAAGGAGCACCCCAAAAACTATGAATATGCAACAGCGATTCAAACCTTGTTACATCGTTAGACAATAAATTCACCATTTTGCCAACTGTTGTTTCTACCAAAGAGCTTGTACTAAGCTTCATTGCCTTTCTGTATATCAAAGAGCAAGCAGCTACACGTATTTTAAGACCCAGATGGGTCATGTATAAGTTGTAACCGTTTACAAATATGGCACGTAAAAAAATAAAGACAAAAATTAGGAATGCATATAGGAATGCTTCGTTTTTGGTAATTGCGGTTTGGTTTGGTACATAATAGGCCATAAGTCTGGACAGTAGAAGGGGCTGGGCCAATCTGCAATTACATTAGATTACGTTTCACATCATATAATCCTTTTTAAACCTACAAATTTAGTTAACACTTACTTTATTACAAACTCAACTATTATAAACATACATCCTGACACTAGAAAATACTTTCTAAATACTTTTTTTATGGCGTTCCATAGTGATGGTTTTGTGTTATGAAGAGTTTCATTTATCCAGGCTTTTTCAAGCTTGTTTCCTAAATAAGCGGACTCATGTTCTTTCAAGGTTCCCAATAAGTCGTCTTCTGTCAGGCCTTTTCGGTAGCCTTTGTAGAAAATTGAAAAAAACCAGCTAAAATACACATTTAATATCTTATGTTTTTTGTTTAGTTATATTTACCATAGGAATATTTGCGATATCCAACATGCCTCTTTCTTTGGGTGAATTTTATAATATTTTAATTTGTTTTCCTTAAAATTCACCTCCTCCATGTTGTTCAACCTTAACAATCAAACATGATAATTAACACTTGTTGCTATCAAACCGATTGTTGCTATTAAATTTCATGCACATTTTAAATTAATGTTACAAGTTAATGTGTTTATTTAACAATTACTTAAATAAGATAAAGTTGGGTAATTGATATTCATAAATGATTCTGTAAATTACATAATAAGTGGGGAATTACAAAATATTACATGGGATTTATATCAATATGCCAACTATACATAAATTTTTAGTTCACAAATCAAATTATTATACACCACCGTACAATAATGTAAATATATTTAAATTAAATAAAAAATCTGGTTCTATCTATCTAGATCGAGCTCATTTAGATCGAAAGCAGTGTACATATCATTAAATAGATATCTCACGAAAATAGGAAAAAAAAACAAAAAATAATGACCGTGACTTGATTAAAAACTTTTAATAGAACTCGATTAATTTATAAATTAATATATATATATATATATATACAGGGCCGGCAGCTTTTCATTTTGACGTGTGATGCTCATCTACAGTGGCTAATGGATAGGGGGTGTGCACACCCATGGGTGTTCTTTTCCTTGGGGGTTGCGGGAAGGAGAACAAAATAAAATTGGAATAGTTTTTTAATCAATGTATTTATCAAACTCAGTCACATTTTATATAAAGGGATAAACTAATTTTAGCACTAATATATCCCCCCGGAATTATTAAATTTAGTTTATATAGTTTTTTCGACAGTGCTTATTACGCGACATATTTTAAAGTTTCAAGTTAAAAAACTCACCCTGTAATGGAATCGAATGGGATAGGTATATTACTGCCACATCGGACGTTTTTAGGGTTGGCACATGTCACTTCTTGGATTAAGGGTTACCAGCATCAAAAATACGGGTTTAAAATAATCGTTCTAGATTTTTTTACGAGAGAATTATAACAGAGTTACTTTAAGATTCGAACTAACTTACCTTTGTTGATAAAAAGTCGGGTATCTATCCAGTAACACAATTGATGGTAGCAAACAAAAAACCCAGATAATAAACAAACCGCACGAACTGTAAATAATAATAATAATAATAGCTATTTTCGCGGAGCTAATCCCAGAACTAATTCCGGACATCCTAGGCATGCGCTTTTTTTTTAAATTTGGCGTTCAAAATGTAAAGTGCGCATGACAAATATTAAAATGCGCATGCCTAGGATGTCCGAAATAGTTCGGGATTAGCACCGCGAAAACACCTAATATAACTCAAAGTTTGGTCGGTTACAGTCGGTATAATAGAAATACCCTAGGGTGTGTCCCAGGCTAGCAGGATAAAAAATGTATAGACCGCAAAAGAAATGCAATTTTTCTGCTGATGATACGTGTGGTGCTGAGCACCACTATTTTCCTTTACGTGTGGTGCTTGAGCCCGCGAGCACCGCTATTGTCGCCGGCCCTGTATATATATATATATATAATATGTAGATAAATATACTTATTATGACGATAAATATATATCAGGGTGATTCACCTAACTGAGCACTTTATCGAAAGCCATTAATTAAACTACTGTACAATTGTCACATCATTCGACATACTTACAGAAATATTGCAAAAAATGTAATTTTTTTTATTTGTAATATCAGTAGTGTGCGTTGGATTGTCTTTTATTTCGTATTTATAAAGTAATGTCAATGTTAACGTCTCTGACAGTTGTGTTACAATGGGTAGTAATAATTACAATAATCAAGATATTCTAAACATGTTTTATACATATGGCAACTGCAAAAAAGTTTTAGAAAGAACAATAAGAACTTTTTATGGGAAGTATCTCAATTTAACACCACTCAGAAAGTAAGACAAGCGTTTTCGGAAATGTCCTATAAGGAAATTTTGAGAAAAACTTCTGAAGGTGTCTTGCGACGTATAAATGTGTCGTAAACAACAATGGCGATACATTGAACAATTACTTTAGATTTGTTTATTTTTTAAATATAATTTTTGACCTTTAAATTGATAATTCTTTTAACGTTGTTTAATACAAAATTAAAACAATCCAACGCACAATACTGATATTACACATTAAAAGTTAAAATTATTTTTTCACCCATTGTGACACAATTGTCAGAGACGTTGACATTGACATTACTTCATAAATACCAAATAAAAGACAATCTAATGCTCACTACTAATTTTACAAATAAAAATAAAAGTTTTTTTACATTTTTTGTAATAACTCTGTAAATATTTATTTTAGGTATAGGGAATGCTGCAGCATTTCAACGTAAATACCAGACACTCTGTATAAAATTTTCAAATACTATTAATGGCTTTTTATAGAGTGCTCATTAGTTAACAGGTACACCAAAAATTAACTTTTTAACATTACAATTAGTGGTAATACAGACATATTAGCAAGACCATCCATCTGTAAATAAATAAATATCTCAAAAACTGTTAAAAATAAAAAAGTAATCAAATTTTAGTAATTCTAGAATTTTACGTAGAATTTAAAAATGCAATAATATTTATATGATTCCATTTGAAAATATATCTTTTTCCGTTTTCTATAAACTTCTAATTAATAAGTTGTGAATTACCCTGTATATATATATTTATATAGATTAAAAAACTATTTTAAAATTAAAAATGAACAAGTTCAAGGCAACAGTTTTAAATCAAGTGGCGCATACATAAAAACTACAACAAATTTTTGCGTAGTATTTCACCACTATTTGCATTAAATTAGGTTTATCTTTTTGTTTGAACGGCATTTACCTTAAACAAACAAAGAAATATTTAAACATATTATACTGATATATTAACGTATGACGAATCGGTTTTCCAGTAGTTTAACTCGCGAGCTCTTCAATCAAACACTAAAGATTTTTTCCATTGTACTTAAAATTGAAATGTGATATTTGTAGTTTTGTTGGAGTTTTAAAAAGTGACTTAAGGTATTTTTTGTTTTTTAGTTATTTATAAATGTATAGGTATAGGTGTGTATATATAAAGTTAGGAAACGTTTAAAATAGTTTTTTTATTTTTATTTCTTAGACTCTAACATTGACGCTATTTTAACCTTAATTTGTATACCTCTCAGCATAATATGCTGAGAATATTATTTTTGTTTTTTTAATTTATATTTTTTAAGATAAAAATTTTAAATTTTATTAAATATGAAATTTTATGAAATATAAAATAATGTAACTTCACATTTATTTGGTAAAATACGTCAATTATTTTAAACATTTTTATTGTGGATATACAGTATGATATAAATTAGCACCTTCTTATATATAGTCGGGAGAATGTTTTCCGTTGCGTCATCAATTTTTGAACCAAGCACAGACATTACAATGAACCGTTTCTTTGTATAGTCGCTGCAGCGTATGTGGATGTCGATAAACCGCTTTTTAACATTTAAAATTGATGAAGTAACGGAAAACATTCGCCGCGTCGACTTACAACAATTATTGTTTATGGCTGAATACAACTTTTTCCAAAAAATGACAAATGCACATTTAAAATAGCAATTTTAAAAATATACTGTCTTACAACGCTAAAATTTAAAATAAGATAATAAATTTAATTTAAGTTATAAAGGACAAAAGATCATTTTTGTTGTTTATAACAATGAAAATCAACTTGTTTCCTTTATTACTAAAATTAAATATACTTACTGCATTTTAGCGTTATAGGACAGCGTAGTGATTTAAACAATTAAAAGGCCAGCATAAATAGCTTCTATAAATTTCAATTATTAAAATATTATTAAACTAACGTGTCTGATAAGATAGATAAAAGTATTTAGTTACTTTTAATATGCATTGATAATAACGACGCCATTACAGATGTGTAAGTGGCTTTTTTATTCATTAGGTTTTTAATTTTTAATACCCTAGTTGTAATGTCATTAAAAATTGTTTTCTATCCTTATATTAGATATAGAAATATTAAAAATTAATTTTAAAACAACCCTGTATATTATTCATTTGTAGTATATTATTATACGAGAGAATAATACCCTGTATACAAATCTAAATTAAGAAATAAATATGTGAACATTTTTAAGGTTTTGAGATAATAATGCTTATAATCTGGACCACACTGTATAAAAAATAATAATTTTACATAATATTATAATATTATTATAATATTATTAGGTATTTAATATATTATACAGTGTGAACTTAACAATACTTGTAAAAATATTTATTTTCAATTTTTCGAAGAAAAGTCACTTTTCATAATTTCTTCTGCTTGTTATATAAATACCATTCACGATGAGAAACTTCTATTTTGCAAAATTGAAAATAGTTAAATATTTTTTTAAGGTCCAATATGAAGAGCTTGTAAGGAGAAACCAAAAAGCCAAATAACGTTTTTTCATGTGAGTTGTTGTTACTAAGATATTTGTTAAAAATAAAATCAATTCAGGTCCTAACTTGAGTGGTCCTATTATTTTGTAGAAATTGACTGCTATCTCATTTTGCGATTATGAATCAAGGTTGTTGCTTTCAACTGACATGTCTACAATATCTACAATTAAGTATTTGTTAAAATTTGAAAACTAATATCTTAAATTTTCAATATCAAATATCTTCAGTATCAAAAACTCATATTATGAAAAAACTTAATTTGACTTTTTGATAAATATTTTGACAAGTATAGTTAAGTCCATCCGAGGACACACTGTATATTATGTATTTAATACATTGTATTATCTAATACTTATAGAGCTTTAATTATCTATTGTACCTACTTAAACTAAACGTATCTATTGTACTAAGTAGTTTTTTCAAAAGTGTTTTGGCAAGTGACAATGTCAAAAATGTTTGATAAACATCTTAATAATGAATAAGCCACGATAATTAAACTAAATATTATTATTTAATAAGGAACGCAATCTTCAATGAAAAAATACAAAAAAAATCATACAAATCATGAGGTATTATATTATTATTATTATTATATACGATAGCACAAGGTCATCCCGCAAACGTTATCAAAATATGTATATTAATTAAATTACACTTAATCTTGTTGGCACTTAAAGGAATATGGAAAAAATGTTTTATAGGAGTTTAAGTACTAAAATAATTTATATAGAATATACATGTTTATTCTTCTAGGTATTCCTGCCGGTTATAACAGATAAAAAATAGCTAGTCATGGATGCCAATGAGATTAAATTTAAGGATAAAGTTCATCCCGAAGTGAGGGCCAATTTTATATCAAAACTATTTTTCTGGTAAGTAGTTCACAAACTAAAAATATATATAATTATAAGACTTTAATTTTGTTTTTAGTTGGTTTATACCCACTTTCATAAGAGGTTACAAGACACCTTTGGAAGAAAAAGACTTATACAATGCTTTACCTGTTCACAATTCCATAACGTTGGGAGATAAATTGGAAAATGCGTGGAACAATGAACTTGCTAGAAGTAAAAATCCTTCATTATGGAAAGTTTTACTCAAAACCTTTAAGTTGGACTTTCTCTTCACAGGGGCAATGTACTTTTTTAACGAATTCGCTTTGAAGTATGCACCTACCTACTAATTAACTTTAATGTCAATGACAATACAACGACTTATTCTTCTAGGTTAGGTCAACCAATATGTATATCCCAATTGTTGCTCTACTACAACCCAAACTCAACAATGACCAAGAAAGAAGCCTATTTCTACGCTGGAATGGTTGTGGTATTATCCATGCTTCAAGTTATCATAAGCCACAATGTCGTGCTACGCTTACAACATTTGGGAATGAAAATGAGAGTTGCGTGTTGTTCCTTGATCTACAGAAAAACATTAAGACTAAACAAGTCAGCACTTGTTGATACAACAATTGGTCAGATGGTAAATCTACTCTCAAACGATGTCAATAGGTTTGATTTTTCCATGATACATGTTCATCACTTATGGGGGGCTCCCATTGAAACTGTTATAGTAATGTATTTACTATATTCCAAGCTTGGATTGACGTCCATTGTTGGTGTAGGTTTTTTATTAACATTCATACCATTACAAAGTAAGTTATACCTAGGTAATTATTAATAAAGATAAACCAATCAACATTTTTTCAGTGTACATGGGTAAAAGAACTTCAGTGTACAGACTTCGAACCGCCATAAGAACAGACGAAAGAGTCAGATTGATGAACGAAATCCTATCTGGTATCCAAGTAATAAAAATGTACACATGGGAGAAACCTTTTGCGAAACTCGTCGAGATAGCCAGACGTTCAGAAATGGTGGAAATTACTAAAAATTCCATGCTCAGAGCTCTAACTCTATCATTCGCTTTATTTATGAATAGAATTTCTATTTACTTTTGCATACTTACCTACGTACTAGTTGGGAATACTGTGAATGCTGAATTCGTTTATAGTTGTGTTTCGTTTTACAGTATTTTAAGACAGGCTGTTACGATGTTTTTGCCGCAAGCTGTTACATCGATGGCTGAATGCAACGTGTCTGTGAAACGCATCAAAACGTTCTTATTGTATGAAGAAATTCACGATGAAAATGAACCTGTTATGTACGTTAATGATAATAGTCAGAAGGAGAAACAGAATGGTTTGGTACTAAAATCTGATATAAGCAGCAAAAGTATTGGTATATTTTTGCAGGATGGGGCTTGTAGGTGGTCTTCATCATCACCTGAAAGCACTTTATCAGGCATCAACTTTTCTGTTAGTGAAAACCAATTAGTAGCCATCATTGGGCCAGTGGGAAGTGGAAAGACAACTCTACTACACGTTCTACTAAAAGAATTATCCCTGGAAGGTGGTACTTTGGAAGTGAATGGTAGAGTATCATATGCATCACAAGAACCATGGTTATTTGGTGGTAGTGTAAGACAAAACATTCTTTTTGGACAAGAATATAATGAGAATAAATATAAGGAAGTTGTGAGGGTGTGTGCTTTGGAAAGAGACTTCACTCTATTCCCCTATGGTGATAAAACAATCGTCGGTGAGAGAGGTACAATGTTGAGCGGTGGCCAAAGAGCTAGAATCAATCTTGCACGTGCTGTTTACAAGGACGCAGACATATACTTACTGGACGATCCTCTATCAGCTGTGGATACACACGTGGGTAAGCAATTATTCGAAGACTGCATTAGCAAATACCTGGGCGACAAATGTGTAGTTCTCGTCACCCATCAACTGCAATACCTTCACAAAGTTAGCAGGATCGACTTGCTAGAAGACGGGAAAATATCGATATCAGGAACATACCAACAACTACAAAACTCCGGCAGAGACTTCACGAACTTGCTCAACGAACACAAAGATGAACACAACGATGATGAAGAGAAGAAAGACAGGAAGAGCAAGCACGAGGTAATGGAGGAAGATAAACCTGGTGAACCCACGGAAGTTAAAGAACACGTTGAAAAAGGAAAAATATCTGGAGAAGTTTATAGGAGGTACTTTAAAGCTGGTGGTCGTTTATGGCAGGCTTTCGCTATGCTAATTATATTTATTCTGGCACAAGTAATTGGTAATGGTAACGATTACTTCGTCACTTGGTGGGTAAACTATGAACAAGACAAGTTGGCCCAAGCTAACTTCACGAACACTACGGAAACCTTCTGGGATACTGTTTTCTTTGAATACAACGGATTATACATCTACACATCTTTTGCTGTAATGGTTGTTGTGATGGTTGTATCAAGGTCTGTTATATTCTATAAATTCTGCATGGTGGCTTCAAGAAAACTGCACGATAATATGTTCAACAATGTTGTATTCGCCACCATGGAGTTTTTTAACAATAATCCCTCTGGAAGAATTCTAAACAGGTTTTCGAAAGATATGGGAGCTGTTGATGAAAACTTACCGGGTGCTATGATAGATACAATACAAGTAGGTTATTTATTATTATTTAAAATGTATATTACAGTGTTATTTTGTATTTTAGATTGGTCTGAATGTGCTGGGCATATCAATTGTCGTTGGTATAGTCAATCCATGGGTTTTGTTATCAACCGTTGTAATCCTTACCATTTTCTATGGTATAAGAGTTGTATATTTGGCTACAAGTCGTAACATCAAGCGAATGGAAGGAACAAGTAATTCTCTAAAAGTAGAACAATTTATTTATATGGTATACTAAATATTAATTTTTTTAGCTCGTAGCCCAGTTTTCTCTCATCTATCAGCGTCTCTGCAAGGTTTAACAACTATTAGAGCGTTTGGTGCTCAGGAAATATTGCGTGAAGAGTTTGATAAGCATCAAAATTTGCACAGTTCAGCCTTTTACATGTTCTTGGTAGCAGGAAAAACCTTCGGTTTTTGGCTTGATTTTCATTGTGTAATCTATATAGCTCTAGTCGTTGTGAGCTTCCTATTCATCGAGAAGGAATCTTATGGAGGAAATGTTGGTTTGGCTATAACTCAGTCCATGGGGTTGTGCGGGCAGTTTCAATGGGGTATGAGGCAGTGGAGTGAGTTAGAAAACATGATGACCGCCGTGGAGAGGGTTTTGGAGTACACGGAAATCAAACCTGAACCACAAGGTGTTGTTAAAGAACCGCCCAAATTTTGGCCTGAGGAAGGAAACGTCAAATTTGAATCTGTATACATGAAGTATTCTGAAAATGAACCTTTTGTCCTCAAAGATCTAAGTTTTGACGTCAAACGAGGTGAGAAAGTTGGCATTGTTGGAAGGACGGGTGCTGGTAAATCGTCGTTGGTATCAGCACTCTTTAGATTGTGTCAAATTGAAGGAAAAATCATAATAGACAATGTGAATACAAAGGAAATATCATTGGAAAATTTAAGATCCAAGATCTCCATTATTCCCCAAGAACCAGTCTTGTTCTCTGGAACTCTAAGAAAAAATTTAGATCCATTCGACCACCACAACGATGACGTAATATGGAGCGCATTGGAACAAGTCGAACTCAAAGGCGCTATTGATGATTTAGCGTCAGGTTTGGAAAGTAAAATCTCAGAAGGTGGAAGTAACTTCAGTGTAGGCCAAAGACAACTTCTGTGCCTTGCTAGGGCTATAATACGCAAAAACAAAATACTCATTCTTGATGAAGCCACAGCGAATGTTGACCCTCAAACCGACGCTTTAATTCAAACAACCATTAGAGATAAATTCGGAGATTGCACTGTGCTCACTATAGCGCATAGACTTAACACTATAATGGATTCAGATAAGGTATTAGTAATGGATTCAGGCACTGTGGTGGAATTTGATCATCCCCATAACTTACTACAAAACAAAGATGGAATATTCGCTAGCTTAGTCAAACAAACTGGAAGAGCAATGTCTGATAACTTGACTGCTATCGCAGAAATGGTAAGATATTTTTGTTAATTAACAGTATTGGTATATCTTATTATTTTTTATGTGTATTTCAGAACTACAATATGAGGAAGGATGAATGATAAATCACTAAAAAAGACTAGGTATATGAAAAACTAAATAATTTATTTATTTAAATATTCCGTTTTGGAGTGTCCAAACTATTTATTATTAGATTTAAGTTTCAATTAAAGTATCCTTTCTACAGACCTTCTTATTTATTTCATTCCTTATAAGAATATATCCCTTATATATTATTATAATTATATATGTAATTATAATTATACTTTTTAGCCAAGAAACAAGTAAAATTACCTCTTTTGACCAATAGTCGCACACAATATTTTATTCAACTACTTACCGCAAGGAATTTAAAGCTAATTTTATTTGATATTTTATCAGACATCTGCAGTTGAGAAATGGGATTTGGGAAATCATTATTTTCCCACTCTCAGCAGCCTGCTGACAGCAGGGCCAAATTCATATTTCTTGCGGGCACGGTCTTATACAATATATGATATATATCGTGGTCTTATACAGACATACGTCCGGCATACCTGGACAATTTCAATTTAATCAAAAAGCGCCATCTAACAACAGAGGATGAACTAAATATATAAAAAATAGAAAGGTATACCCATTGATTAATAGCTCCTTTACTCAAAGGTATACCTGTTATTAACAGGCTGTTTAACAGCCGCTGTTAACCTTCTTTATCTCTGGTTTCCACTACTAATTATAAAATTAGGTACGTATCAGAGAAGTCTCTGGTACTGTACCAGTGGTATAGTAAAAATAAAGTTATTTTTCTGTTGTTTACTAGGTATAACCTAGATTCATACAGTTTTTAAGGTTTATACGTTATTTATTGTTATTTTATGGTGATTCCACATGTTTTTTTAAATTTTAATGGAATTTTAAATAACTTAATAGGAGAAATACCATGTTAGCATAACTAGCTTGGCCAAATGGTTTTATGGTGTAGGTAGTTATTGTGACGTTATGGTTAAGATACATTGAACATTAACTAAGGTACTTTATGAACCATGGCATATCATGGAAAAAACGAATTTAAATCTATTTTAATTGTTGTTTATGAACTTTTATTATGTATCACTATTTTAAACAATTTTTATTTATTATAATAATATATTAGCATGTTAATAAAACTTTGATCTTTTTGATATGTAGGTGCAAAAACCTGTCAATTTTATTGATTTTTGTTTTTTTGGAAAGTAAATTATTACCTTTAAATAATATTTCCTTATTTTTTCACTCCAATTCTTCCCAAAGTCACATAATTTTACATCTCGTGTTTATAAATAAACCATGACATTTGAAAATAAACAAACAGTTTTGCCAACATAACCAAACAATCAGAAAAAGAATCTTCTACTTTCTGTTCTTTGGTTTCAGATTCTTTTCTGTCCATTCCAAGTAGGTCTCATTTTTTTTATAATCTGCTCATAATTTACACAACATGGATTGTGAGTGTTGTTGCCAAGAACTATCTTTTTGAGTATATCTACAGACTTCGTGATTGTTGCTACAGAACTTGTGTAGGCTTCATGCACAGTTTATAAATAAAAAAACAGCTTTGCCAACTTACAAAACACTCTACCAAAGAACACCAAAGAACACTTGCACTCTACTCTCTGAGCAGTTTCGCCAACATTCAAAAAGTCTACAAACTAAAAATGTTTGCAAAGTTTATTTATCAGTTATCAGCCCTTAAAGTTAACTAAAACCAATAGTTTTACTGCAATTTAATATTCTTTTTTTATGTATAACAAGGTAGATTACCGAACGTTTCTGAGCGTGATAAAAATGCAGTTGACAAGTCAAGATAAATTTTAACCTTAAAAATATTTGTATTATGATAAACTAGTTAATTAAAAACGTCGAAATGCCACCGAAGAGAAAGCCCGCAATTGTTGTGGGCACTGTGTCGACTAGATCGACTGCAAGACAAAGTGTGGTAAACATTGAAATCCCTCGAAGCAGATCTAAAAGAGGCAGAAAACCTAGAAATAGGATTGAATTTGAGGTGGAAGTTGATGTAGAAGAAGTTCAAAGTGTTCCGGAGGCAAGTCAAGTTGTTAAAGAGATTCTAGACGAGTGGTCTGAAAAGGAAAATGATACTGAAGCATCAGAAAGTGAAGATTTATCTTTAAATGAATCTAAGTTAGATTTGAGTTTAGACGAAGGTTCTCAAAGTAGTAGCGTACCAGAGATAACAGTAGAGGTTATAACAGTTGACGAAAATGAATTTATTATACAAGAAGATGCAACTGAAGAGCCACCAGAAGTTTTTGTGGAATGTTCTACAGATGATGTTGTTTCAAACAATGGCAGTGAATATAGTGATGCTAAAGACACAGTGGACCCAATAGAAGAAGGAAAAGGTAAAAATAATACAAATTTGTTCAAAAATTAATAAAACTAAAAAACAGTTGAATTAAATGACTAGAAATTAGGTTACCTATTTAAGTGTCAAAACCAAAAAAGTTAGGTTATTTAGTTGTCAAAATTAAAGTTTTTTGTATTCCTTTTGGATTAGAATAAATTTAATAAAAAAAAGTATTTGTACTACAAATTTTGTAGTCAAACTTTTTAATCCTATAATATGAAGAAAAAACCTGATTTACTGTTACAGATGAAAACACCAATTCCATGCCTAAATCTGAATCATGTGAAGCAATTTCTGAAGAAAAACAAGAAATTGAAGAAACAACCTCATCTCAAAATTCTGAAGAAGCTCCAGAAATAGAAGAAATGGTGGTTGATGAAGAAATCCAGGATCAACCAGAAACTGAAGAAATGTTGGTACAAGAAGAAAACATTGAAGAAGAAAACTCACAACAACAAGTTGAAGAAATGGTTGTACAAGTAGAAAACGTTGAAGAAGAAAATTCAGGACAACAAGCTGACGAAATGGTTTATGAAGAAAAACGTAAAGATTTAGTTGATGAAGAATTAGTGGAGGAATCGATGAAGAATATTTCGCTAAATGAAGAGGTGAGCAGTAGCAATATTCAGGAAGTGGAAGAAACAGAAATAAATGAAGATCCAGTCAATCAAGAAAATGAAGAATTATCTGAAGAATCTAACAAAAATGAAGACATTTTTGATGACTCTAAAGAACAAGAAGAAATTAATATAGTACAATCAATTTTGGAGCAAAACGAAGAAGATGAAGAAATTGACGACACTAAATCTGAAAATATAGAAATAACACCAGAATCGAAAAATCAAGGTAGTGAAGAAATAAAAGATTCAGTTGAGTTAGAGCTTGAAAATACAGTTTTTTATGAAGACACACCTAAAATTAAAGAATCAAATAAAGAAGAAACGGAAAAAGAGGAAGAGAAAGAAGAAGATCCTGGCGAAATTTCTGATGACATAGACAAAATAAGGGAACTTGTTAACCAGGATTTAACCATGGAGAAAGAAACTGTTGAAGAAGACAAAAATGAAGACACAAACGAAGAAAATGAGAACAAGGAAATGGAAATTAAGGAGATGCTGGAAGAAAATGAAGTTGAATTAGAACCTTTAAAAAATGAAGAAAAAGACACCCAAATAGAAGACCAACTGCAAAAAATGGAAGAAGACGAATCGCCAAAAGAAGATGAAAGGGAGGAAATGGTTGAAGAAATCCTGAAAGGCGTCAAGTTGAAGTTAGAGAGCTCGGAGAAAAAAACGAAGAAAAAGCAAAAAGAATCTCCGAAAAAGACACCAAAAAAGAGCGAAGCCGCAGAGAAGAAATCGCCGAAGGCAAAAAAGACTCCAAATGAAAAAGCAACAAAGAAGACCACACCAAAAGTTGCAAAACCCAAAGTTGTTAAAGAGAAGAAAGAGAAAACTCCTAAAGAGTCGAGAAGCGGTAAAAAATACAAGAAGAAAGTCGACAAAAAGGAGGAAGACATTAAAAATAAAGACGAGGAAGAGTCGAACGAGATTCGAAGATCGAGCAGAATCAAATCCATAACAGTGCTGAAAAAGAAAACTAAAGGTCATGGTTTGGTGAAATCAAAATCGGAGCAGTCTTTTTTGGATGGCGATGTTTCTGAAAACAGCAATTCAGGTTTTACTGATTCTGAAAGGAGCACGCCGTCTGCATCTCCAATGCCGAAAGAACGGTCCTTGGGAAAAACGCGTTGGTCTAAATCGACGGAAAATTTGGCCGATAAAGAAGTTTCTCCAATGGATATAAATTTATCCAACGTTAAACCAAAGGAAGAACAAGACGAGCAAGTCAAGTTGAGATTGAAGCAATTTGTTCACCTCAAAGAAAACTTGTTTCTGACCGACAGATTGTCTTGCAAAGAAGCGAAAAAAATGGCGTGCGATTGTTTCTTGACTGAAGAAGAAATGGAGGAGGGCGAGTATGGTTGTGGTGATGACTGTCTCAATAGATTGCTTATGATTGAATGGTAAATATAATGAATATGAATTATACTGAATTATTTTTTTAAAATATTTTTAGCGGTAATCAATGTCCCGTCAACGATAGATGTACCAATAAACGTTTTCAAAAGGTGCAGTTCGCGCCAGTTGAAGTTTTTAATACGCAGAAGAAAGGTTTGGGGTTAAGAGCTGCAGCAAATATACCCTAGTAAGATTTTATTACTTTTAAACATTTTTAGACATATTTTTAACAAATTTACTTTAAGTTTACACAGTAAAAAATGTTTATGTAAAAATACTTGGATGATCATTGTATTTCTGTGACCATCGACTTATATGTGTTTTTTAAATGTGAAATGTTTTTTACAAATGGCTATGTGTTATCACAATGTATATTACAAACTATTTGTAAAAATGAATAGTACTTTTACATAATACATGTACTACAATTTGAAATTTTACAAATTCTATCTGATCCTTTTTCTGACTTTTTTATGTTTTTGTGATTGTTTGTATTATTTTTAATAATTCTCGTTTTTTTAATGATATAAATTAAAACTACAGCACCACTTCGCTAGTTTTTAGTTTTTAATGTGTTACTATAATATAGTAATTTATTATGCAATTTTTTTTAATATTGGGATTATGGCAAAATTTTAAATTACCTATTATGATAATTTAAAAAGAAGACCTTTGTAGTTTTATTTTTTTTTTTACTATTTTTTATATCTGGTTTCATTTTGTCTTAACTTAATTTTTATTCAAAATTACATTAAAAATGACACAACAGAAATAATTTATGAAAATATTTATTAAACATCATTAAGTCCTAAACCAACTGTATTAATTTAAATATTTTTTAAGGAAAAGTCAACCACAGCTTTTTGTAAATTTTTCATCAAATTCAAATCACTTCTACTGACTTTATATTTATTCCAATACTTAATAATTTCACGATGAACGGACCCCCCATTTTTTTGAATTCTTCCATATCAGTATTAAGGTCAGTACATGGATTGGTACAGGGTGATCCCCTATAATGTCGCCCCCCTTTAACTTTTTTATTTTAAGTGTCCCAAAAAATTTAAAAGTGTGGTTATGTAGGTACTAAAAAATACTTTTTTTTCCATGTAAAAATAAATGGAAAATTGATCAATATACAGGGATAAACAAAAAGTTTATTTTTTTTCAATGGATAACCCTATATATAAATTTATTTTACGATTCCTTGTAAAATTCTGAGCATAATTCATATAACAAACCTTATACCTAAATTCAACCGTTTCTGAAATATTTGCATTCGAAATGTTATCATTAAATGTTTTTTTAAACTGTTAAAAATCAAGAAGCCTCAGTATACCAAAATTTTTATTGAAAATAAATTACTATAGTGACATTATGTCAATATGTCTTGTTAAATAAGTAAAAATGGCGTACTCAGACAGAGAAAGACAAACTATTTCAACTTATCTTAAAAATAATTTAAATATTTCAGAAACGGTTGAATTTAGGTATATGATATGTTTTATGAAATATGCTTAGAATTTTACGGAATCGAAAAATAAATTCATATATAGGGTGATCCATTGAAAAAAAAATAAACTTTTTGTTTTTCCCTGTATCCTGAACAATTTTCCAATTTTCTTTATACGTGGAAAAAAAGTATTTTTTAGGACCTACATAACCACACTTTTAAATTTTTTGGGACACTTAAAATAAAAAAGTTAAAGGGGGGCGACATTATAGGGGATCACCCTGTACATTGGATTAATTTGTTCAATGATTTGAAAAATGAAATAATACGCATCACTGTCAGGGGGCTTTTTTCTTTAAGGATATCTTTGACTAATAAAATGTCACTATTTTTCAGCATCATACTACATGTTTTTTGTCTTTATTTAAAGACACAAATTTTTCGTAACACTTTTTAAAGTCGCCGTAAGTTTTTGTTTCATGTTGTATCTCTAAGTTAAAATTCCTGAGTTCTTCCAATCTAATAAAGCAGTAGGTATAAGCAAGTTTAGTAGCCTATAATATTATAGAAATGTTGCTATTTTTTAATAATAAGACCTGTACACGTATTTTTAATAATAACACCTGTACACGTGTTATATAAAATTCGATATTTTTATAAAGTCCAGAAAACAAAGATTGTAGAAGGATAACTCGATGGTAGTTGGGTTTTATTTTTTTTATGTAGAGTGATTGTAAACAGTGCCTTTGATTGGTTATTGATTGATTGGTTATTTTTACACGTGAATTGTTTTTTTACAAATATTACGTACCTATTTTTACATTTTTTAAGTAATTTCACCAATTAGATTCCTTTTTACAAAGTAAAATTCATTGTTTAACTGTATATATCCGATAAATTTGTACATTTACATTTATTTTTGGAATTTTACGTTCTTATATAAGTACATTTAATTTTAATTACATTTATTTATATGTAAAGAAAACATGTTTATTATCGTAAAACACTTGTAATTTTACATGCATTTTTTACTGTGTACTTCAGAAACAGTTTTACAGGGTTGGGACAGTTGAAATTTTCAAATGAAAATTTCAACTTTGAAAGTTTCAAACTTGAAATATTTCATTTAGTTGGAAAAGTGATATTTTTAAAAATTTCAAATAAAATTTTCAATCCGAAAATTTCAACATTGCCTGTGAAAGTTTTAGAAATTTCATTGAAAGTTTCGCAATTTACTGAAAATTTTGCATAAATTTCACATGCGGCCTCCCCTGGGACCTTTAATAATAATTTACAACAGATTCCGAATCGACCAATAAGAAGGAGTTATCAAGCGTCTGGGCGTTTTTGTTTAGTTCGGCTTGGATTTGAATACACTATAAGTAATTATTGTTACTTATATGCATAAATTAATTTAAATTTTTAATTCAGTTAAATTGTAAATTAAATCAGACTTTAAAATTTTGTTAAAAGTCATGATTAATTTAAACTTTTACTTTTGCTATAATTGCATCGGAAAACGGATAAAAAAAGTTTCTTCAATTTTCGTAAAATTTCATTAAAATATTTAAAAATAATAAATATATATATAAATATAAAACAATGAAAGTGGCACAATCTCATTAGCTTACCAAAAATTTAAAATAATTTTTAAAATATTTTTTAAAGTAAATATCAAGAAATTTGTGGTAAACATAGGTACTATTTATATTATTGGTGCAGGGGCCCACAGAGGGGTAGGAGGTAAGAGAGGTAATTTGCCATGGTCCCCGAGTGAGCTTATTTCAATATTAATATATTACACTTAAAGCGATTGAAATTTATTGAAAGTTTCAATAAATTTCATGAAATTTCATAAATTTAGGAAATTTTAATAAATTTCATAAATGTCATGAAAATTTCAAGTGAAATTTCAAGTACCTACAAGCAAAAAGTGAAATTTTCCCAACCCTATTTGTGACACACTTTTTCACTCTTTTCAGTGGTGAATTCATCCTGGAGTATGTAGGCGAAGTCCTGGATCCAGATGAATTCGAAAAACGGGCCGAACATTACTCCACCGACAAAAACATTCACTACTATTTCATGTCTCTGAGAGCCGACGCCATAATCGACGCGACCATGAAGGGCAACATCTCGCGTTTCATAAACCACTCGTGCGATCCGAACGCCGAAACGCAAAAGTGGACGGTAAACGGGGAATTACGCATCGGTTTCTTCAGCACGCGCACCATTTTGGCCGGCGAGGAGATCACTTTCGATTACAGATTCCAGCGGTACGGTAAAGAGGCTCAAAAGTGTTATTGCGAAGCTGCGACTTGCCGAGGTTGGTTGGGCGAGAGACCGGACTCTTCCGACGATGAAGATGACGAGGAGGACGAAGAAACGGAAGCTAAGGTTGAAGATGCAGACGTCACCATAACAGAGAGTGACGAAGCGATGGATTCTTCAATAGCTGATGTTAAATTGGAGGACTCCAAGAGCGAGGTGGTAGCTACTCCGGCTAAGAAAGTGCCAAGACGTAAACCTAGAAAGGAGATGTTCGAAGATATGGATCAATTGGAGGAAGAAATTGACACTCTAATGGAATCAGGATTGAAAAACCAAGCGCATACTCTTAAACTGAGCAGGTTGATGGTGCGAGCCAAAGAAATATCGCAACGTGCGAAACTTCTGCGCGTCTTGCGCAGAGGTGAATTGCCTTGTAGAAGATTGTTCTTGGATTACCACGGTCTTCGTTTGATGCACGGTTACATGATTGACGCGCAACTCTCTGGGAAAACTTTCGAGCAAATTCGATTGGAAATGTTGCAAACTTTAGCCATGTTGCCGATACCGAACAAAACCATGTTGCAGGATAGTAAAGTTCTCTCCACGGTGGCAAATTGGGCGTCTGGAAAAGGCGTAACCTCTCCCGATTCAGATAGCAACTCGCCCCAAGATCAGGATGTTAATAAAACGAAAACTGATGAGGAAGATAATACGAATTATGGCGAAGAAATTGTGGCGTTGGCATCGAAGTTGCTTGAAGAATGGTCAAATTTGAAAGAAGTGTTTAGGATACCGAAAAAAGAGCGTATAGAACAGATGAAAGAACACGAAAGGGAAGCGAACAAAAAATACATGCTGAACGCAGAACAAGATGTGGAAAAAAGTCGATCTACCAGCAGATATTTAGGAAAATCGAACCCAAAGGTCGAGAAAGAGATCTTCAAGAAAAAAATGGACGAAAGAGAAAGAGTTTTGTCCATGTACAAAATAACGAAGATTGAAAGAAGAAAGCTGTTCGCTCTGCAAGTAGAGTTGAAAGAGGAGGAGAGGAGGAGAAAACAGCGCGAGCAATGGAGAGAACACGAAAGGAACTGCATTCTTATAGGAGCCGACCCCAGATTGACTGCGCCATTCGACCCCAGCCGCGGTTTCCAATACGTGTGGAACTCCGCCATTGGCCAGTGGCAGAACATCCCCATCCCCGCCGAGACGCCCATGTTCCGCGGCCCCAACATCAACGTACCCCCGCCGCACATGCCGCCCCCAAAACCCGTCGTCCCCGCTTACTCCTACGCCATGCCGCTCCCCCAACTCCCCTATCAAGCCACCCCTCCGCCGACCACCATCCCTCCCCCACTTCCGTATCAAACGCCGCCCCCGCTGCCCATGACCGCCCCCGTCGATAAGGCGAAAGACGAGGTTAAGTTTATGGGGCCGATTCCGCCCCCGGTTAAGTTGCCGCCGAAATGGAAAACCGCCAAGGACAAGTACGGTAGGCCGTATTATTATCACGTCAAGATCAGGAAGAGTCAGTGGGAACCACCGGCCCCGTCAAATGACGATGATAGTAAGTCATTATAATTATTTTTAGTTTCAGAATAGTTGTGGGACCTTTTAGTAACATAAGAACAGTTCTGAGAGTTGTAGGACATTTTAGACAAAATTAGTTACACCAGTTACCCACTAAACAAAACAAAATTTCGATTTTTTTCCTTAAATTTTTGGAGTTACAATTTTTTTAAGTATATCTTGAGTTCTAATTAATCGATTTGGCGAAATAAGCATTCAAATTAAAGATTACTGAGGATTCTACAACTTTCTTTTACATAAGTTAAAATAAGTTGGAGAAGTAGTTTTTGGCAAAAATTGAGGTCGAAAATTCACATATCTTCGCGGAAAAATAGAAATCGCAAAGATGTCCAGTTTTTTACGTAAAGCTGACACTTTCACTTTCAAAAAACAAGCTATTATTGATAAAAATCTCTGGATAAATTTTGATTTACACAGAAAAATTTGAGATTTTAACGCCGGTAGATTTTCAAGTTAGAAATTCTAACGGAAATTCCAATAAATTAACTGTCACTTTTTGTACCTTTAACATTTCCCGTGTTTAATACTTAGTGATAAAATTATCGTAATTATAAAATATAGTAATAAAAAAAAAATATTTTAATATTTTAAAGTATCAATAATTGTTAAGTTTAATTAAAATAACAGGAAATGTTAATGGTGTAAATTACGTCAAAAATGTTTATTGTTATGGTTACTTTATTTTCGTATAGATGTCGCTTTATACAAATATTAGTACGTCGTTTGCTACATTTTTTTGTATCTACTTGACTGAATTTTTATCCATTTTCTCACGTTCTCATGTCCTAATTTTAGCACACCTTGTAAAAAAACTAGCAGAGAAAAAAATTTTGAGATACCAAAAAATAGCAAATAATTATATTGTTTGTATCAAGTTTTAGATTTTTGTCTCTGCCAAACATAATTCGTGAGCGAAAGGGTTAAATCATATTTAGATAATATTAAGTATTTGTCGTAGAAAAACTCTTTTATAATTTTTCTAGGAACTCATTTAATTAAGCACCATCTCAAAATCATGTGAAATTTTTCGATTTTGCAAACAGATGTTATTGAATAGTTTTTTTAAGCATGATTCTTTATATTTTAAAGCCTGCTTTATAGATTGTCTTCCTCCCTTCCTGAACAATAGGAAAACCGTAGTGCCGTTTATAGATTCCCGTACGGGATTGTATTGTTCATGTTCTACGGGAGGAAGGAAGGAAGGAAGGCAATCTATAAATCAGGCTTAACACTACTAAACCATTTTTAGTGTCTGAAAGCTCATCGTCTACCGAATCCAGCAGTTTGAGCTCTGATTCGAGCTCGGACAACTCGGATTCCGAGGACGATGTCGACGATACCAGGCTGTTATTGCAAGTGCGGAAGCAGATGGAAAAATCTGCCAAACTAACGTTCAATAAATCCGCGATACCGCAACACGTCAGGGGCGATAGCAGCGTGACCCCGAGCCCCGATAATGCCGACGAAGAAAAGGACGAAGACAAAATGGATTTTAACGGTGATGTCGATGATGACGATGACGATTCGGACAAACTGACTTCCATCGATATAAGACTGAAGGAGCAATTCGACTTTATGAACGAGGAGAGACCCCCTCCCACCAAGAAAAGGAGAGTTGGGTTGGTGCAAGAAAGAATAATTAGCGTAAGTAGAATTAGTAGGAAAACATAATGTTTTTCTATGAACTATCTAGAGATGCGACTTGAAAAAAACGGTCAGTTTTTTTTCTTCATATTTTAGGTTTTTTTCAAGATTAGTCCCAATTGCCTAATTTTTTATGTTTCCAGTCCAGTTCATGGACTAAAATTAGCCACTAAATGACATTTAGATTTGGTCCTAAAAAAAGTAACTACCTATAATATTTTTGATTCAGCGCTTTCATTTTTCAAAAAGCTACCAAAAGCACTTTTTTCATGATTTTTCAAATCCATGTAGAGTATAAAAAATTTTTTTTTTCTAAAAAACAATAGCAAATTCTTGTCAGAACATTCCGTGGACCAAAAAACGAAGATACAGTTATCCAAAAAATCACAAAAAATTTGTAATTTTTTTTATCCTTTCATTTTTTCTATTATTGTAGAAGTTTTACATTGCTATTGGAAACTACCAAATACACACATCAAATTAATCTAAGGGACAAGCATTTAAACGCGTATCAAATGGCTATATTTTATTATTTTGTGTTTATAAATTTATTTTTAAATAAAATAAATAAAATAATTTCATTATGGATAAAAAAACGTATCAAATTGTTTTAAAACGTACTGTAATTAAAAAAATTAAAAAAGTGTAATATTTTATTTAATTGTTTTTTTACTTTTTTTTGCTTTTCCACCGATACAATAAATTTTTAGTTTAGTTTTAAACATTTTAACAATGCAGAGACATCATTTAGACCGCGACACCCGTTTACGTGCAGTGGGAATGATCCAAGGGGGCATGCGACAAAGTGCAGTTGCCGAAGCCCTTGACGTTCACAGAAGTGTTGTTAATCGGTTGTGGCTTAGATTTCAAGAAACCAATAGTGTAGCCGAACGACATACAGGCCGTACAAGAAGCACTAATCAAATCCAAGATCGCTTTATTCGACTAGAGGCTTTACGAAATCGCAGCATAACTGCATCGCAATTAGCAATTCAGCTACGTACCGCACATCAAGTAACAGTTAGTGACCAAACCATCAGGAATAGACTCCATGAAGCCGGACTTTATGCTCGTAGACCTGTGCGAGTACCTGTGTTATCCAGAGGAAATCGCGCCAACAGACTTCAGTGGGCTGAAGAACACGTAAACTGGCGTAGGCATGACTGGGCCCCTGTCTTGTTTACTGACGAGTCCCGATTTGGACTAGCTCCAGATACTCGTAGAACAAGAGTTTGGAGGCGATCTGGAAACTCAGAACGCTTGGCCACAGTTCAGGAAGTTCACAGACAGCAAGGTGGTACTGTAATGGTTTGGGGTGGTATCACCATTGGCGGAAGGACGGACCTCGTTTACTTAGAACGATTCTTAAATGCAATCGACTATCGAGATATCATTCTTGAGCCTGTTGTGATTCCATTTGCACCACAAGTTGGCCCAGATTTTCGACTAATGCACGACAATGCGCGTCCCCATACAGCTAGATTGGTCCGTGCGTACCTCGAAAATGAAGAAGTTGAGGTTTTGCCCTGGCCTGCGCAATCGCCCGACCTTAACCCTATCGAACATGTGTGGGATATGTTGGGTAGACGGATTTTAAGGCACAATGATGTCTTTAATACACGAGAACAACTTTTTGAGTGCCTTTCAACTGAATGGAATCAAATAGAGCAAATTGACATTGACGATTTAATATTGAGTATGCCACGAAGGTGCAGAGCAGTTATTAACAATCGAGGAGGACACACCCTCTATTGAGAAAGTCAAAACACTCCATTTATTGACCTTAAACTTTTACTAAATAAATTAGTTATTTTTGTAATTTGATCTGTTCTAGGGTTTTTGTTAATTTAATAATTTTTACTTGACTTTAAAAAAAAATTGCCTGATTTGGAAAGGATAATATTTATGTTTAACATTTACAATTTTTTTTTTTTAATAAACGAAGATTTCCTTGTATTAGTAAATTTTATTTATTGTCCCTTAGAATATTTTGATGTGTGTAATAAGAAATCAGATTTTCTAGTCTTGGTCAAAATTTTCTATAATGAAAAATGTAATATATTCTACATTTCACTTTATTATTAATACAGGGTGTTTCATAATATATGCGCAGGACTTCAGGATGTGATAGCTCATCCAAAAAGATGAAAAAAGTCGCTATTAACTTACCCTCTAAAATGCACAATTTTCGAGATACAGGGTGTTGAAATTTTAGAAAAAAAAAACGTTTTTTTCGAATATCTCCGGAACCGTTTATCGTACAAAAAACAGGGTGTTTCATAATATATGCGCAGGACTTCAGGATGTGATAGCTCATCCAAAAAGATGAAAAAAGTCGCTATTAACTTACCCTCTAAAATGCACAATTTTCGAGATACGAGGTGTTGAAATTTTAGAAAAAAAATCGTTTTTTTCGAATATCTCCGGAACCGTTTATCGTACAAAAAACAGCTTTTGTAAGCATTTTCTACTCATAATAAGCTATATTTTGTGCCAGAACAAATTTTTTTTTTCTCATAATTGGTGGAGATTTTGAAGGGGTAGCGGGTGTTTTTTTCTCAACTTCTACGCCCCTGAAAAAAGTACGGTTTTGAGAAGCCTATTCGAACCGCCAATATTTTCTATACAAAAAAGGTACTCTTGGTCATAAGCTCTAAAGTTGACCGTTTTCGAGAAAAATCAACTTTTATGTTTAAAAACATGGTCAATTTTTTGAAAAAATTTTCTTTTACCAATTATACAAAATTTATTTTAACGTTAGAACAAGTAACAAAACCAAACGATAATTGCATTTTTTTTAATTCTTTTTTTAATAGCGACTTTTTCATCTTTTTGGATGAGCTATCACATCCTGAAGTCCTACGCATATATTATGAAGCACCCTGTATACATTTTACTCAAAATTTCGTTTTGAAAAATTACTTTATTTTTTAAGATTTATGTTATTTATTGACAGAATATGCTTTATTGTAGCGGATTTGAAAAAAAAAACAAAAATTTTTTTTTCATGTTTTTTTACATCTGAAAAAAACCGTTTTTTACATCTCTAGAACTATCATTTTAGCCAAGAACTGAAGAAGACAGGCTGCAATTCCGCGAAGACCTAAAACGTTACAAGTACAACAAGGAAAAACTGAAACGGGAGAAGGAGATAATGCAGCAGCAGCAACAACTGGCTGCCAAAAGTAAGCCGCGCGTCGAAGTGGTGGAGGTGAAGAAAGCGCGCGTCGAGGTGGTGGAAATAAAAAAGCCGAAAGAGAAGAAACCGCGCACTGCCAAGGCAAAGATCAGGGAGATGTCGGATTTCAACAGCGAAGCCGCCAAAAAGATCAAAGAAACGTTCAGATCGAACATGGCGCATACGGTTGTTAGTGTCTTGAATGCTTACAGGAAACCTGAATGCAAAGAAGCTCGAATAACGAATACTGAAGACTTCAAACACTTGGCTAGAAAGGTATTTATTTTCCTTTGGTATTTCCATCTCTAATCGACCAGGCAAACAATTTTAGGTCGTTATTTTCTCGACCAAAATCAACAAGACCCTTATTTTTTTCTTTTTGCTTAAATTTGTTTTGTTCACCCATAGGAAATTTTTGAAAAATGGACAGAAACATCGATTTTTCTCTTTTTACTTGGAAATGCGATAATTTGGCGAAAAATGTTTCAGTCATTACAATTTTTCAATTGTAGGTAAATGTTTATTACCATGTACATAAAAAAAATATAAAAAATTAAGTGAATTCACTCAATTTTTTTTTTATTGTTTTTTCCTAAAATGGCAAAAAAATTGAGGTAAAATTTTGATATTGCCACATTATTTTACTTCATATTTTTTTCGTTTGAAGTTGATAATATGAACAACTTTCACCACAAGTCCCGATTTGGCTAAATTCGTCATATCGGAATTATTATTTTTTTACTGAAATTGACATTTTCTAGTAAATTCGTGATCCATCACAAAAATTTGTTTTTTTATCTAGGGTCATGAAGTGTAGAACTTTTTGACTTATTTAACATATTTTTGTCACTTCTGGTTTCACAGGGAAGTAAATTAAATAATTAAAGATTTTACTGTAAATTCTTAATATTTTTGTATGTGTAACTTTTAACCTAAAAGTAACGAATCAAATGCACAACTCCGAAAAATGTTGGTCGGTTAACAGATATGAGTGAGGCAGTCGTGAAACACTTTTTGAATGACGCTCTATCAAGAAGGGAAATAAGTATTAAGCCTAAAAGGTCCAGAAACGAATGCGCAGATTAAAAGCGCTTTCATATAGATGCGAAATGCGAAATACGAATATTCGCGTTTCGCAACTCCTATTTCATATTGATGCGGACTATTTTAGGGAAATTTTTTTCTTACTATTCGATATTTGCCATGGTTTTTTAGGGACATAATTTTTTCCCCAGGCGATATTTGCCATACTTGGTTAACATTTTCTATTTGTTGTTTTATGACAATTGAGATTTTGTGTTTTTATTATGGTGAACAAATGCGCTCATTCATTGTTGAAACGAAGACAGAATTACTTATTCGTGCGATTTTCGCAAAATATTTGATCAATCTCAAGATTCCCGCCCGCCAGATTTCAAATCTTGTGAATTCGCAGGATCTGTCGAAACGTCAAAACGCTTTTTCCGCCAAATCAAATGGACCAATGAAAACATGTTTCGTATTTCGCATCTATATGAAACCGCTCTAGTTATGTTTAGAAATACCCCTTTGATTCTCACCACCTCAATTATTATTTTTATTTTATTTTATAAAAAATTTTAGCGTATGTTTTTTGTAGTAAAATAAAATGTTAATATTCACTAACCAGCAAAACAAACTATCGAACTGTCAAATCTGATAACTTTAAAACACAAAGTTTCAGAGCCTTTTTAATTTATTTACTTTAAAAATCTAATAAACATTAAAAATTAATTAAGAGTTTGAAAGCGATATTATTAAAAAATGCATTAATATTTGGTAACAAATTTAAAAAAAGTGGATGTCTTTTATGACCAACAAACCACCCTCTTTTATTAAAAAAAATAATTTTGGCATTATGATTTTTCAATTTTTGAATGCTACTAAAAACCAGCATTGCAAAAAAGAATAAATTTGCCAATTCAAGGCACTCTAGATATAGAAATTAAACTTAATTAAAAAATGATGTATGTATTCAGAATTTTATTTTGAATCGAAATATGTAAAATTGCATAGGTCAAAAAGTTTCATGACCCTAGATAATAATAATACCAATTTTTTGCGATGAACCACGAATTTACTAGAAAACGGCATTTTCATTAAAAAATAATAATTCCGAAACGACGAATTTAGCCAACTCGGAACTTTTGGTGAAAGTTGTTTATATTATCAACTTCAAACGAAAAAAATATGAAGTAAAAAAAGTGGCAATGTCAAAATTTGGACCTTTTCGATTTTTTTTGCCTGTTTTAGAAAAAACAATTTAAAAATAAATTAAGTGAATTCACTTAATTTTTTATAAATTTTTTGTATGTTGTAAACATTTACCTATAATTAAAGAAAATTGTAATGATCGAAACATTTTTGGCAAAGTTATCGCATTTTTAAGGAAATTTTTCAAAAATTTCCTTGGGGTGAACAGCACCAATTTAACCATCAATTTCGGAAGAGAAACTGTAAAAAAAATTTGTTGAAAAATAACGACCTACAACTTATTGCCTGGTCGATTTGAGATGGAAATACCCTAAAGTTTTCCATTATGTTTTATGCTTTACATCAATATATTTTTTTAGTTGACTCATTTCGTGATGTTGAAAGAAATGAAGCACATCTCAAAGATAGAAGATTTGACTTGTACCGACAACGTAAAATCTAAAGCTAGAGAGTACATCAAAAAATATATGAGTAAGTTTGGGGAAACATACCAAAAGAGGGCTGATGAACCTGATTTTAAAGATTGACATTTTTTGGACAATTTTTCAATGTTTAGATCTTCGCTGGAATGAAAATTATAGCGAAAATCAATTTTGTCTTTTTGTATATATGTAACTTTTTGTACAAAAATCATCATCAAGAAGTATTAATTTATTGCTAATTTCTATTAATTATAAATATATATATTAATTGACTTCTTTTTTACCACCGCGTGTTAAATAAATTATATTTATTTATTTGATGTTTTATTTCATAAATAAAAATGCTTATATTGTATATTACACTTTTATTGGTTGTGGTGGATAAAAACACTATAAATAAAAAATAAATACATAAAACAGTAAGGCAAGATCTACATATTAAAGGTTACAGATTTCTGGTTATTTTTACTTATACTAGTCACAAGTGCTGCTTCAAAACTTTGCAATGACTTATTTACTTTGGCAAAAAGCAAATTCAAATTATTTTCGCTTTCAAGGGGCTGTAAATTCGCAAGGGCTTCGTAAATTTGGTTCATGTTAGTCCTAACTTCTGCTTTGGTTAATTTTTTATCTTTCTTCATGTCAGTCCATAAAAGATTTTCTACAAAATCTTGTATATTTTCATGGCCATTCAGGTTCGAAATCTTCGACAAAACGGCGATTGCTTTCCTATTTTTTTGCGGATTCGTTATCACCAAAGAACTCGCGGTAAAAGTGCACAATAACTCATTTTTCCCACAATAATTCTTGATGCTATCCACCATATTCTCATCGCAGAATTTTAGTTTCGGAGAATCAACCGTCAGAACCCCTTGCAATTCCTTCAAAAAATTCGACCTAAACGGCGATAACTTCACATTCGTATCAGCCTCCCTCATAATCCTCACTTTAGACTCCAATTCGATCTTCAATTTTTCCGCTTCGGCCAACTCCTTCAACTGCAAATCCTTGGTTTCCATGAACCTCTGCTCCCAACTCTTCTGTGCTTCCCCCAATTTCTTCTCAGTCTCCTGCAGCTTCATCTTCAACTCCTCCATTTCTTCGGTATTACTGTCGCTTAACTGTATGATGGAAGAACAAGACCCTAACGAAGACCTCTCATAGTCCATTCTTAAAGCTTTTAATCTTTCAACTTCACATCTTAACTCTCTTATTAGTTTATCGTGTGGATTTTCGTTAATTCTAGCTCTATTTACAATGGATCTGGCTTGACAGGCATACCTCAATGTTGCCAAAGTTTCATCTATGTGAGAATTGGCTGGAGTGATTGTAGCCAACATGGAAGTCAAGGAATTACCTCCTAAACTTTCCTATAAAAAAAGAAAAAAGTTTATAAGTATAGTTTATAGAATATTTATTATGTATGGGTATCTACAAGGTCTGTAAAATTGAAAAAAAAATATTGAAAAACTAAAAACCTGTGAAAACCAAAACTCCTAACTTTGTTATTTCTGGGAATTAACATGTAAAAACCCAAATTTTCAATTTAATTTGAGATTTTTTTCGCCTACTAGATTTTGAGTTGTTTTTAGTATGGCCACCATAGTGAAATTTGACATGGTTTTACATAAGTTATAGTGGCTATTTTCAAAACAAATGATGGTGAAGTAGCGAAGAAATTGGATGAAAATGTAGTTACATGTGTATTGGACTGGGCCAAAAAAATCAACTATTTTTTTTTTGAAAAGTATATCGAAAATATGGTTTGGGGCGACAATTAAGAGGTCTATCATCGCAATTTTTTTTCCCTCATCAAGTTTTTGTTTTAGAACTCCCAAACCATTGAGTTTAACAAAATTTACTTAAAAATATATTAAATGCTCTACAAAAAAGGTTAAATGAAATTTTTCGTCAGATGAACCGTTTCCTTAAAATCATGCCCTAAACGTTGGTATAGACCTCTTAATATTAATATTATGGACTCAAACTTTCACAATAATTTTTTTTTGTCGCCCCAAACCATATTTTCGATATACTTTTCAAAAAAAAAAATTGTTGATTTTTTTGGCCCAGTCTAATGTGCATGTTTAAATGTAAAACTTAATTTTTTTCAAAATTTCCTGGAATACCTAACAAAGTTATAACGATTTTTGGTTTTCAGTTTTTTTTCAAAACATTTGAGAACCGCATTTTTTCTCTTCAATTAAAAAAGATACTTATAGAAGTATAAGTAGAATTGGATAGACTTTTTAGACTTTTTTTATTTTTATTTTTTTCACTACTTTATTTTGTTAATTTTTTATTTTTTACTTGGCTTTTTTCACATCCCCAAAAATTGTACCTATAGGTACAAAATATAATAATTTGAAGTCAACAATATTTTTTATATTTTATAAAACCACAAGAAAATAAACAAAATAGTGTGATAAAAAAAGTTTTAACAAGGTTTTTCATCTGTTCTCTACCAAATTAATCAATTATAATTATATAACCTATAGGTAATTATTTTTATAGGTACTTAAATTGTGATAAAAATTAAAAAGTGTATTGATTTAAATCATTAGAACCCTGGCATTTTAACATTCTAAATTGTGTTTTTTTACAAGTTTGATATTCTTAAATGTCTGGACATTCTGTAATGTATTTTTATCATTTAAAAAGTAATTTTGGCGTTTTTAAGTAATAAGAAGATACAAATTATGATTTTTACATTCTAAATCTTGACATATCATTTCTAACATTCTAAATTGTGTTTTGACATTCAAAATCTTATGTTGACATTTTTAAGTAATGTGTGTAGCATTGTAGGTATATTGTGTTTTTCTTACCCTCAAAAGCCAAGTCAGCACAGAATCCCTATATGGCACAAATAAATTCTTCTTTTGATCAGCTAGTGAAGAAATGACTTTTCCCAATGTTAACAAAGACTTATTGATGCAAACACCCTGCCGAATCTTCTCCTCGCTGTTGTGAGAGTTGCCTAATCTCTCGCTCCCTGCCAAGTCAACCAGACTAACTCTACTCCTACGACTAGTTTCCTTATCATCTATTGTGTCTATTAAAGATAGTTCTATGGTGAAAATACTGTGAGATCTGGAGGATTTTTCGTTCATTGTTGTGGCAGCGGTAGCGCGGTTTTTGTTGCCAATTAAGAGGTAGTTACGGAGTTCTTTGTATGTGTTCACTGGGTGTACAGTTAAGTCGACCACATAGGGCCCCCATTCAGGGTGTTCGCGCACTTTAAGTGGCTGTCTGTTGAGGTTGTTAGTTTGGGTTAAAAGATCATGTATTTTTTCATTGTATATTTCAAAATAACTCACTTCAACAGATGCAGTTTGAGTTTCAGGTAAACTGTTTATTCTGTTGAATAAATCCCTGCAAAATCGCGGCGTAATACCGGAATAATCCTCTGAATCTATATCAATGATTTCACACATATTTCTTCCCATCATACTGAATGACTTTCCAGAACCTGTTTGTCCATAAGCAAATAGGCAGGCATTATAACCTCTGAAAGCACTGTTTAACAGAGGTTTACCAATTGTTAAAAACACGTCTTCCTGTGTGGAGTAAACAGGGCTCTCTTCGTCCACAGACCAAAAAATGTGGTCATATTGAAACAAGTGATTAAAATTCATATTGCCATTACCTTCAACTTGAATAATTAAGTCTTTATCTTTCACCCTTACTATATCACTAACCCCCACTGTCCCCAACTCCCTGGAATTCATAGGCCTCACTCTAACAGCAACAGTTAAATTACTTTCTTCATCACATTTATCTCTACTACTCCTCCTTCTTAAATTCACTTTGGGGGTCTCCACAGTAACATTACTAAAACATTCCGGCGTATCCGACGAAGTTTGGGGCCTAAAACTCTTCTTTGGGGTTACATATTGACTCCTAGGTGTTGTAAAGTTGTTTTCTTGCTGTCCAGGCGTTTTTACTAACCTTCTCGGTGTTGCGAAGTTTGCCCGAGGCGTAGCGGGCCCCGATAAAGCCATTTTCAACAGTTTTAATAAAAAAAATCACTTAATTTTAAGTGAAAACATAGTTTTAGCGGTATTGGATTGTCAGATTTGACCGTTTGATGTTTTCGAATTCAAATGACATCTGTCACTTATACGCATGCGCAGTAATGACATTAATGGTTCTATTAGAAATGCCCGCTGGGAATTATGCCATCGCTATTTATTGTTTTCGTGTTTTTAGGCCTATATACACATATAGTATATAGGTGTACACGTTTTTGTAATTATAAGTTATGCAATGTTGAGAAAATAAATAATTTTTAAAACACAAAAAGCGCAACGAAATATTCTTAAAATGTACGGACAAACTTAATAGTCATAAAAAATAAATTTACATAAACGCCATCTATGATTGTAATTTTGGCGCCACTTTTAAACAGGTGCTAATTCTTAGGAAGGTAAATAAGCAAAAACGGACTATTTAACAAATATATTTACAAAAACCTTACAAATACGAACAGAATCAATCAAAATAATCTTCGATATCAATATCAGGGTTCAAAATGTCGTCCCCATAAGGCGACAAATCCAGCTGATTTAAAATCAAATTTTCGCATGTTTCTTCTAAATCTGTATCGCCAATTAGCACTACACCTTGTAGTTTATGATTTTGCAGGACAAATTTAATATATTCGCGTTCTTTAGTCATCCTCAGTAAAATTTCGTATTCATTCCCCAACTTTTGGCCATTGTAGAGGCCCAATAGGATAACTTTATACCCAAAAAGTTTTGTGGAATGGGAGAACATCTCAAAACAAAAATCCTGGAGAATTTCTTCGTTTTTGTTATGGGAAGACATACATTTAGCTGCATAACAACCCATTTGTCGCGCTTGAGTCCACAGCTTCATTTGAAACCAATGCTTTGCAGGGGGGAAATTTGTAGTACAAATATCACCAGCAGCAAATATATTTGGGATGTTAGATTGCATATATTCGTTTACTAGAATTCCACCATCATTGGAAAGTTTTAGGGAATTTTTAATAGTGTAATTTGTTGAAGGGTTGACACCTGTTGCTGATACTACTAAATCACAAAATATTTCTTCATTGGTTGTAAGTTTAACCACTAAATTGTCGTTTTTAGACTGAATACTTTCTATTTCACTTTGATAATGCACTTTTAGCTTTGTTGGTGTGTTACTACCACCTTTTATGGTTAAATTTTTATACCAATCTGGGCCTAAAGCAGCCCCAGATTTCCGAAAATCCTCCTCACTATACCTCATGCGTTTACTGACAATTTTTTCAGTATCTGTTTTTGTTAAAGATGTCTGAAAAAATTCTGCTGCACCTGGGTCTACAAAAGTAGCCGAAATATGCTTATCTTTAATAATCCAGTGTACTTCAACATCTTGTAGTTTGTACACAAGTTCAGAGGCTATACCCCCATTTCCAACAATGGCAATTTTTTTGGATTTTTCCAGTTTTTCCTGTAATCTTTCCACTGAGTCAGTATCCCTAATTCCTAATATTTGGGGTATATTTTCAGCATCCTTAATTAATTTAGGTGTAGCCCCCATACATAAACAAAGATATTTATACTTAATTTGCACCCCACTCAAAGTTTCTACATACAAATTTGTATCATCAATATGTAATAAAGTATCATGAATAACTTTAACATTCCTAAATTTCTCTGTTAAACTTTGAGAATCTTGTTCAACAACATCAAAATTTGCCAAAGTTTTAGTTATGTTGTACAAATTACAAACAGTCTTTATTAAAGAAGATTCGCTGATTAAAATGATTGATTCTTCAGGTTCAAGAAAAGCCAGACTTTCTGCACACGTCACTCCAGCAATTCCACCCCCAATGACAACAAAAGTCGCCTCCATTACTGTTTTTCTTGATAATATTGCGAATAGTCGTATTTTCTAAATGGTACGTCGTATGTTATAAGGCCTCGATCATATGCTCTTTTGATGGCAATTTCCAAATTTTGCTGAGATTTTTGACACAATCCAGTCTTAGTGTAACTTAATATGCTTCCTGTGTGTGGGCATATGAACTGTTTTAGTAATGCTATGTTTTGTTCATGGAGAATTAGGTATTCATCTCTACAAATAGGGCAAGGGTTTCCACTTGATATTTGACCCCCTCTAATGCAAGTTTTTCTGGTTTTCTTGGGCGCTATGGAACCTTTATGGTTTCTTCTATAAGGAACCCACACTGGTTTACCTTCGTAAGTTTGTTTGTAGGCTGCGCTGTTCAAATACTTTATGCTCGTTTCTACAGGGATTATTTTGCTTCTATCTTTCGTAACTTCGCGATATTCTATAGCCGGTTGGCCGCTGTCCAACGTGTTTCTTAAAACATTCGATGTATAGATTGTTCTGGTCCATAGAGGCTTCAAAATAACATTTTTTAGGGCTGTCAAGGAAAACATCTTCAATTTTAACCTCAATTTTGTTGCCAACTTCAGATTCAGGATGTCGCGAAAGTCACCAGAGAAAAAACACGTTTTTGGAGACTTTTTATTTTGTCATGTTTGCCTATTTAATTATTTTTTGCTTAAACACATTGATTTTGCGAATTTGTTTAGCTGGGATTTGTTTGTATACCTCTAATAGTAAATTATTTGTAATATTTTGCCTGTGCTAGGGTTAATTAATTTAAAAAATCTAATTTTGATCTGGTTTGCGCATGATCACATGTCATATCCGGCTTTCTCTTTTGTCCTGGGTCGCCCAGCTACGCAGTGTTTATTGATTCATTTCCGTCTGAAAAATGGTAGAAGATTGTTGAAAGCGTATTTTGCGTGTAATTGTAAACTAAATTTTATCCATTTAACGTTATAATACCACAATTCATAGACTTTTTATTGCGCAGTTTTATTTCAAGTTATTGAAATGTATTTATTTGTATTGGGTTTTAAGATAAATTAAGTTTTCGTTATGCAACGTAATATGGAGGCCATATTGTCCAAAGGATAGATTTTTTAAGTTAATAGACGTTTTGGAATCAGCTATTCCATTATTCAAGATAATTTAAGTTCAATTATAGTGAACATATCTTTTTAAGTGCGACAAATCAATAATAGGATTATAAGACAAAATGGTAAGGTTCTAACAGATTTATTTGTATTTTAATAAAATGATTATGATTTACTATGTGTTTTGATAGAAAGAATCGTTAAGAAACGTTACAAAACATTATTTATATATTAACGCTTAATTATCTATATACGCCCTAAAATTAATCGATTTCTATAAATGGGCGGTGACGTCATCGAAACTTGGCATCCTAAAATGGCGCTCGATTCAAATAATGTTAAAGGCGCCAAATTTAAAATTTTAAAGAAACTTTACATTTATTGCTTTATTAATCGATTTGTTTGTATTTTTTATAGCCGCGAATCGATCCATTGCAATTATTAAAATGCCTCTCAGTTCTCCTTACTCCTTCAGGAGGCATTCTTTCAAAAGAAGAGGTCCCAAGACTTGTAAAGTAAGAATTTTTGATTTTTAATGTAGGTATTTTAAATTAATATTAATCTTTTTAGTTTAATGACGAAATTTTCCAAAAAACTAGTTAGTAAATGCGTTTATGTGCTGATACTGAAAGTAACAGAGTCTGAACTTGTTGATTTGTTCATGGCTGAGGGGGGCTGGAACTTGGTGCAAACATGGTTGCAAGATGCCATGCATGTATCAAACTGGGACCTTGTCAATGAAATTTTAAGCTTACTCTTAATCACACCTGTCGATGTAGAAAGATTAAAGTTAAACACCATCCCCAAATTGGTGAAGAATTTGTCTAGGAGGGATGAGTTGCCAGGTAATGGTTCTTGGATTTTTTATTTTGGGGGGTATATTTAACCTTTTTTTATTTAGGTGTTCAAACTCTCTCCAGTCAGTTGGTGCAACATTGGCTGGTGATTGTGAAAAGCAATCCCAACACGAAAACGGAAAATGCGGCGGAAAAAAACGTTACTGAAGTCACTGAAGAGGTGGATTCGGAAAGTAACGATTCCAAAGCGAACGCCAAGATTGAAGCTACCGAAAAGGAAAATGAAGTACCTGAAGAAACTTTGAAGGAAAAAGAAAAAGATGAAAGGGACAAAGATAGAAAGTCTAGTAGTAGTTCTAGGAGTAGGGATAAGAAGAAGAGTTCTAGTAGTTCGAGTAGCTCTTCTAGAAGCAGCAGTAGTAGGGATAAGAGTAGGGATAAAGATAGGAAAGATAGGGATAAGGATAGGGATAGGGATAAAGATAGGCATAGGAGTAATGGGTCTTCAAAAAACAGCAGCTCTAGTTCAAGCAGCAGAAGTTCCTCCAGCAGCAAAGATAGGAGGAGTTCCAAGGATAAGGAGAGGGATAAAGGGGACACAAAGGATAAATCCAAGCAGGCGGAAAAGGATAAGGACACGCTGGCGCGGCTGAAGCCGCAGAGTATCGATAAACTGGGTAAAATCCCGAAAAAACCCAACGACAAAAAGGAGGAGGTCCGCAAAAAACCCACAATGTCCATCGAGGTCCGCAAAAACAAAGGAGAAGAGAGACCAAAGACTGTGAAAATCTTCAACTCGAAGTTGCGCTCCACCGGCTTGGAGGAAGAAGTGAAACCGCCGCCTTCGCGAGCCGCCGTCATAAAAAAGCCCCTCCCGGTAACGCCGCCCCCCAAGAGACCTTCCCCTCCGCGCGACACCCCCACCAGCAGTCCGCAGCTGCCGCCCGAGAAAAAACTGAAGATCGACGCCATCCTCGACAAAATGGAGCGGCCCGGCGCCATCAAGTTGATTCCGCCGAAACCGAAACGTAAGTTTTTTTTGAACACTCTCTACTTACAGTTTATTTATTTTTCAGGGTCCTGGCGTCGAGGCTCATTCCAAATGGAGTTCGTCAGTTCCACCATTTTCCCTACTAACAATTGTTTTATTACAGATTCTCTCTTCATTGCAAAATACGCATTTTTTCTTACAACAACAATAAATGCGTATTTTCTCGTTCGTGTTTAGTGCTGTAAATGTTTTTTACCATTTAAAATACGTTTTTGGTAAGTTATAACAAAAAAATCAAAAAGATGTAATATCTGTAAAAATCGTTCAATAAAAAACGTTTTAAACCGACAAGTTATGTAAAAAGGATCCGAATCACCCTCTCCTCTAAATGCGAATAATTAGTAGAATAATTAAAGACCTCTGAGGAAAAAGCTCTTAATTAACAAATTTATTGTTAACAAAAAAATGCTTGTCGCTATTTTTAAATAAATTACCAGTTTCTGGTTATTAAACGAAAAACTATTTTTAAGGCTAAAAAATAGTGTAAAACATGTTTTTCTCCCAACAATATATTTGTCTCTAAACAGCTTTTTCCCATGAGATCTTCAATTAATTAGTAAAAATAGCAACGTAGGAAAAATCGTTATAAAAGTTGGTCAATGGAGCAGCAGCTGGAAACAATAAACGTGACGTCATTGGATGAGTCACGCTTTGATACACTACCTGGAACGAACCTTAAAACAAAAAATATCAATACTTAACAAAAATAATACCTAGTTCTATTTTAAATACTATAATTAGATTAGATACTAACTGGTTGTGGTTTAAATGTAATAAAAATAGCATTACTACAATTAAACATTTCAAAATAACATTATTTAAAAACATTAGCCGATAAAATAGGTTCACAATTAACAAAGTATCGATTTTTTCAAAATTAAAAAATAGTGCTTTATATAAAATTAAAGTTAAAATGATTTAAATATATAGCAAATTATTGAACACTGCGCGTCAAACTTAAAGCATAACAATTTAAAAAAATCCAACTTTAAAACGCCTTTACCAATCTTTATAAAATTTTTGGATAAATATTCTTTAACTTATATCTCAGTTACGTGTTTAAGGGTTTTTCGAAAAAATATCCTTAAAGCCCTTTTAATTAATAATAAAAAATGCTTCAAAAAATTTTTATAGGGACAAAAAATATGCTGTGAATGACCGCATTTTTGTTTGTATACCCTGAATATGTTGCACAAATTAAACGAACATTAACAAAAATACAGCGCTTCACTTTTCAGCAAAATAATCAAAAAGGGGTCATACAGCGCTTCAAAGACGGTAAAAATGACCCCTTTTTGATTATTTTGCTGAAAAGTGAAGCGCAATTGTTACTGTTCGTTTGATTTGTACAAAATTTTCAGGGTATACTAACAAAAATACGGCCTTTAAAAGCATATTTTTTATTTATTTCAAAAATTATTTTTCGAAAAAAAATTCCAAATTAATATTAATTTTACGATAAATCGCGGTTTCAAAAATAGGGAATTTCAAGTAAACAAATTATGTATGTTTTAGGATAATTTGGAAATATTGTCAATATTCCCAATTCCCAACCAGGCCCGGATCCAGAGAAATGTAGCTGTTAATTTTTTAGCGCAGATTTTTTTAGTAAGGTACCTTTTGACTATATTTCTTCTTTGCTCTGGAACCGAGCCTGTTTTTATTGATTCTATTCAATATTTGAATGATTAATGAGTTTTTAATGTTTCAGTGCAATAAAAACCGATGTCTTGTGCTGTTTTATTATATTAAATCAGCCGTTTCTTCAAGTTGTCCCCTTTTTTTTTTATAATTTCCAAGTGAATTCTTTTTAATTTCTTTTTTGTTTTTCACAAAAATATATTTCTTTTTAATACTTGGAAATTTCTTATCATTTTTATTATTTCTATAAAAATTCCTTTATTTTAAGTTTGCATGTTTGCATATTATTATTATTTTATTTATCCGTTCAGTTTTACAGGGGGGCCTATGATGTGTGGAAGGGGCCCCAATAGAAATTTGCAGGGCCAAATCGAAGGGATTTTGGGGGGTAGTTTACTATAATAAACTATAAAGTTTAAAATTGCAAATTAAATTATAATAGAAACAAAATTAGTTAATTACAAAGACAGATAGAAATAAAATCAAATATTAAATTAAAATAAAAAAATACTTGAAAATGAATAAAAACAGAATATAGAGGGTGTTTCAGAAAGACTACGCCATTACTCGTATAAGTAAAACACAATAATTTTAAACATCTTGTTTTCTAAAACACCCTATATAATTAAAAATCGTAAATTTCAAGAAAACTACGCATATCTATTTAAAAATTTCCATGTGAAAAAAACAAAAAGACAATTTTATAATAGAAAAAATATAAATACCACCTAAAACAAAATATATAGATCGGAAATATTAATATTTCGTAATGTTTTCAAAATGCATGTGTAATTAGTATAAATTTAAATATCTGAACGCTAGTCAAAATTTATTCAATGCGCATGACCGTTAGTTTCGGTAAAACCCCTAGGGTTGCGTTTTTATAAAAATAGAAATCCAAAATAATAGCAAAAATCTCATACATAATTAAAATACTTGCTTTTTTGATAAAAGTAATGTTCTCAAAACATTCAACAAACAATATTTAATTTTGAAATTTAAAAAAGTATATTTAGATGAATTACGTAACATATGGCACCCGCATTATAAAAAGGAAGCCAAATAAAATATACCTTTGTATAAAAAAACATTTGTTTCCGTACCTAATGTGCGTGTATTTAATACAGAAAGCTTTTAAATTGTGAAAATAAAATACTAGAACCAAAACCACTAGATTTTTATCCGTATTGTATGGTAACAAATTTAAATATTCTTAAAAATGACCAAAAATATATTTACAGTATTTTAAGGAAACATGTTTAAAAGCGCTATTTCATCAGGTTTTGGTTTGTTTCTCAAGTTTATACATGCTGCTAGTAATAAATCGAAACATAAATGCAAAATATGCGTTTTGTTATGCATGTTAATTTATTATATGTAAATAATCAAAATTTTGATAAATTTAAGTATTTGTTAACAAATAATAATTTTAAATCTGAATTATAAAAAAATAATGTCTGCATAAAACCATACATTTTTATCATTAAATAATAATGATAAATAATTTTTAATGTTTTATGTAATTAAATAAAAAAAATTATTTGGACAAACGGAAATGCATTCTAAATAAGAATTTCTTATCAGCGTGCAAGCTAATTAAATATTTAAAACAAATAAAGATTATACCATATAATATTTAATTAAGTAAAATTGTTTTTTATAACTTACGTTAAAAAAATTAAGATTGTGCGACAAAACTTAATGAAAAAAAAATGTGGGTTGGGACCACAAAAATACGTTTTTCGGATTTGTTTCATATTACATACAGGCTATGTTGGGTGTTTTCGAGTTATTATATTTTTAATTTAATTTTTCATTAATATATAAAATTTAAATTTATTAATTAAAGACAAAATAATTATAATACTTATAGTAGTTTTTAACTGTGATATGCCACTGTCCTTTTAAAAGGACGCAGTACAGAGTCTTTTTCCAAGTTAGTAAAAAATATCGGATTTTCAAAATTAAATAATTTATATTGTTTTTGACTTCAATAAATCCATTCCCACGGTAATTTTAAAATTTAATTGTATTTTTTAATTTATACAATTTTAATTTAAAAGAATGGATTTTTAATTTAAAATTCAAAAAATTTTGGCCAACTGGGGAACGTCTCATTAAAAAACAAAATAATTATAATATAGTAGTTTTTAACCCTGAGGATAATGGACATCCTTTTAAAAGGACGCAATACATGCAGTGCTCTTTTTCTAAGTTGGTCAACATTTTTTGGATTTTCAAAATAAAAAAAATGTATAGGACATGTTTTGGTATAAAAAATTTACTAACAGGGTATTTTTTTTAAATTGCGTTTTCCACAATTTTCTATATTTTTAACAATTAATATTAAAAATATATTAATAATTATCTCAAAAACTATGACCCAAATGAAAAAATCCAGAAATATGTATCTATCAATTATTTGGTGCAGTTATTATTTAATTAAAAAATTAAATAAAAAATTAAGAAATACGCATTGTATTTATTTTTATATTTGAAACAAAGAGGTTTTAAATTGTTATCATTAGTAAATAAACAATGTTTTTATCTATGGTTTGTTTTTTGTTATTTTTTTTTACAGGACCATGCTTACGTTACGTAAGTTACGTAATAAAATGAACTGACGAACTCTGTTTTTATTAATACAAATTATTTTGTTCAATATTAGATTCTTATGTTATTTTTTTCTTACAGCAACCATTCTTCAGGAGAGCGACATTTTCATGGACGCCCTTACGGCAGCCACGACGAAAAAAGAGCCGAAGAAGCGCAAGCGACGGCCCAGCGTCTCCAAAGACACCCCAAGTTCTCCATCGACAACTTCCCCTGGAGAGACCAAAGACACTCCGACATCTCCTCTTGGCATCAAGAGCATCGCGCCCATCAATTTCTACCAAGACACGCTGGGCGCTGACACCAATGGTACCGAAAGCGAGGAGAACAAGGAGAGCGATGAGAATGCGGAGGAAAACAAGAATGAGGAGGAGGCTGCTCCTGGTACGCCGCCTCCTGAAGATGACGGTCCAGTTGAGGCCAAGAGGGGCAGGGTTAACGAGGACGGTTTGAAGGGGGTTTTGTGTTACACCAAAAAGAAGGGGCCGAAACGTTCGATCAAATGGAAGACTGATGATGATTTGGTGGAGGTCAGATACTTTGAGCTCGACGAGACTGAGAGGGTTAACGTTACGAAGACTTTCATGGATATGGCGAAGATGGACATGTGCGAGGAGAGGGAGGCGGTTATTTTGTCGCGTAAATTACCGAACGAGGATATAATGGGACAGCAAACCATATGGCGGCTTCCTTATCTCATTGAGCAAGCTGATTCTCTTGCCCCAGCTGGGGCGAAGAGTTTAGAAAAGGATATACAGTTTGCGAGAGAGAAAAATGTTTTACCCGCGCTCTATTTCGATAAGAGAAGAATACCTGACAGCCCCTTCGAGCCGGATCCTGAGAACCATCAAATGAAGGACCCTGTAATTATTCCTCTGGATGATCCAGATGGTCAAGAAAATGATTTACGTAATACCCCCTGGCCAGAACCTAAAGGTTCACCTCCACACGTTGAGCCCGTTATGCCTCCAAATATGTTCCCCAACATGCCGTTTAACCCCAACTTCCCCCAAATACCGCCCCCGGCATTCCAGAGCGGCATGCCTCCGAGATTTAACGGTCCCGGTCCAAACTTTATCCCCCCAAATATGTTACACAATGGTAATATGATGGGTGTCCCTCCGAATTTGGGACCGCCCCCAGATATGATGTTTGGCGGGCCCAACGGAGGGGACGGTTTCAATAACGATGCCCCTAACTTCCCACCGCACTTACCGTTCGGTAATCCCGGCATGGGAAATATGTTCCCGCCGAATAATTTCAACATGGGACGCGGGGGCGGCCCCAACCGCGGCGGTTTCAGGGGAAGGGGGAACAACAACGGTCCGTGGGTGAGGCTGAACGGTCCCGGGGCCGGTCCTGGGAATTGGAACAGGGGCGGCGGCGCGGGCGGCCACAGAGGGGGCAGACTTTGCAAAAACGTCAAAAATCACGGGTACTGTAGGAATCGGGACAACTGTCCGTTTATTCACCCCAACTGAGAGAATTTCACTAAGACAATATTTTGTACGGTTTTTATGGAATTGTGCTACCGATTATGTGATATTAATTTCTAAGGCCGGTGTATTTTATAATATAACAAGTGTTGACCACTGTTTTTCGAAGTACAAAGTCCCCCCGCGGACTTGATTCCTACTCCTTGATTTTTGTGATATACTAAATAATTAAGCTTCCCCAATAATTTGTATATACTCTGTACAATATAATCACGTGTACATTAATAATTAAAAACAAACCTGGTTTGTTAACTTGTTGGTGTTAATAACTTTATTCATGTTACTGTAAATAGGACAACAAACTAGCATTTAATTTTTTACAACTTTGTAACTTGTAAGAGCATTCGTTCATTTTTTAGGATAAATGTAAGAATACTCAGCCAATAATCTGTATTTTTATTTATTTAACCTAAATACAAAAGTTTTTTAAAATACACGACTCATTTATTTCGTTCACATTTTAAAATATGGCGTTCAAAATATAAAATGCGCATGTCCAGTTCGCCATTGGCACCGCGAATACAATTATTTTCACTTGTATACCGGGTATACTATACCCTTATGTTCTGTGTGTATACCCAAAGATAATAATCTTTGTGTGTACCTATAGGTATTGTGAGTCACAGTCGGTGATAGTAGGTACTACTGTCAAAAAATATATAAATATTACATATTTTTTTTATTGAGAAACCCAAAAGCATTATTAAAGTGTTAATGGAGAAACCATAAAAAACGAATGATTTAAAAAGTAAAGTAATAATTACTACTTTTCTCTCTAAAATATTTTTTATAAAATCCTAAAAATCCAAAATTCCCTAGATACACATGGACTCATGCGCACACTTCGGTAAGTTAGTAGGAACTCCCATTATGGGAATCAAATCCAGTGTTGCCATAGCAATTTGTGGGGTATTTCACAAACTGCGGGAAATCTCAACTTTATTGGGGATTGTCTAAATACTACTAGTAGAACGTATGCCGGTATTATAATTTATTTTTATTATATCTCAATCCTCAATTTAAAATGTTAAAAACATTTGTATTATATTTTAAGCCAGGATATACCTATGAATCTGTGAGAATAAGAACAGTCCAAAAATTTAATTTTGACAAGTATTTTTTAAAATCAATTTTAAAGTTCAAAATACCTACATTTTTGTGAGAAGATAAGTTTAAACTTATCTTCTGTAATTACAGAATATGAACATTATATTTTATAAAATGATTAAAATATTAATATTTTAATTTCTACAAAAATGAATTTATAAGTAAAAAACTAATTTTTTTAAATAGTTTGTCAAAATTTTGACTTTTGGACTTGTACTGTTCTTAATCTCACTTTTCATATATATATCCTTACATTGATGACGTAGGGACCAAATGATAAATTCAACTACATCAAAAAGTCTCCCTTTGACATTTGATTAATGTCTTAAACTCAACTAATTTTCTAAAAATATTGCAAAAAATGTATTTTTAGTGTATAAAATTCTTTCGAATTTATGTATTTTTTGTGTTTATGTAAACTATATTTTATTAAAAAAAATTAAATTGTATTATTTTCAGAAAATAGGACGAAATTAGCGTTAAACTAACAGATACATAACCTCAATTATTTGACTGCATTCCTTATTAAAATGTGAAAGTGGATTTTTTGATGTATATACCCCCACCACCGCATTTTACTTCGCTTGATCTGTCAAAACTGTTGAAAAATGGTGGTTCAAAATGTATGTCGCTCAGTGTAGTTCTAATGCGCTGTCGCTTTTAAAATGCGCGCGCATTATCTTTGTATTTCACTTTCAAACATACACATTTGCAGTTCGTTGAGCATAGGAGTTCTGTGATAATAGTTTGGTGCATGATTAATTAGTTAGTTAAGTAATTAGTAAAAATGTTTCTAATCCAGGTCGTATTCAGCTAGCATCAATAATCTGGCAACCATGTTCGCCGAGGAAAACTCACAGGTAGGGCATTTTCATTCAGAAAAGATGACAGGAAATTGACGTATTTTTGTAAAATGCAGGAATGGTTCTTCACTGAAGACCCACAAAACGAAAATTGCAGGTCACGTCTGGGAAAAGGTGACTCCAGTAGCTCATCTTCAGGATCAAGTGTTTTAGTACCACGAAGATGGCTTTTTAAGGTTCAAGTCCCTGAACTTCGCAAAGATGAGGTGGTTTGCGTTGTAGGAAATATTGCCGAGTTGGGAAAATTTATGCCTGAAAAGTGCCGGGTTTTAAAACAAGAGGGGGATGATATCTGGGCTCAGTACATTGAAATCCCTGAAAAAACCAGGATCGAGTACAGATATTGCATTTGCGTTGTGATAGAGGAGGGGGTGCAAGTTATAGTTAGGAATTGGGAGACCAGAATATACCCCAGAACCATAGGTTATCATGATGAGTCTTCCGAAGACAATATTGACATATACGGGGACTTTAGCAACGATGGGGATCTTAAAATTGATAGGGGTTGGTTGATAAAGGAAACTATAGTACAATTGAAGCTTTGCAATGATCCTCTTACTTTATGGCGGCCAAAATATAGCAATAGGACCCTTTTTATTAAAGTAACACCTGTTAACTTGCAGCGGAATAATATAAAAACCTCTCTATCAGAAGCTCTAGAAGAGTCTCTGAGCACTGATACACAAGATCAATTAGAAAGCCCTAAGCATGCGTTCACTGAAGTGGCAAGTTTAAATTCTGATGACCCAACTTTCAAAGTGCAAACTCAATTTGGTCATGAGTATAACAATAACGATCTTCTCATTTTTCAATCTACAGTTCTTTGCCCTGCTAACATAGCGTTCCTGATTGATTTTTACGTGTACAGTAGCAGATCTCAAGAGGGTGAGCCACCATATCATGCCGGTTTCAGCTACTTGCTGCCTTCAGTAATTCTTCAAAATTCTGAGGGCAAATGTGTTCTCCCTGTAACAAGTACAAAGCATAGACCTCTAGGCCAAATCCGTTTGGAATACATTGTTATATCCCCCATGAAAACCTTTAACTGTAACATGCTGACAACATACCAAAGACACTGGAAGAAGAGTAGACCTACTTTAGATGTTGGTCATAGAGGCTCAGGGTCTAGTTTTAAAACTCAAAATTGCGCTGAAGTCCGAGAAAATACAATTGCTAGTCTTAAAACAGCCATTGCTCATGGAGCTGACTTTGTAGAGTTTGATGTACAATTGAGTAAGGATTTAGTGCCTATTATTTACCATGATTTCCATGTTTGCATTGCCATGAAGAAGAAAAAAGATCTACTGGACAGTGATATGTTGGAGATACCTCTTAAGGAGTTAACTTTGGAACAACTTAGAATGTTAAGGGTAAGTATAAAATATGCTTAATTTTTTATCTAGGTACTCCTACATTTAATATACTAGTGTATGAGTCACTTAATGCACTAATCCATTAAATTGGGGAAAAGTGAGGTTAAACCTGCCTGACAGTTGTCAGTTAAAATGTCAAATAAAATTGACTAACTCCAAAAAACATTACTTTGCATTCATAGTATAATATGCAATTTGTTTTATAAACTTGACAATGTAAAAATTTGGGGGTTTAGTTGGCAGTAGGGTCCCTAAATTTATAATTGTCTACATTGAGTAGAAGAAACTAGTTTGGTGGTTATGTTATAATTATAAAAATATGTTTATAAATTTTAAAATGTCAAAAATAAGTTGTTATAAAATAATAACTTTACTTTTGATGAAATAAATATAACATTACAGCCCAATAGAAGCAAATTTGCATTCCCAGCTTACAAAAGGAACGCCTAAATGCAGGAATGGGCTCCATCTTAATATAAATTTTGCGTAAAATAAAACCAAATCAAACCAAACCCAACCAACCCAACCCCCCGTAACCGCCCTATTGAAGCCTAACCACCCTATTGAAGACGATTATTCCATCGGTAACAAAGTTCGACATAAAGGGCAATGCACGAAGGAATAATCGTCTTCAATAGGGTGGTTAGGCTTCAATAGGGCGGTTACGGGGGGTTGGGTTGGTTGGGTTTGGTTTGATTTGGTTTGTTTTATTTTACGCAAAAATTATATTAAGATGGAGCCCATTCCTGCATTTAGGCGTTCCTCTTACAAATACACATGTATGTTTATTATAATTCTGACAGTTAAATGACAAATGTCAAAGTATTTAAAATTAAGGGTTTGAACAGGAGTACCAATTTTAAATATTAAAAATACCAAAGTAGATTAACCAACACAATCAAATGTGTCGAATTCCGGATAAAAAAACCGAATTTTAATGATTTACGTCTCAAGCCGCCAGGCGTCGTGAATAAAAGCCTTCATTATCTCATATAATAATATACTAGTTATATAATAAAACTATACTATATCGTTATTGATGTGTCAAAGTCCAAAAACAATTTAAATGATTTACTAATAAAAAATATAACCTTTGGAATTTATTGTGTATCAGGGACATAACACCAATTATCAAGGTTATTATTTATAGAATGTGTCAGTATATTCTTGGATAAACTTTCTTGCAAAGGATTAATTACTTAATAATATATTTCCTATTTAATTTGAGATAAAAAACAAATCCTTTGTTTATATTTGTGTATTTTGCGCCACAAAAATTTGCGTCGCAAAAATTTGTCTCCACTTAAATACTATTTTTACCCAATAATTTGGCAAAGTAATTTTAACCTTTGTTAAATTAAAAAAATTGATATACAATGCACCACTTTAGCATAAATAAATACTTCTTATCAAAATATATATGTATACCTAAGTATATTTTAACTTGGTAATGCAAAAATATTTACTTGGTTTAAATTTTTAGATATTTCTGGGTTATTTATATTCTTGGATAAACTTTCTTACAAGGGATTAATTCTATTTTATATTTAATTTGAGATACAAAAAACAAATACTTTGTTTATAGGTATTTGTGAACTTATTTTGCGTTACAAAAATTTGTCTCCACTTAGGTACTATTTTTACCCAATAATTTGGCAAAGTTTTTAAAGTAATGTTAACCTTTGTTCAATTAAAAAATTTGATAAACAATGCACTACTAAGCATAAATAAATACTTTTTATATAGTAACTTGGTAATGCAAAAATATTTACTTGATTTAAATTTTTTTGTTATTCTGGTTTATTTATCAATACACGTGGTGATACCCACATAATTAATTTTAAAGATAATTCGCCTTTATCATCAAATCACTTAAATAATTAATATAAGTGCAATTATTTACAACAAATTTATTGTTAAGTATGCATTATTTATAATACGGATCAATTTGTGCTTCAAATGCATTTTTATACTCTACTTTTTGAACTTTGCAATCGCGTTTAAAAATTTATTGTTGATTGAACTACACTGCGCGTCAAAAATAACGCATAATAAGTAAAAAGTTCTAACTCTAAAACGCCTTTACCAATCTTTGTGAAATTTTGTATAAAAATACTTCAACTTAAATCTCAGTTAACGTGTTTGTGGGTTTTTAGAGAAAATATTTTTAAAGCCATTTTATTTAATAATAAAAACCGTTCGAAAAAAACTTTTAGAGAATTTTTTTAAGTAAATAAAAAATATGCTGTTAAAGACCGTATTTTTGTTAGTATACCCTGAAAATTTTGTACAAATCAAACGAACGACTTTGAAGCGCTGCATTTTCGTTACTGTTCGTTTGATTTGTACAACATTTTCAGGGTATACTAACAAAAATACGGTCTTTCACAGCATATTTTTTAATTAATAAAATTACTTATACAAGTATTTTTCGAGCGATTTTTATTATTAAATAAAAGGGCTTTAAGCATATTTTCTCGAAAAACCATTAAACACGTAAGCTGAATTATCCAATATTTTATAAAGATTAGTAAAGGCGTTTTAGAGTTGGAATTTTTTTACTTGTTATGCGTTAATTTTAACGCGCAGTTTATTAAGTTAAGTGGTGGTGGCCTCAGAATAGGCCCTTGCGGAACACAATATATTTTTTACACATTTACATTAATTTTAAACGATTTTTAGGATAGTTTTTGCAGTTATGGTCGCAAAATATGACCTTGGAAAGCAACAATAATATATTTGTGCGTTTTAGTCACGGTATGCCGGGGTATAAACTTAATAACAACGGGCTTGGGCTTTTTAATCACTGGCTGAAGTTGTCAATTGACACTATATTAATATTATATTAATAATATAGTGCCCTTGTGAAAAATGTTTTTTTGTGTGCGTCGTAAAAAAGTAGAATTCCTTTTATAAACTTCTCTAGTCACTCGTTCAATAAACACTCGTGACTAAAATGCCGTTTCTAAAACTTTTTTCTACTCCCACCTTTAAAACGCCATTTATCGTACATGTTTTCAGGACACTAAGTGACCTTTTAAATACACATTGACAAGTTGTGGCTTTACGGCGCTTTAGTCACGGGCTGAAGTTAGCAACAGGTTTTTAGTCACGGGCTGAAGTTAGTTGACAGTTGTCAAATGTCATACAATCGATAAAATAAAGTGCCTTTCTTGTAATACAATACTAAATGTGAAAATTATTTTATTATTTAAATACAAAAATATTAAATAGTTTCTCAACGCCAATATTTGAAAAGTTTATATGAACATTGTACTGACCTTTTAATTTCGCCGGCAGTAAACTATAACTTAAATTCGGGCACGGACTCTACTGTAAAGTCCTCATAAAACATTTCCTTTACTTTCACTGTGAAAAACTGTCAATTTTCAAGATACATTTCGATTTAACCTTTATAATTGTGTTTATAAAATGTACAAATGTGACATTTGACAGTTTCCCCTGTTGTTTCATAGATGGCGCTCTATACAAATTTTTGATTTAAATTATTTTAAGATAATAATAAGTATTTGTCGTAAAAAAAAATATAGTATGCACCTCGTTTATAAACTTTTCTATACACTCAAGCACTCGCTCGCAAGCTTGCTCATGCCTAAACTAAATTCGTTTATAAAATGGCGTTTATCAAACTTGATACATAATATACTATTTTTTATGATTCTACAAATATATTTTTAACAGTTTAAAGTTTCACTTCGTTGATTGTAAAATGAACATTTTATTAAGTAGCACTCGTGACTAAAATGCCGTTTCTAAAACTTGTTTTTATGATTTTACAAATATATTTTTAACAGTTTAAAGTTTTACTTCATTGGTTGAAACATCAACATTTTAATAAAGTAAATCTGTAATAATCAAGAAGAACGTAAAATCATATAATGTGGTCCCAGAATGGACCCTTGGGGAATACCAATAATACCTACTATATCATTATTTTTTAAGAATGTACCTATCCACTGTTTTTGGGTGTGTTTATGATTTTGAACAATTTTTTCATGTATATTATTATCATTATTTTTTGTTCAGGTCTACCATTTGACCGAAGCAAAAACGAAAAACCCCAAAACGTTCAACGAGGACGACTTGGAGGAGCACCAGCCGTTCCCCACGTTGATGGAGGCCTTGCAAACTTTGGACCCGCACACGGGGCTGAACATCGAAATAAAATGGACGATGCAAATGGCGGACGGTTCGTTCGAGTTGTACCATCCGTACGACCTGAATCTGTACTTGGACACGATCTTGGAGGTGGTCCTGGCGCACGGCGACAAAAGGAGAATCGTTTTTTCGTGCTTCAACCCGGACATCTGCCAGGTCATTCGGCTGAAGCAGAATAAGTTCCCCGTGATGTTTTTGACCATAGGGGAGAGTCAGGTTTACGACAAGTACGCGGATCCCAGATGCTGGTCCATCAATTCCGCCACCCAGTACGCCTTGATGAGCGAACTGTTGGGCATTAACGTTCACACGGAGGATATTCTGCGCGATCCGTCGCTGGTAAGTGTCTCGTACTGCGCAGGGGGTCTCCACTATTGCCCATTTTTTGAACTAAACTGGGAAATAACGACAATTTTTGATAAATTGGCATATAATCGTAGTAAGCCGCGATATTCACAAAATCTCGAAAACGTTCCGAGGGATTACCTTACTTATATTAGGGAGGGGTATTACGACTATCAAACTCAACTGCCTCATGAATGGGAATAACTTGAAATTTCGGAAAAATTACATCTCTTCGTTTAACACCCTGTAGTACCTATAATGCTATGTGCAAAATATTGAATTCCCAAAATTTGACATAAGAGTCAAAGAATCAGCTATTCAGAATTTCCAAAGATTTTCAAAATCGATTCAGTAATTTTTCAATAACGAGCTTTCAAATATTTTCCAAAAAACTAGGTGCGTCGATTTTTACGACGAGCAGTTTAGTTTCAGGTGGAGAAGTAAAAAAAAAAAATTTTCAGATGTAAAAAAGTCGTTTTTTAACCGAGCGCTACAATAATTTACGATCAAAATATTTTGTCTATAATACCGATCTTAGAAAATGGAGTATTTTTAAAAGGGGGATAAATAGCTCATAAAAAGTAGTGTTGCAACGGTTACGGTTACGGTTACGGTTAATTCACGGTTTTCGATATTATACGGTTAACCGTAACCGTATACGGCATTTACGGTTTTTCATGCTACTTTGTGAATGCATGTAAAAAGAAGATTGAAGAGTATTTAACGTTACCAAATATACCACATACGTCAAATCCGTTTACATTCTGGAAAACGTGTTACACGTTTCATACAAACCATTGTCAGTGAATTCGGAGAGGTTGTTTTCGACTGCAGGTTTTGTGCAAACACCAAATAGGAACAGGCTGATTCCGCAGAATTTGCAGATGTTATGTTTTTTAAATAAAAATTTGACTCGTAAATTTTGAATATTAACTTTTAATTTTTTTATTTTTTTAATTATACTATTCAGGTACCTACTTAGGTTTTACTTTACTGTTTTTAGGTTTAAAATGTTACTCATTTCCTTTTATTTTATAGTTTTATTGGAAATTCTGTTTTTGTTTTACATAAATTATTATTTAACCTTTACTGAACGTGTGTATTAATTTCATTTAGAACAATAAACTTTACTTTTCGTAATTCTGTAATTTTTTTTTAATAACCGTGAATTTATTCGTAACCGTAGAGCTAACCGTAACCGTAACCGTAACCGTAAAACCCGAAACCGTTGCATCACTAATAAAAAGCCAACAAAGTAAAAACAAAAAGCAAACAAAACTAAAAAGAAAGTCGAAAATAAGTAAAAAAAAGTAGCTTGTTACTTTCTCTATGCAAAAAAATCACGTCGATCCCTTGCTCCAATGCTGGAACACAAACACCCTTTCGCAAATAGAACAGGAAAAGATATCGATTTGAAATTTGTATAAGAATTATAAAGTAATGTAAACTATTTAAAAAAAATATTTTCCATGCGTTATAAATATTATTGCATTTTTAAATTCTTCGTAAAATTCTAAAAATGGTAAAATTTAATTATTTCAGTTTTTGAAATATTTTTTTTTTCAAAAATTTTGACAGATGGATGGTCTTTTTTTAAAGAAAGTTATTGGTACAGGTTAGAGATGCGACATAAAAAAACGGTTTTTTTTGTTTTTTTTTCATTGTTTTTTTTCAAATGGTTTTTTTCACATTTTAGGTTTTTTTCAAGATTAGTCCCGTTTGCCTAATTTTTTATGTTTCCAGTCCAGTTCATGGACTAAAATTTGCCTCTAAATGACAATTAGTAAATGTTAAGTGGAAGAGCAGCAAATACATGCTTTGTATAAGCTGAACTTCGCCCATTGATTGTATCTCTTATAATCAATAAAGACATTTATTATTATTAAATGCTAAGCACGCGCCACCACCACGGAATTGACCAATAAGGGCCGCGCTTGTTTTGATTTGGTCCTAAAAAAAGTAACTACATATAATATTTTCGATTCAGCGTTTGATTTTTCAAAAAGCACTTTTTTCATGATTTTTCAAATTCATGTAGAGTATGGATTTTTTTTTTCAAAAAAAAAACAATAGCAAATTTTTGTAGAACATTTATTCATTGGTGGTTAAGTCAGAACATTCCGTGGAGCAGAAAACCAAAAAAAAATCGATTTTTTTATTACGGTATTCGTTAGGATTGAGCATTGCACATTTTTCGACCATTTTTAACAAAGATACAGCTATCCGAAGAATCGCAAAAACAATTTTTTATCCTTTAATTTTTTGTATTAGTGTAGAAGTTTTACATTGCTACTGGTTTCTAATGTGGAAACTACCAAATAATAAGAAATCAGATTTTTTAGTCTCGGTCAAAATTTTAAATAATGAAAAATTTAATATATTCTACATTACATACATTTTACTCAAAATTTCATTTTGAAAACCGTTTTTTTTTCTAGGTTTTTTTTCATGTTTTTTTTCACATCTGAAAAAAAACCGTTTTTTACATCTCTAGTACAGGTACACCCTAAATTAACTTTTTAATATTAAAATTAGTGGTAATACAAACATATTAGTAAGACCATCCATCTGTCAAAAATTTTGAAAAAAAATAAATATCTCAAAATCTTAAAATAAAAAAAAATAATCAAATTTTAGTTTATATTAATCCATCAATTTGAAAAACCAAAGTTGATATCACTTCCGGTATAACCGGAAGTGATAACGCATTGAAAATAATTTAAAAAAATAGTTTACATTGCCTCATAATTGCTATAAAAATTTCAAATCAATATCATCTTTGTTTTCCATAAACTTCTAATGAATAATTTAGGTGAATCAACCTGTATACATTATTTACCAACAAATAATGCTTACAAAATTTAATTAACACTTTTTATAGACCAAATTATCTTTATTTACTGCTAAATTATTAATCGCGGATGTAAACAAACAGAACAAAACAAAACCTTTAATATATATTACGCAATTTTATTTTAATAAAACATTAACCTTTGTGGTACATAGTAATATTAAATATTAGTTTATTTATCTGTTTTTTATAAATTGTTCTTTTCTTTTAAGACAATTATGAATCGCGGATATAAACAAACATAAAAAAACAAAACCTTTGATAAAAATTACGCAACTTTATTTTAATAAAACATTAACCTTTGTTGCACCTATTAATATTAAATATTAGTTTATTTATCTGTTTTTTATAAAATCTTCTTTTCTTTTAAGACATTTAAAAAGCACCTACAATAATGTTTGTATTTTTTTATCACAATAAACTTTAAACAATATGATGTTGTTATTTACTACAATAGGAATATTATATTTGGGTTATTAAATAATAAATAATTTTTTTCAAATAATACGCGTAATTCAATTGAAAACACAACCACTTATTAATTGCAAAACTATTTTATTTATAATGCAATATTAATATTAACTTAATATTAATTACTGGAATTACATGGTTTTATTTTTAAGATTTTATCAAATGAAATGATACGCATTTTTGTAAGTTGCATAATTATTTTTTTAAATTTACGGAAATAAAAAACTAAAAAAACACGCTATTTATTATTTTTAAATACTTGGATCTGATCCGGATGTATGAATTTTCTACAACTACATATTTATTTATTTAATAAATTACTCTTAATTTAACACGATTTTTTTGCATACAAACATCTTAATTTATGCGTACACGTGTCGGATATGTGAATAACATATTGTCGTCACAATTCCAACCAATAACCTTTAGATTGTCTAAACATATCCTAAAGTTATCTAAAACAGTCCAAAAACTATCAAAAACTAGATTATTATTTTTTGAAAATAAGAAAGTTATTGGTATTTAAAGTGACAAAAGAGTCAATGTAAATACCAGACACCCTGTATAAAAATTTCAAATACTAATAATGGCTTTTGATAGAGTGCTCCTTAGTTAACAGGTACACCCTAAATTAACTTTTTATCTTTACAATTAGTGGTAATACAGATGTATTAGTAAGATGGATGCATTTGTCAAAATTTTTGAAAAAATTAAATATCTCAAAAACTGTTGAAAATAAAAAAAATAATCAAATTTTAGTATTTATAGAAATTTACGTAGAATTTAAAAATAAATAAACCAAGTGAAAATAATTTAAAAAAATAGTTAACATTGCCTTAAAATTGCTATACAAATTTCAAATCAATGTCTTTTTCTGTTCTCCATAAACTTCTAATGAATAAGTTAGGTGAATCACCCTGTATACATTATTTACCAATAAATAATGCTTTCAAAATTTAACATTTTTTATAGACCAAATTATCTTTATTTACTGCTAAATTATTAATCACGGATATAAACAAACGGAACATAACAAAACCTTCGATAAAAATTACGCAATTTTATTTTAATAAAACATTAACCTTCCTTGCACCTATTAATTTTAAATATTAGTTTATTTATCTGTTTTTTTATAAATTGTCCTTTTCTTTTAAGACATTTAAAAACCACCTACACAAATGTTTTTATTTATTTTTTATTACAATAAACTTTAAACAATAGGTTGTTTGTATTTAATACAATAAGAATATTATATTTGGGTACCTACTTAAATAATAAATAAATTTAATCAAATATTACGCGTAATTCAATTGAAAACACAACCACTTATTAAGTGAAAAACTATTTTATTTATAATGCAATATTAATATCTACTAGAATTATATGGTTTTATTTTTAAGATCTTATCAAATAAAATAATATATTTTAGGCATTCTTTTAAATTGCATAATTATTTTTTAAAATTTAAGGAAATAAAAAAGCACGCTATTTACTATTTTTAAATACCACTTGGAACATATCCAGATCTACGAATTTCACACACCTATTTATTTATTTAATAAATTACTCTAAATTTAATAAGTTTTTTTGCATACAAACTTTTTATTACATCTTAATTTATGCATACACGTGTCGGATATGTCAGTAACATATTTTGGTCAAAGTTCCAACCAATAAATAAATTACACTGAGAAAAAAAAATGTCCACTTTGGTTAAATGCATGTTGATACTTCTTACAATTTTAATGTTGTGTGAAGATTTAACCATATGAGTATAGATTGTCTTTAGTTGTCTAAAACAGTCCAAAAACTATCAAAAATATCCAAAACTAGATTATAATTTTTTGAAATAGGTATAATGAAAAATATTTCGATTATAATTATTATTTTAGGTTCAGTTGGCCCATAGAAATCACCTAGTCATTTTCTGCTGGGGCGACGAAAATGCAGACCCCTCCACAATAAAATACCTGAAAAAATTGCAGCTCCATGGCGTGATATTCGATAAAATAAACCAATTTTCCAGCAAGGAGGTGAAAGAGAGCATTTTCTTGGTCGAAGCCAGGCAGTCGCAGAAGGATTTGATTATTTTGGCGGCTGCCAATGCCGAAAAGCCGCTCAGTCCTCAGCCGATTACGAATAAGGATAGAATTTTGGATGTGGAAAAGGCGAGAGTACATTTGGTCGACAATTTGTCGACTGCCACCTCTTTGGAGAGCTTGGAAAGTAGGTTGTCTGACTATCAAAAAAAGGCGCAAAATAGTAAAAGCAATTAGTTCAATTTAAAAAAAAAAGACAAACATCTTTTCCTGTGTTATTTTAATAAAAAAATCATCATGTTAGGTAATATCATGTTTTTAGGTAAATAATTTATCCTCAATTATATTTTTTGTAAAAAGAATCAAGTGATACATAAATTTTGTGTGACTTCTTTATTTTGTGCACATTTTAATTCAAATTGCATCTTTTTATTATTTGTTTTTGATTTAAATTTTTGCCAATATATTTTCTTCTATTTATTTTAATCATTGTTTTATTTTGTTTTTTTCCTTGGGTATCATTCCCCCATCCCATACAATTTGTTTACAACTTTTTTCATTATTTTTCAAATTTTTTCATTATTTTTCAATTTTTTTTTTTAAATATTTTTAAAGAACTTTTAATATATTTTTAGGATTTTCCTTGATTTTGTGCTACTTTTTTTATTTTATGTGGTAGTTTTATTTATTTTTTAAATTTACCTTCTGATTTTATTTTCATAGAGATTTTTAGGATTTTTAAAATTTCGACGTTTATTTGATTTGGATTTTTATAGTATTTTCTAAACTATTAAAGATTTACAAATATTCTTATTTTTTTATACTTTTCTATTTTGCATTACTTTTAAAGTTTTCTTTATTTTATACCTTATACTTTATAAACGTTCCTTTTGATTCTTTTTTCGTACATATTTACAGTTTTTCCCGTAATTTTTATTTTTTCCCTTTATTATTTTTCTTTTATATAAATTTTGCTTAATTTTACTACGTTTATTTAATTAACTTGATTTTTTATAGCTTCTTTTAAACTTTTTCCAAACTTCTCATACTTAATTTAATATTAAAAAAATTTAAATTAAATTTAAAATATGTTTTTAGAACTCAATAATTTACATATATTTATTTTTTATTTGTTTTTAAATTAAATTTATATTAATATATCTTTTATTTATTTTAATCATTGTTTTATTTTGTTTTCCTCTTATTTTACGCTTTCATCATGCAACTTAATAAAATAATAATTTAAATAAATGTTTTAAGTAAGTTCCCGGTATTACCGACATTTCGGGGTTTTCTATGGCTTCGTGGCTGCACTAATAGACGGCAAATTAAAAAATTTTAATGAAATTTGATAGAATTTACAATAGAGTATCTTCAAAACTAATTAAAATAATTGTTTAAATTTTGGTTAAATTAACAATAGTACTGTATATTATTTTATCTCCTCTTATTGCATAATATTAGGTTTTTCACGTATATAATGATAAACATTATAAATTCATTATAAATGATAAACATTATAAATTCCCTGCCTAACATTGGGAATAATGAACTCATTATTTACGTTGTTAAACATCAGTGATTGGCCGATTTCAATATTCACTGTGATTTGAACCAATCGGGTTTTAAATTGGGATATGGCGACAATAATATTTAAAATCGGTAAAATGTGAGGTTAACCATTTGCCAGTAAGTTTTTATTTTTAAAAATCATTTCATTATCTACTTACTGGAGTAGATAAAGAATAGTTACAATCAAGATTATGCGCATTATCTCTACTATTAATACACACAACTGTCATTTTTCCAGAATATTCACAATATTTACATTTTTGTTACAATAAAAAAAATCATCAAGTTAGGTAATAAATTTTGTTTTGGTAAATAGCCTTAATTATAATTTTTTGTAAAAAGTTGTGATCCATACAAATTTTATCAAAAAATCTTTTTCTGTGTTATAATAACAGAAAAATCATCAAATTTGGTTTTATAGTAGTCTACCGGTAGTTCTATTTATTATTTTTACTGTTGTGATTTGTTTTTCATTCCAATTTATGTTAATACCTAAATATTTTATTTATTTTAATTATTGTTTTGTTTTGTTATTCCTTTAGGTATCAATAAACAACTTTTCACAAATATCAATTAAGTAGATGTTAAATTTTAAATTAAATGCTTCAAATCAGTTCCATGTTTTACCGACATCTAACAAGTGGTTTGAAGCTGTACTAATAGGTGGCAAATTTGAAAATTTAAATTGAAAGTTTATAGATGTTGAAATAAAAATTAATTAAAATAATATTTTTGTAAAATTGTTGTAGTTATTGCTTTTCTATATCCATTTCTATGAAATCGCCAATAATAGTACTGTATAACTTATTTTAATTCACATAATTGCAATATTTTTAAAATAACTTTAGGCGACCAAATAAATATTAAAATTAGATAAGTATACATTCATTCAATATGCTTCCAGTCATTTAAATTGAAATGACGTATACCTTTTTGTGATATTTTATTTTTAAATTAAAGAAATTATAATTTCTTTAATTTAAAAATAGCTATGTATATATAGCTTTAGCTTATGATATCATAGACTAATTTCTTTAATACATTTTTGAAGGTTTTTGATGAATCCTCAAAATTGATTATCAGGTTTTCAAAAAATTCTAACCCAAAATTGGAAGAACGCATTCTTTTTTAATATATATTTATTTATATTTCTATATGCATAATATAATATATATATTATTATATCAAGGTATATCACAAGGTTTTTTCATGACCTTAGATATTAAAAAAACCATATACCTATAACTATAGCTATAGTATATATAGTATACCTAGGTATATGAAAAAAACTACGTCCAATTTTGAGATATTGAGTTGTGGAGGAAAATTGTTTTGGGACAAAACGCGTTTTTTCTACTTGTAACAAAAACCTTCCAAAGATACCTATAGTCAGATTTTAACAATAGAAAGTTGATTTATTTTTGTAGCATTATTATTAGTTGGTACCTACCTATGTGTTTATGATTCTCTAATTTTGATATGTAGCAAAAAAAGTAGATTTTAAAATACAAATTATTTTTCTAGAAATAGGTAGGTAGGTACACTATAGAAGTACAATTTTGATAGTTAAGTTTTAAGACACTGCTTAAACTGTTAAAATAGCTAAAAATGCAAATTCTAAACCTCTTATTTGTTTAAATATAGCTAAACTAATTGTACAACTTACAAAGTATACTTTTAAAACTTGAAATAATTTGTTTTTTCTACTCCTACCTTTAATACGTTGATTATCGTAGTGTATACGATTCGTACATGTTCCTATGACAATAAGGGGCCATCCATAAATCTCGTGACGCTAGAATTTGTCAAAATTGTGATGAATTATTGAACTTGCCTACCCCATAAAAATATTTGTTTCGATTATTTTTTATAATATTCTGACTAAATATGGAACAAATAAGCAATTGTTTTCGATTTACTTTGTCACGACATTTCCCCATTTCCCTTCCACCGTCACGAGATTTATGGACGACCCTATTAGGGTGGATCATTTAAATACACATTAACAAGCTGTGGCTTTATGGCGCTTTAGTTACGGGCTGAAGTTGGCAACAGTTTTTTAGTCACTGGCTGAAGTTAGCTTTAAATTAGTTGACAGTTGTTAAATGTCATACAATCGTCAAAATAAATTGCCCTGAAATAATACTAAATGTGGAAATTATTTTATTATCTTAATACAAAAGTATTAAATAGTTTCTTAAGCCAATTGTCACCAATATTTAAAAAGTATATAGCCACGTTTGTACCAACCTTTTGATTTCGCCGGCAGTAAACTAGATGTAACTGGTAATTATCATAATGCTTCAAAGCATTAAACATTTGTGGTGAAGTACCCATAAAACATTCTTTTTACTTTCATTGTAAAAAACTGCTGCTATATCGGAGTTAAACGGTTGTTAGTTCATTTTTAAGGAATAAATTTTGATTTATATAGAAAAATCAGACAAATACGTACGTTTTGACCGCCGGTAATACAGATTCCCCCATTTTTTTTATAGATGTCGCTTTACACCAATATTTAATTTAAATTATTTTTTACATAATAAGTATTTTTCGTAGAAAAAAATATAGTACACAACTCGTTTATAAACTTTTCTATATAAATTCGTATTATTTTTAAAATGTGCCTACTACATTTACGATAATTTTCTCTTAACCAAACCATTCGGAAAATCTGCCGCAAATAGTAAAAACGCATTCATAATGTAAGTCGAACAAACATAAAACAAATAATTAACACAAACAGTAGGTTAATGGTCATGCTCATATTGATTTGAAAATGCAAAATACCAGGAACGCATTTCGTTGCCTTGGTCTGAAAAAATGAAACAAGAACAAGAACAGTTCGTGTTTTGTATAAATAATTATTAGGATAATTGGTTTATTAAAATAAGTGTAATAAATATATTAGTATACTAATGGCAGGATATTGCTCGAGTTAAGCTACATTTAATTTAAGCTATGTTTAATTGCGAGTTTGCGAGTGCATGTTTGTTCATTTTAATAAGATTGTTATTGATTAGTTTATAAATTTATAAACATGTAAAATATAGGTATACGAAGTATTTTTATAATTAATAATAAGAACAAATATATGATGAATAAAATCTTAATATAACTTTAAGTTTTACCTACATTTTTTGTTTTAACACATTCTTTGGCCGACCAATAGAAAACGAGATAAATTGATTTAAAACTTAAAAAGGAGGGACAAGCGCTGGGGACACACTGGAATTTGACATTTTTCGTTTTTTTAATTACTTTTTTTTAATTTTGACATTTCTTCTGAAATATTTAGTAATTTAATGAACAAGTATAAATTTTACTCCTAATTTTTTATTCCATTCTTCTTTAAAAGTTTTTCTACTCCCACCTTTAAAACGCCCATTATCGTACATGTTTTCATGACACTAAGTGACCTTTTAAATACACATTGACAAGTTGTGGATTTATTGCGCTTTAGTCACGGGCTGAAGTTAGCCACAGGTTTTAAGTCACGGTCTGAAGTTAGTTTTAAGTTAGTTGACAGTTGTCAAATGTCATACAATCGTAAAATAAAGTGCTTTTCTTAAAAAATAATACTAAAAGTAAAAATTATTTTATTATCTCAATACAAAAATACAAATGTATTAAATAGTTTCTTGGCGCCAATATTTGAAAAGATTATATGAACGTTTGATTTTGCCGTGGTAGTGCAGTTACAAACTGTAACTAAATTTAACTGATAAAGCGTTAAAAATTTTGCATACAGTGCCCATAAAACATTCTCTTCTCTTTTACTATGAAAAACTGCATCTAAATCGATTGTTTGTCTATTTTTAAGAGATAAATTTTGATTTACACAGAATAATTCTCAAGTTAGAAATTCTAACG